ATTGTCGGGGGCCGCACTAAAGGTCACCAGTGGCCCAAAGGCCTTGCAATGAAGAACACGGATATGCAAGAACGTGCCACAGGCATGTGTGGCTAATCCATAAATATATACATAATAAATATAGTCTTCTTGGTTCTTTCGGTAAAGTCACGTAGAAGGGAAATAATAAAATAATAAAAATAAAACAATAAAATACAATTCACACAGTGAGAATTGTATTTTATTATGTTTTATTTTTATGTTTTATTTAAATACAATTCACACAGTGAGAATGGTATTTTATTATGTTTTATTATTTCTTATTTTCTTATTTCCCTTATACGTGACTTCACCGAAAGAACCAAGAAGATGAATCCCTGCAGTCACGAAAGCTTTAAATCGAAATAAATATAGTATGTATATGTTTGTGTAGGAGATGGGCGCATTGTTATATCGAGGAACGGTGGTAGCTGGCGACAACTTGAGGAAGGCCTCCATCCAGCAGCGGACTGAACATGACTGCTGCTAACATAAAAAAGGCTTCATCTTGTCTGGCAATAAAACAAGTATGATGAATAAAACAGGTGTTAACATCCTCAATCACCAAATAGATACCCTTTTGCAAGGCATCAGGTCCACGTGGAGTTGATGCACATTTGATGCCTTACAAAATGTGTCAGTGTTTGTCTTTTAACATCTTAACACCGGTTTTTATTCCCTGAAAGGCTAAAACCTAGTCTTGCTTTTTTTCGTATTCATTTTTTTATACTGCCAAAAGAAGAGGTCCCATAGAACACCAGAAAAAGCGCCCACGTCAATCTCATTTTAAGATCCTCGCACTGGCTTCCATTCAGTCGTAGAATTTATTTTAAAAAATGTTTATCGTTGAAAGGTCTGGCACCTGTACACATGTCTTCCATGCCTTTAAGATATAAACCAACAAAGATTCCTCATATCCTCTAGTCCCTGGTCTTTTAGTCGTCCCAAAGTCCAGGGACCAAACCCTAGGAAGTGTTTACACTCTTCGTCTGTAGAACAGCCTGCTAGGAAATCTGATGAATTCAGAATCATTAAGCACTTTAGAAAATAAATCTAAAAACTGACTTTTTAAAACTTGATTTTAATTAGCATTCTCTTAATGTGTTATTTTTATCATGCCTTTGCTAGAAATGTGATTTTATTTTGCTACAATTTTGCTACAATTTTTTTTTATTTTGACTACAATTTCACTTTTATTGTTCACGCCTATAAAGCCTTTAGAAATTAAGTTTGATTGATTGATTGCTATAACGTGGCGAGCGAGTGTTCGTCACTTGGTGGCTACAGATGCTCCCTCGCACCGGACGAGGGAGCTATGACTCCACGACTGGAACGCGACTCGAGACGCACCAACGCTCGCATCGCTTGGAACGAGTTCAGAGCTCCCATTGAGCTCACAGAGTCCCCTGGGTGAGTGGGTGGGGGCTGGTGCAGGAGGAGGGGGGGATAATGCGGGGGGGGGGGGGGGTCCGACCCATCTATCCATTAATTCATTACGTAATGTTCGGCACGATTGTGGAATTTTCCAGTCATTTTAAACGTTTATTATTATGATGATAATGATGATGACTTCAAGTTATATGCACGCACCGCTCATGTGGATTCCTGAAAACACGTTTAATTGAGAGAGAGAGAGAGAGTTGGGCTGTTATTTAATATCACCATTGTATAAACTCTTGCCAAGCAGACCTCGATATTGGCATTTAGCTCATGAACACACTGTACTGTGTTGCCATAGGCATGGACATAAGTATACGCTACAAGTATGAGCGTATCATGGGTCAAACGGGAGCGGTGGCGCAGTGGTTAGCGCGCTGCGTTATGAACAAGACCTCCCGAGTTATGTTCTAAGACCACGGCTAACATCAGTGGCGAGTGATATCCGCAGCGGTTCTGGGACCCAACTCACGTTCACCAAAGCGCACCCACCAGCGTGGTGAACGTGTGTTCAACCACCACGACTGACATTGCGTGGAACAGATATATTCATCCATACCTTGCTGATCTCGTCAAGAAGCATAAACCATCGTCACGCAAAAATCCAGCCATCCTCGCAGTTGCACCGGCCTTCGTCTGACCTTCGAACACAGACGGCGGTCACCGCATCGCACCGCGCTTTCAGATGCGCTTCTGCGGCCGTCTGGAACGCTCTTCCTTCCGATATTAGGAAGCCGCTGGATCTGTGCACTTTGAAATCTCGGTTGACAAACTCATTTCTTTAGAACTGCCTTTTGTGTTTAGTTTGTTGTCCTTCCCCCGCACCTTCGATTAGCACGGTTGGCTAAGTACGGTGCGAAAGAAGTTCAACTTGCGCACGTACATTAACTTAACCCTTAATTAATCCACCACTCGATGAAGGCCTTGCCAAGGCCTTCCTTTCGGCCCAGGGGGTTGTTGACCATACTTGACACGGCTGGTTAACGCGGGTCGGTGTAGGAGGGTGGAGCGCTTAAGGGCCGTCCATAAATGACGTCACGCTCCTAGGGGGGGGGTCAGACATTTGTGACGATGTGCGACAAGCGGGGGGGGGGGAGGTTTGAGAAATGTGACGTCACATCAAAATGAGCAACTTTAAATAAATATAGACAACACGTTTTACATAATTAAATAGACTTTTAAATAAATGTTTTCTCCTAAAACATCAGAGTGCAGCGCCACATTAAATACGCACTACAATGACAATAGTTTAAAGCGATTTGAAGCATGTTTTATTTTGGGGGGGGGAGGGGGCAGACCTTTGTGACATATATATTTGAGTGGGGGGTCTGACTTTTTGTGACGACGACGGGGGGGGGGGGGGTCAAAAATCGTCCAAAATCGCGTGACGTCATTTATGGACGGCCCCTTAGGACCGGTTCGGAATCAAACTCGGGTGGATAGGCCAAGAGCAGCACGCGGAGCAGTACGGGATCACAGTGCCCCCCACCCCCCCCATGCTGAGCACTGTGCTATCACGCCGTCCATGCAGTCGTGTCGCCACTGGTGTTGGATTACGTTTGTCATTGAGTTTAATAGCCAGCACGTGCTATTGGGTGCACGTGTCGCCTATTGGGGCACGTGCCAATTAGCGAGCAACGATGGATTACCCGCGGCGCACGAAAGAGGGTGGTCTGGCCATGCCCAAGCCCGTGAAGGGCTTTGTCTTTCATCGCGATCTGATGGCTTTCCGCACCGCAGCAGGTGCTCTTTTGAGGCCGAGTTGACCTAGGGGAGGCCCATCACACGGCCGTGGATCGAACCCAGGTGGCACAATGTGCGACCCATTCATTGGCACGGCGCGCGCGCACACACATGGCCCCCTCGATTCGATTCCCCGCCACAACATAACACAAGTGGTAGGTTGTGTTTAGACTTGTTCCGTGCCTCCACTAGGTCGACTCGGAGTTAAAAAACAACATTTTGGAACGCGTGGAAATAAATACTGTACGAGAAATGGGGAGCCCTGAAGGGGGACGGGAATGGCCCCGGCCACATAACTCGAATCTTTACTCGATAAGAGCCCCCCCTGCCTTAACAAGTCGATAAGAATCCATGGGTGGTCTCTGTGCGAGTGGGTCAGAGGGCACGTGGTGGTGCGAGCAGCGGTGACATTTGTAAAAAAACAAGAGCTTTAGAGCTCATATGATTCCTCCAGTATAAATACATGTTCATACTCTTCACTGCGCTACGACCCCTGCTAGCGAAGTTTGATTCCAGGCCACGGCCAACATCAGTGACGAGGCACTTCTATCAAGACCGTTCCCGGACCTCCGTTATGTTAACTCGGCCTTAAACGCGTACCCGGTATGCTGTGTAAAGATCAGCACAGGTGAGAGGTGCGACCTGGCGTGGTGCTAGCCACGCAGTCTCGTTGTGTCACCTTTTCGTCCTTAATAGGTGCTCGCGAACAGCACTTGCCCCAACAGTCTGTTAAATACGATACGGGGGTCTTTATTCCTGTATTGGTGTTTGTATGTATACGAGTGTTGGTGTATGTGAGGTTTGTTGGTAAACACGTGAGCAACATGTGTTCTGCTATTGGAGTGCACGTGTGTGTGTAGGTATGCGTGAGTGCGAGTGAGTCTGTGTGTGTGAGTGCGAGTGAGTCTGTGTGTGTGTGAGTGCGAGTGAGTCTGTGTGTGTGTGTATGCGTGAGTGAGTCTGTGTGTGTGTGAGTGCGAGTGAGTCTGTGTGTGTGTGTATGCGTGAGAGTGAGTCTGTGTGTGTCTAGGTATGCGTGTGTGAGAGTGAGTCTGTGTGTGTCTAGGTATGCGTGTGTGCGAGTGAGTCTGTGTGTGTGTATGCGTGAGTGAGAGTGAGTCTGTGTGTGTGTGTGCGTGAGTGAGTCTGTGTGTGTGTATGCGTGAGTGAGAATGAGTCTGTGTGTGTCTAGGTATGCGTGAGTGAGGGTGAGTCTGTGTGTGTGTATGCGTGAGTGAGTCTGTGTGTGTCTAGGTATGCGTGAGTGCGAGTGAGTCTGTGTGTGTCTAGGTATGCGTGAGTGAGTCTGTGTTTGTGTGGGTATGCGTGAGTGCGACCGCGTGTCTCTGTTCCACTTCCGACCCCGGCTCGCACTGGCAGGGTTGGAGTAGAGAGTAGCGGCGTGGGGGAGAGACAGTAGGAGTGGAGGAGGAGGAATCGAGAGTAGAGGAGGAGGAGTGGGGACAGAGAGGAGAGTAGAGGAGGAAGTGAGGGAGGGAGGAGGAGGGTGCGTAGAGCGAAGAGTTGGAATATGAAGTGTAGGAGGCGGAATCTGATAGAGGACGTGGGGAGGAGGATTGGGATCGAGAGTCGAGATGGGAGGAGGAGGTGGTGGGGGGGGGGCGTAGAGAGTAGCGAGGGGGGGGGGTAGGAGGCAAGGACGACGATGAGGAGGATAGAGAAAGGGGGAGGAGGGAAGGAGGAGTGAGGAGTGTGGAGTTTGGAGTGCGCCTTCTCCTCAGCCTCTCTAAATCGCAGCACGCGGTCTCAGCGCCACCGCTCCCCACCACGCACCCTTCGGAGCGCCCCCCCCCCCCACTGTGTAACTCGGACCCCCCGCAGTTTCGGACCTCCAAGCGAGACCCCCCCCCCCCCCCCACCAATCGGACACCTGGACCACTGAGCTCCCAGGAAGGTGAGAATCCAAGGTACGAACTTTTCCGTCGCTTTTCTACAGCGTGCGCAGCAATTCCGTATATACCCGTAACTCTTCCGTAGCCACGTGAACTTTTGCGATGTGTATAAATGTCGACTTCCCGCCCGTCCTATATATATTGTACATTTAGTTTCGTCGTCATTGAAGCAGCGTCGATAAGTTTAAAGGCAGATCTCGGTGAGGGCCGTTGAAGTATTTCACCGTTATAGTTTGGGGACATTTTCGAATACTGTACTGTGCACATGCCGTTTCGATGCGCAGCTGTGCAAGCTCATTTTTACGGACCGCCGTGCCGTGGAAGGTCTACAGGTAAAATTTCGATGTAAAGCTTTCGTGACTGCAGGGATTCATCTTCTTGGTTCTTTCGGTAAAGTCACGTAGAATGGAAATAATAAAATAATAAAAATAAAACGTAATAAAATAATTCTCACGACGTTTCGGCCACAACGCAAGCAGCCGTCTACTCGACAGACCTGCTCTCCACCTGAGGACGGCTGCTTGCGTTGTGGCCGAAACGTCGTGAGAATTATTTTATTATGTTTTATTTTTATTTATTTTATTATTTCCATTCTACGTGACTTTACCGAAAGAACCAAGAAGGAGAGGTCTACAGGTGTTCCAGGAGACCCAGGGAGTCGAGCGATGTCCATGTTACGCATCTTCTTATACGGCCTAGAGAGCAGGAGGCGGCTCTTTACGCTCCGTTTCGTGACGTTTTTCATTAATCGCCAAAGTGCGTTGCGGTTCTTGAACTATTGAGTTGAGTGTGTGTGTATGTATACCGAATTGTATATTTTTAACGTCTCTTCTTGTTATGTTTGGTTGTGGACCCCTGTGGGGTGGAGAGTCGAGCGAGTGTCAAGTCTAGGGACGTTCTAGAAGGGATAGTGAGCGAACGAATGGTTAGCCTTTGATAATTATCGTTGTACGTATCCTAAAACATTGTTTTCAGAGATATCGTTCGGAATTTGAAAAATATGTAAAGTAGAATGTTGATTCACTTTTTGGGCAGGGTCGGCTTAAAGTTCCACTCTGCTTTCAGCCTCGTACGTGTCATTGACACACACAGACTCGTTAGCCATCGGCGGTTAACCGAGTAATTCGCCTCCGCTGGAGTTGTGTGACGTTAAAAATTAACCCGTTAAAACAAAGTTTTTCACTATAAATCCTTTATATGCGTGGCGGCTAGAGTCCTCTCGTCCTCTGGCTTGAGATGGCTGCCACCTATGGGTCAGATGATTGCCTGCCACCATTAAGCAATTGGTAATTAAATATAAAAAAAAATCCTAAAAAGCGTAAAATTTTGGGAAAAAAATGTTCACGAAAATAAATTGTCACGCACAACGAGTCTGTGTGCAAAATGTCAGCTCGATTGGATCACGGAAAGTGCGTTAAAAAACGACCGAAAGATTTGCACGGTCGTAAGCGCGCAAGCAAGCAAGTGAACTTAATATAAAGGATTTAAAAATAAAACCAAGAACAAGCGAGCTGCTGCTTGCTCCCGTGAATAATACCCAGGTGATGTCGGGGTGAGTCGGGACGGGGAGGGAGAGACGCAGGAATCATGAGACAGGGGATGGGAGTGGGGGGGGGCACGGCGTGAGGGCGGCGTAACGAGTCGGCGACATCGCGAGCGGTGAGACTCGAGAGGGCACCTAGCGACTTTTTGTCGCGTGGTCGCCTTTGCGACAACGGCTGAGAGATTCTGACGAGAGGAAGGAAGCGATGGCCGCGAAGTTGCAGCCTCTGATTCTTGAGATTCATCATCATGGGTCGGGGTAATGGTCACCCAACCCCAGTGGTGAACGAAGTCTGCGAGATGTCGATTTGAAGCTTTCGTGACTGCAGGGATTCTTTCGGTAAAGTCACGTAGAAGGGAAATAATAAAATAGTAAAATTAAAACAATAAAATTCTCACGACGTTTCGGCCTAATTTAGGACGCTGTCTTTCCGACAGTTATCTTCACCTGAGGACGGCTGCTTGCGTTGTGGCCGAAACGTCGTGAGAATTGTATTGTTTTATTTATATTATTTTATTATTTCCCTTCGACGTGACTGTACCGAAAGATAATTGGTTCTTTACCCTTCTATCTGGCAACAAAACTGACACCTTTTTACAAGGAGTCATGTTTGCATAGACCGCAATACCTGCGGTCTATGCAAACATGACTCCTTGTAAAAAGGTGTCAGTTTTGTTGCCAGATAGAAGGGTAAAGAACCAATTATCATATTTTTACTGGCAAATGAGGTTCCCATAGTGTACCGAAAGAACCAAGAATATAAAGTCTGCGAGCTGAAAATCTGTGAATCCCCGTCTCAAACTTCCCGCGCTAATTAAATAAATAACAATCACCATCGCCCGCCATGGTCAATCCACTGCTTGGATGAAGGCCCCCCTCTAAGCCACCGCAATACCCCCCCCCCCCCCATCAGTGGCGCGGTGACGACACTGTCAGCTCAGGGGTTGCAGAAATCGATGAGGTGGAGGCCCCGCTATTTGATTCGTCTCTCGTGGTGGTTGTCAAAGAGGGGGGGGGGGTAACTCGTAGCTTTAGTCATCAAGATACCCCCTGCCTGTCCCACGCTCGTTACGCGACTGCCCACACCCCCACACTCACGATCCATTTCCCTGGCTGCCAATCCGTCATTATCCCCCGACCAAGTCGCGGTCACCCATCTCTCGCGGCGTCGCGCGCTGCCCAGTCCCAGCCCCTTCCCAAGGCTCTGGCTGATGATGTCTCTGCAAGCCACGCGCGCTCCTCTCGGAGTCAGCGTCCACGTAACGGCGCGTCGAGATTGCGCGTTTTTTGGCGTTACTTTGACGGCTTCCTCTCTGTGTCGCCGAGTTCCGGAGTTCCCTTCCCGAGGCCCGGGACTATCGTGGTTCTTGCGATGCGGCGCGAGTGGTTTGTGAAACTCGCATGAACAGATTTATTCTTTTTTTTGGGAGAGAGTTATATTTTTATGGGAGTCGTTTGCCAGAATTGCTTCTTTGAATTTGTTTTATCTTCCAAATGCCACGTGTTCAGAGTCTGTCGCCGGCTTCAAAGGCTTTGGCCGGAATAAAAAGCACTCGTAGCCGAAGCACTTGATCAGTGTCAATTAGCACACTCGTCATCGTCATCGTGAGTCATAGTCTCTCCACATCAGAATTATAATTTTAATCACCATTATCACCAGTAGCGACGTAATCTTTATCATCATCCCTTTGGGGTTATTTAAAAAAGGAGCATCACTTGATGAAGATGTGATCAGTGTCATCATCTTTATCCTGCTGGATGAAGGCCTCGTGCCATTGCAATAGATATGCCGTGGCGTCGTGATATTACGCCACCCATATCACTCCAGTGTGCATGGTCTGATAGCATGGTTCTATATCCGTGGTGGTCGTTCTCTAAGATATGTTCGCTCTTTTGGCTGTCCATCCCGTCACCAATCTCATCCCTTGGCCACCACCCTAGTTGGCTCACGATGCGTTCTGCCCAAGACCACTTATTAGTATTCACGATCAGTCAATTGCAGTGACTACAGCAGAAGAAGAATAAAATCAATCAACGCCCCGCTGATCAACATCTGATGTCGCTCATATCTTGAATTGGTCATGAGCCAGCCGTGGGAATTCCACACTTCAATGGTGGGGCCCAGTCATACAAGTCAATCGCTTGACTTTGTTTCCCATATAGCAGTGATGTATGTACGTTGAACTTCTTTCACACCGTACGTAGCCACTCGTGCTAATCGGAGGTGCGGGAGAGAAGTACAAAAAACTAAACACATGATTCTTATTTGACTCGCCCAGTGACGATGATGGAGTTTGGTACATGCATCAGCCACTAGCGCACGAGTCGAACTGCAATGCGATTGCTAAAGATGGCTAGTGTTGGTATGTTATCTCACAGGTCTATGTCGAGTCGACTTCCAGTTGAGCCCATCACACAGTAGAGGTCGATAAAGTGAGGACTAGCTAGTCGCCAAGTCAAGAGGGCTTTCGCTATGTAGCTTATGGACTCGCCACATGAATGTCGAGTTTCCACCAATGGATCCATGATATAAAGAGGGGCTCAAAAGTGCTGGCTGTATGGAAATACTTGCTCCTGTCATAGGAATATGAGATTTAAATTCCTGGCTAAGTGTTATAAACAGGAGATAATTAATAGTTTACACGTGGAAAACTTGGCCCTGCCGTAGGAATGTGGAATGTCATTCATATTTTTTAGTGCAGCACCAGGACTCATTTGAATGATAAACCATATACTGGGCAGAGTTTATAGCAGAGATAATTAGTTTCATTGGATTTGTGCTCGGCATAGGATGCGACTGGATTTCTCATCGCGATCATCATCTCCGTGTTCATAACTCCAGGAGTAACTGGTAGCGCATTCCGTCTGCTTCCTAATGGCTTTAGCATCATCACTCTCGCAAAAGCCACTTGAGAAAATACGTTTTCACATTTTTGTTTTGCTCAGCACTGCCTTGAAAAAAAACTAATATAAAGTATAACTTCTATTGAAGGCAACAGTGTTGTTGATGAATGTTGTTGAGTTTGTTGTTGTTTGCACTTTTGGCACCCCTGCCAATGCAGCAGCATCACCCAATACTGTAATTAGTTGTATGAACAATATTATTCGGTCATATTTTGATGAGAACGCTGTTCTCAAATCACCACGTAAAACATTTTCCTCGATCAAAGTTTGAGTTAAACGGTGAATAATGTTATCCCCTACGAATTTATGAGGCGCAAAACATATGTATTGTTTGAAGGGTATTACTAGCCATGGGATATTACAGCAACAGATTTCAACCGTAGTTGTGTGAAAAATTTGTGATGCGTAGATTCGTTGAGAAGCGAAATTGATGACTGTAAATGATGACGAATGGAATGAATGAGGTTAACGAGTGGTAGCTGTTTCATGAGAATATGAAGAGGGAGCGGTAACGGTGGTGGTGGTTGTGATGATGAGGGGGTGATTAAGAGATCGTCGGGTGAGCTCACGTAAAATAAGAGCGTTTTGAGTGAGGAGCGGAAACTAGTGAGCGAAGGTGACTGTTTTAATAAGTTTGTCCCAACCCGATGACACGTCGGTGAGAGCCGCACACACAGCGAAGAAGCTACTGGCATGTGGAGCGAAACGTTGGACGTCGTGCCGAACGACACGCGGTAACGACCCGAAAACACAACGGAGTAGAACGTGTTAAGATTTGTCACCATACGGGATGAAAGCCTCGCTCTGCTGGCCGCAAATCCCTCGTGGTCTCGCGATGTCTCAAAACCCATGCGGCTCGTGCACACGTGAGACGATCTCTTTGCTCCGTCATCGCCGCCGTGGTGGAGATGACAGCGCCACGGTGGCGAGACGTTAACTCCCTCGCCTGGTATGCAGGAGGTCGTGGGTTTTGATCTCAACCTGCTGTATATTTGGAGTTTGCGTGCGTGTCTCTCTCTCCGTGGTTGCGTGGATTTTTCTCCGGATCCTCCGGTTTTTCTCTCCAAGTTTAGAATCAACGTGCGTTTAGAGTATTTGACCGCAATCAATGTCCACGTGATGCAAGAGCCATGTCGTTGAGCTATCGTTTGTGGCCAGGTCGCTTCTGCAAAATAACTATAGAATTCAGTGGGCCCCACCTGATAAAATAAAAATAGAAAGTTGACAGTGGTTTGGCTACTCTTCTGTTACCAGTCTCATCGATCCCTCTCCCATCTGAAGTGGATAGTGGCCTGTCCAATCCCACGGACCAATCCCACGGACCAACCCCACGTGCCAATCCCACGGACCAATCCCACGGACCAACCCCACGTGCCAATCCCACGGACCAATCCCACGGACCAACCCCACGTGCCAATCCCACGGACCAATCCCACGGACCAATCCCACGGACTAATCCCACGGACCAATCCCACGGACCAATCCCACGGACCAACCCCACGTGCCAATCCAACGTGCCAATCCAACGTACCTTTCTCAACATTCAATGTGACGTCTAATTTTCTGTTTATCCTCTGACCCACGTGCTCTTCGTTCTGTCTCTCAGTCTAATTCCCAACGTGCATCTCTCTACGCTTCTTTGAGTGTTTCCTTTCAGTTAGTGTTCAGTTGAATTCATCAGTATCCCGTGTTATCGATTTACATATCATAGCACCCAATGTGCATCTCTCTACGCTTCTTTGAGTGTTTCCTTTCAGTTAGTGTTCAGTAGAATTCATCAGTGTCCCGTGTTATCGATTTACATATCATAGCACCCAATGTGCATCTCTCTACGCTTCTTTGAGTGTTTCCTTTCAGTTAGTGTTCAGTAGAATTCATCAGTGTCCCGTGTTATCGATTTACATATCATAGCACCCAATGTGCAACGATTGAAACCTTTTCTCTCTGAACACGTGGGTGCACGTTACTGCTCACTGTTAAGTCTAATTTTCCTAAAGCACTTCAACCTATTCTTGCCTCGCCTCGGAGTAGAACCGTTTTCCAAGTTGCAGACAGCAGCGTGGCGAGTGAAATGTGCCCGACAATTTGTTACATTCGGGCGAACGCTCCATCTGGGAAATCGTTTTTCTGAAAAGTTTTACATGTTGAGTTCACCCGAATGGGAATGACCTAAGCAGAGATTGTAAACAATCCAAGTCTGGTCTGTCAAAGCTACGAATGTCAAATTGGCTCCTCCTCAATCAGCCGTTGTTCATCATGCCACGCACAGTCGACACCAGTCCAGAGTTTGCCTGCTCAAAAAAATCCTTCTAGGATAACATCGTTGAAGAATCTTGAGCCGGCATTGCTAAAATCCCGAGTTAAAATCCGGGTTTCAAAGACGGCCACCGCATTTCGCGCGTTCAGATGCCCTTCTGTGGCCATCTGGAACGCTCTTCCCTACGATATTAAGAAGCCACCGGGGCTATGCACTTTGAAATCTAGATTGAAAGTAATTTATTGAGAACTGCTTTTTGTGTTTAGTTTGATGTCCTATCCCCCCAAACTCTGATTAGCACGGTTGGTTATGTACGGTGCGAAATAAGTTAAATATACATATAAGCAAAGATCATTCGTATAGCCTTAGGAAACTGTTGGTGCAAGTGCTGTTAACGAGCATCTACATAAATTCACATTCAGTCACGTGCGCATTGTTTTCATTTTCCTATCCCCTTGGTGAGAGAGAGAGAGATAAAGATTTAGAGGCAAACCACAGGCAAGTGGGAAGGAAGCCAACATCGGCACAAACAATTGCCAAGCTCTGTAGTCCTATAATAGTGTGATGTTTGAAATTGTGATGGTCAATCTCGACAATTTGTTGAATCACCAACAATTCGCTGGGGGGGGGGGGGGGGGGGGGGGGGGGTTGAGGGCGGGTGGGAAGGAGCGTTGGGAATTTGACGGTGGCCGGATAAATTAATCACAGGCCCAATAACCGCACGCGATAAACACATCACGCCGTAAACAATGCCCGTTTATCGCTGCCCTATCAGAGCGTGGCTCGGGGCCCCATGGCGTCTGTGCCGTGGTGGTGATGGTGGGAGCAGCACAGCGGCGGCGATGACCTTAAAGGGAAAGTGTCGGCGTTGCTGCCGCTGCTGCCGCTGCCAAAATATTCCAACGGACAAAAAAAATGCGGCAAAGCCCGAGTAACTCAGAGCGCGGAATGCCGGGCGGCGCTGGAACACCGCCCGATATACCACACCGACCCCCCCCCCCCCCCCCGCTGCAGGAATGCACCCCCCCCCTCTCCTCCCCCTGCTATTGCAGATGAGCCGGTGTCGTATTTGTTTGAAATAACGCAAAAAAAATTAACCCGTAAAAACAAAGTTTTTCACTATAAATCCTTTATATGCGTGGCGGCTAGAGTCCTCTCGTCCTCTGGCTTGAGATGGCTGCCACCTATGGGTCAGATGATTGCCTGCCACCATTAAGCAATTGGTAATTAAATATAATTTATTTTTTCCTAAAAAGTGTACAATTTTGGAGAAAAAAAATTCACGAAAATAAATTGTCACGCACAACGAGTCTGTGTGCAAATTGTCAGCTCGATTGGATCACGGGAAGTGGGTTAAAAAACTACCGAAAGATTTGCACGGTCGTAAGCGCGCAAGCAAGCAAGCAAGTGAACTTAATATAAAGGATTTACAAATGGGTAAAGGCGCACCCCTGCAAATGTTTCCTGCTCACCGCCACTGCGGGTGGGAGGGGAGTGACTTCAAAAGGCAGGGCCTCTTTTGGAGGGTGTTAGTAGCACTGCTCTTACACGCCAATCCCTACAGGAATGATCGTCTCCTACCTACTGGCGTTACAGATGGGAAGTCGGTGTCGTTGTTTTAATGGAGTTTGAAAATTCGTGGATAATAATAATAATAATTTAAAGGTTGTTTTCCTTGCCCGGAAAAATCTCGCCCGAGTCACCAGACTCTTTCACGAGGGTCCTGCTTTGGGACGTTTGAGCCGCTTGCGTTATTTATTAATTTAACTCGATGTTCTCTCTGTGTGAGAGAATCATGGGGTGCCCAGAGAAAACCCAGCACGCACTCCACATCTACGGATTCAGTAGAGGCCAGGGCAGCATAATGCTCCCGTACTTCTATACTCCCACATGATGCCCCCCGCCCTCACCCAGCCACGCTGAGCCAGTGTAGTGAAGCGAATATGGACGAGATGCATGGCGCGTGGAAGGTCATCATCTAGTAGTGGACTGAACAGAATCGCTGTGCAATAACAACCGCCATTAGCCACTAAGTGACGGTGACGTCACCACGACACTTGTGCCAGGCTAAGTGCACTTTGAGGCTACTTGAAAACATCGAAGGCTCGCTGGCAGGAGGTCACGGACCAGACCCAGGTGTCATGGGTTGACCAATTCAGATGACTGGCTGACGCACCAATTGGGCTCCTCACTGTGCCAGCTCGCTGCATTATATCCGCTCGGCGCTCCGCTTGTTGTTGTGAGCAATGCTCCTCCGCCCTCCGTTGTTGCTGGAGGGCGACTTCCTCCCAACTGCCCAGTAGCGTCATTCACGAGCCTCCTCCACAGAGGCCGATCTTGACACCGCCGGTACCAGCCATCGGCAAGCCCACTCAGCTCCACATCCTCCTGTACCGCATCAGCTCACCTCATCCCCATCCCGTGCCATGCCCGTCTAACCCCCTCTGTCTGGCCGAACAGAACCTGCATGGGTGTGTTGTGTACGTGCGCGTTGTGTACGTGCGCGTTGTGTACGTGCGCGTTGTGTACGTGCGCGTTGTGTACGTGCGCGTTGTGTACGTGCGCGTTGTGTACGTGCGCGTTGTGTACGTGCGCGTTGTGTACGTGCGCGTTGTGTACGTGCGCGTTGTGTACGTGCGCGTTGTGTACGTGCGCGTTGTGTACGTGCGCGTTGTGTACGTGCGCGTTGTCTTCGTGCGCGTCCGACGACGGTCTATTTTAACTGGCTGTGGTTTGTGGCTGGCAGGAGGAGGAGGGTGCCGGCTGAAAAGAGGTGAACACACCTCTTCGACCACCTCCTTTTCTGCCCCGCCCCACCGACCCGGGCATGATGAGGGTGGACGTCTCCCTCCTCGTCACCGCCGCCTTGGTCGCCAGCCTCTCCGTCTGCGTCGTTCACTCGCAAGGTAAAGAGAGACGCCGGCCGCCACGAGCGTCCTCACAGCGCAAAACGGTGCAATTGTGGACTTCAATGTGAAGAGGGTAAAGGCGCTGGTCCCGTAGTTGGGCATTACGGTGGCTAGGAGATGTTAACTACCTCGCCCGGTATACAGGAGGTCGTGGGTTCGATCCCGACTCTGACGCCTGCTGTATATTTGGAGTTTGCATGTCTCTCTCACCTCGTGGTCACGTGGATTTTTCTCTGGGTTCTCCAGTTTTTCCCTTCACATTTAGAATCAACATCATTATTTGGCTGCGATACATTTCCACGTGATAAGCCACTTCATTGAGCGATCATTTGTGGCCAGGTTGCTTCTGCTAAAAGAACTATATAGCTCAGTGGGCCTTAGCTGGTTAAATGAAAAAAAAAATGAATTGCCTGCTAAAGCCACTGCCGGCCGGAAGCACTTCCGCGCGAGGAATCTTCAGGGAGCTTCGAGAGAGCCCCTCGTGAGTATTTTGGCCTCTCTCTTCCACGCTGGCCAGATGTCTTGTAAGAGCGGGGAGTGTGGATTGGACTCGTTGTGGTGTAGGAATTTATACTGCTGGGTGCATAGAGGCCGGAGAGAGTTAGGGGGCGGGAGGGAGAGTTTCAGAAACTTGCACCTTTTTGTTTTAACCGCCGTGCCAATAGATGGAATCGAACCTGCGCCCTGTGTATTGCGAGCCCAATGTGCTCACCGTTACACCACGGCAGCATCCCTCGGGTATTGCTTCATCACACTTAAATAGCTCTCTGCACTCACTTCTTAAAACACATTTTTCCCCCCAGCTATAGCTGTGGCATGAAAGTCACGAATGACGTCATCGTAATTCAAAAACAAAAAAAATCGGTCCGATGGCCGCGCTGTCGTCGCTCAGCTATTACTTCAACGTTGAACGGAAGGCCGTAAGGAGGGCCTACAAAATACGAGGCCCTTAAAGCCTCATTGGCCTGAGGGTTAAACCGGCCCCGATTGCAGAGCGACTATAAATATGTAGGACACGAGAGCATTACAAGATGCAGGCAGAGAGGGAGACGCATCAACGTATATTCTTGTTATGGAGAGAAATACGTTTTTTTCTTGCTGTGGTTTTCACACCTGATGATGATTGCTTGTGTTGCAATCGAAACGTCGTGAGAATTTAGTTATTTTATTTGGTATTTTTTTATTATTTTATTATTTCCCTACGACGTGACTTTACCGAAAGAACCAAGAATATGAATCCCTGCAGTCACGAAAGAAGCTTTAAATCGAAAAGAGAAAGAAGTAGACAGAGGAGGGTGGGAAATTCTGGAACCTGGACTTACATCGGCTCACTTTAAACATTTTACAAACGCCAGCAGGACGTTGTAGTGGCTACATTCTCCAGCTGCCTGTAGATGTTCCCACGTTTCAGCTGTAAATCTAACGCATTGGCAAACTCCCGTGAGAGTCAAGCTTCTCTTGGGGAGAAGGCGGGGTTGGTGCTTTAACTGTGTTTCCTGGGGAACAAAGCACTTTTTTATCGGGAATTCCCTGCTACCAACTATCTCCCAGTTGTGCTGTCTGCATCTTGGATCTCAGCGAGCATTGGACCCACCTGGTTCATTGTAACACAGTGTGGATTCACGTAGCAATCGCAATATCAAGGACGTGCTCATTTTGTACAGACCGAGGCGGACGGTCATTGGCGGAGGAGATGGGAAGATCCCTCGTGAGTCTCGCAATCTCTTTGCGAGCACGTGGGTCCCACGATGAGTCTATCGGTGTCCATACGACACAACTTCCAGGTGCTGCGTTTTCCTGGTAGCACACAGGGATAGCTGCCACTGGGGAAGTCTCCTCTGGTGCAGGGCACCTAGAAATGTACTGAACGAGAGGTGCAGCATAAATACCACGTGATGACGGTAGTGACGATGATTATGACGATGATGGTGACGACGACGATGATGCTGCTGACGATGATGATGATTATGATGATGATTATGATGATGATGGTGGCATCTTTAACACTAAGCCACTTAATAACAACAACATTGAAATGCATTTGATAAGTGTCTGTGAAGACTGGAAGCTTCGATGGGTGTTCTGAAATTATTTTCTGCCGGTCGCATGAACGGGTTCCTCATGTGGTCTCGTGATGTCAGAACAAAAAAATATGGGGACAAATTTTTTTTTTTCCTTTTATGCTTGCGATTGTTTGCAGTGGCCCGGCAGGTGCCGTTTGTCAAATGTGCCGTGAGTTACCGTGTGAGTCAGACGCGATGTCGTCCAGTCGGGTGGTGATGGTCGCTGGCGGGTTCCAAAAAAACAAACACGAATAAGTGTATAATAATAGACGAGGAAGCCCTTTGAACGGAATCATCCCACTCGGGAAGTTTATGGCATCCCTCCCACGCACGCGGCACCACGTAAGAGAGCGGGGTGGGCTCTCCGCACTGAGTATGCTGCCACGTCGCGTATCCCACCCTCTGGGGAGGGACGGGGGGGACTGGCGGTACAAGTGGATATGTGAAATGGTCGGATAAGTGAACATCCACAGGGAATGACAGCTGCGCCAACGTGCACAATGAGGGTACCGTAATAATGTCAGAGAGCACTAAAGCCGATTTCAAAGAATGGAAAGCCTTTCTGTTCTCTCTCTCTCCCCATTGCAGGTTTTATTTGATCACAGCTACTGTGACAGCCTGGTGGGGTTGATGTTCAAACATCCACGAACTCTCCAGGCTTGGCTCCTGCTTAGCCTCTGAGACCTGATGACACATCGGGTGCGTGCCGAGCGGTTTGGTCAGTGGCAATTTGGAATTTTTATGGGAGAAACAAAACCAAAACTATTTGTATCTCGAGGACGTTGAGCAGGCTCACGAGCACATTTCTTTGATGCTCAAACCAGTGGTGTTGTGATGTCATGTTGATATTTTTTCCAGCGGCAGAGAGTGAATGGATTAATTTGAGATTTGGAGAACAACATGTTTTCGGCTGAATGAAATATGAAAAAAAAACACAGCCTCCTGGCAGACTGAGCAACACAAAGATGTCAAAACACGCACAGGACATAACAAATCTGGCAGTAGGCTAGGGCTTTGGATTGTTAGAATTGTTAATGATTACAGCATTTTATAATAAAAAAACGATGATAATTTAGAGCCCATTGAACATCTGCTGCTGGATGAAGACTTCGATACTCCGTGCCGGTCGTCGATGTTGTTTGACCATACTTCATCACGCCGGTCAGTGCTCATTGTTTCTGAGTGGAGCCAGGTAAGGTGACTCAGGTGCGTTGCAGACATCACTCGCCACTGATGTTAGCCGTGGCCGGGAATTTATCTGAAAACGCCGGGCTCATAGCGCAGGGCCCAAAAACCACCGCACCAATTCTCATTCCGCCGCAAATTTGAATGCTAAGACGACAACGCAAGTGACGGCGCTGTATGTTGGGCCGGGCAAATGTTGACTGTTCCTTTGCGTGAACGCTAACCTGGTCGTGCCGTATGTTTTCTTCACCGGGGGCTAGTTTTGGCACCAAAGAACCTCCGATTCAAGTTCCTGAAAGACAACAATGTGCAGATGGTGTGGAAGGCTCCGACGGGGAAGATTTCGGGATACAAGATCGTGATCGCTCCAGCACCCGGTAAGTGAGTGAGTGGGTGGGTGAGTCACTGAGTGGTCGGGTTAATGGGAGAATAGTTGAAAGGGGGTGGGTGAGTGGGTGAGTGGTTGGGTCATGTGCAGGGGTCGGCAACCAAAATAACATGAAGAGCTATGTATTTCCCGAATTTGGTAATAATGTAGTATTTCAAGATCTGCAATGCAAGTGGTGAATACGAGACGGTGGTAACAGATAACGTCATGAAGCGGTTCTCAAAGAGGTGCATGCGGCTCCGGATCCGTAGGTTGCCAACAGCCTGGATTTGTGGGTGAATGGTTGAATGGTTGAAAGGGTGGGTGAGTGGCTGGATGGGTGGGTGGGTGAGAGGGTGGGTGAGTGGCTGGATTGGTGGGTGGGTGAGAGGGTGGGTGAGTGGCTGGATGGGTGGGTGGGTGAGAGGGTGGGTGAGTAGCTGCATGGGTGGGTGGGTGAGAGGGTGGGTGAGTGGGTGGGTGAGTGGCTGGATGGGTGGGTGGGTGAGAGGGTGGGTGAGTGGCTGGATGGGTGGGTGAGTGAGAGGGTTGGTGAGTGGCTGGATGGGTGGGTGGGTGAGAGGGTGGGTGAGTGGCTGGATGGGTGGGTGGGTGAGAGGGTGGGTGAGTGGCTGGATAGGTGGGTGAGTGAGAGGGTGGGTGGTTCAATAGATGGTCGGGTTGTTGGGTGGTTGAATGGTTGGATCAATGGGTGGGTGGGTGGATAGGTAGATAAGTGTGGGTGAGTGAGATGGATGAGTTGGTGGGTGAGTGGATGAGCGAGTGGTTCGGTGTGTTTAGCTAATGGTTTGGTGGTTGAGTGGGTTCATGGGTAGATGAGTGAGGAAGTGAGGGAGTGGGTGAGTGAGTGCGTGGGTGAGTGGGTGGGTGTAAATTCATGGGTAGGTGGATAGATGAGTTGATTTATGGATGATTGAGGGTGGGTGAGTAGAGAGTTGAGTGGGTGTGGTGGGAGGCTTGGTGATTTTTAATCTGTGTGGTGAGTATGTGCAGGAGTGAATGTGGCGAGGGTGTATGGGCGAGTGCGTGGACAGTTTGGTGAGTGAGCGATTGTGTGGATATTCAATTATGTTGCTTGTGGCTTCTGGAAGAAAATGCATTTACGTAAGCACATTCTCTTTCATTTGAAAACATACTTGTTTTTGGCTACTTGTGCACAGAACATTCTATAGGAGAATCCATGAAGCACACACACGTCCTAAATTCTAGAAACATTGCCCGTCACGAAAAGCTTTTTCTGATTTAAAGGGAGTTTTTAATTTAAAGCATTTTTTAGGACAAAGATCTCATTGGTTAAAAATTTGTGGGGGAAAAAATCCATCTTGGTCTAATCTTAATGACTCACACCCGCGTCTAAAGACGCGGTTATCAAAATAAACAAATGCCTAAGTGACCGCAAATTTTAAGTATTTTTTTCTCATTGCGGCTTGGGTTGTTATATTTTCTTAGGGATCTTTCACTGTGCCGAGAAAAAAAGCGATTTCGGCCCCACTGATACTGGAAACGAACTCTTACATTTAGCGGTGTGCATCAAAGCCCTACGGTGAACGCGGCACGGCTCACCAGCGCTCAACTCTGCCGAGCCTCACGTTGTTTTATTGCTCGTGAGATATTCAAACAGCAAAGCAGTGTCGGCACAGCCCCCGAAAGATGACACTGTGGAACTACCTGTGAAGTCACGTCCAATAGGCCTCTTTTTATACTCTCGTGGGGCAGACCCTTCACATGCCCCCACGTGAAGAGTTTCCATCGCACGTCAACCAAGCCAAAGCTTTGTTTTTAATTCATGGAGCTGGAATTTGTCCAAGAAAAGCGCAATGTCAAATGGAATGTTCGTTATTTCTGCGAGTGCGCTTCACTGCCAGTGCGGCTCAGGCCATGAACGTCGCCGTTGCACCTGAGAATCGATCTCGTCACGTAGCTTCACCTGCGTGACGTTTTGTTAGGTTTTTTTACTTTCCCTATGTTCAATCAGGCGACCTGTGGATCGCGAGTTCGGTGCGCTACGAATTGTTCCGGCGGAAACGTCCGAACGTTTCTGTCCGCACGGACCTCTAGCTCGTCGCTTCCCTCCCGTTTCACCTAGTTGAGGGATGGGGGGGGAGGTGACGGGGGGGGGCAATAGCCTCTCTCTCTGCCTGCGCCCCCCCCCCCCCCCCCACCTCCACGTAGCACCGCCTGTGGTCACGGGGGCCCGGCCACGCGTGTGCCAGGTGCTTTTGGTGGCGGCGCCCCCAAACGGCGTCGCTGGCGCGCGTTAAGTCGGCATCAGTCGGGGGGGGGGGGGGGGGGGTCGTGCAAGATGGAGCATCGCGTTCCGAGGGATGGTGCAGATTAGAGGCATTCCTCACCGCCCGCTTCCGTGCGCTGCCGTCGATTCTCAGCCACCGCACCGAGAGTCCTCCCCCGATGGCGACACGGGCCCCGCGTTCGAGAAAAACGCCGTCGTTACGGCGTCTGTTTGTTTGTCTGTCGGCCGTCTCGCGTTGCGCCGATGACGATTGCCCGAGAGAAGGTTGAGCACCACGGTAACGAGATGTTAACTGCCTTGCCTGGTATGCAGGACGTCGTGGGTTCGATTCCCGACCCTGACACCTGTTTATTTGGAGTTTCCATGTGTTTCTCTCCTCGTGGTGGCGTGGATTTTTTATCTGGGTCCTCCCGTTATTCCTTCCTCGTTTAGAATCAACGTATGTTTAGCGTATTTGGCCACTATAAAATTTCACACGACCCTAAGCCACTCCGTTTAGCTATCATTTGTGGCCAGGTCGCTTCTGAAAACGAGCTACGTAGCTACGCGGGCCTCACCTGGTAAAATAAACATTCGTTTCGGGTTTTTTTTCGGTCAGTTATCACATTGCCGCGCCTTCATGTGGGCCGATCCGGGCTGCACGGAAGCGGCCTTGGACCTCGCCACGTGAACGCCGAGGAGAGAGTGGGTGGGGGGGGGGGGGTGCCGGACGGGGGGGCGACTTGCGTTGCCGTTCTCTTCTGGGCAGCAGCTGTCACGCGTCGGCTTCTTTCAAATATCTCAGCGCCGTCGTGCAGCACCGGGGTCGAAGGCCTATGGGTGGTGTCCGCCTTGCCCTGTCTCTCTTCCCCGCCGGCCACCGCTGCCGAGGTTGCGCACGGCACAGCTCTCAGCCTTGCGCACGTTCGTTCCAGTTGAGGGCTGGCGGTGGCTACGCTGCACGCGGCTAACGCGTGAACCCTGCGATAATGAGCAAGCCAAGGTTGGTGGATCATCGCACAAAATGTTGCGAAACTCCCCTTCCCCAGCGGGGGGGGGGGGGGGGGGGGCATCGAAGCGGTGACACGCCCCTTGACACGCCAGGAGAAGGCGGCACAGCACGTGAGAAGAAGATGTGCCGCGTGAGATGATTGCGTGCCTGTGTGCGTACGTGCCGATGTGTGCCAATTTTCTCTCCTCCCCTCGCCCCGCCCCTCTCCCAAACGTGGCAGACGGCGTTGGGCCGTCCAAGGAGCTGAAGCTGCCCAAGGGAGCCACCAAGACGGTGCTGAAGGATTTCCGTGCCGGCACCGAGTACATGGTGACCATGGTGGCCTACGACGGCTCGGCCGAGAGCCCGCCCATCGTGGGGAAAGTGACGAGTAAGCGAAGTACCGCCCGCTGCACTACCACGACGGGGGCACGCTGCCGCCCCCATCTAAAGTAGACTCCGGTTGTCAATCTGGTGCGGGTTTACTGGCTCTCGCTGGCTGGCTGTTGGTCAGTTCCAGAGTGCGGTCAGGGCTCATTCTGACCACAAGGGATGAACAAGCTCAGGTTAGCACGGTTGGTTATATATGGTGCGAAAGAAGTTCAAGCTCAGCGTACATGCCCGTGGTGTTGAGGATAATAATATTGATGAGCTATGTGTGTGGACGATCGTTTTTGTGACGCGGTTTGTCAATAACGTTGCCTTAAAGTGTTTTATTTTTTATGTTTTTTTATTTTCTGCATGGATGATCCCTGTTTAGCCCCCCCCTCGGCTATTTTTCACAAGGGAAACCCGTTGGTGGTGCTGCCCAATCGCAGCAACAGCGAAAACAAAAAAGACAAAAACATCGACATTGCAGAGAAGCGAGTACAGCAGGGTCCTCAAGGAATCCATACTCTTTGGGTCTTTTTGTAAAGTCACGTAGGTTAAAAAAACAATTACAAATTACAAAAAAAAAATTCTTTTGTATTATTATTATTTTTAATTTATTTTATTTTATTTTTTACCTACGTGACTTTACCGAAAGAACCAACGACTATGGATCCTTGCAGTCACGAAAGCTTCAAATCTAGAATGAACCTCCTCAAGGAATAATGCGCGTCTGACGAACGAGGCGCTCGATGGCGGTGAACGAAACGCACGAGCTTTGAGAAGAGGTGCCCAAAAACAAGTGAGGTGAGGGTGCCAGTGTAAGCTGTGTGTTTTGCCCTAATTGAAAGGTCTCTCCCGGAGAGACGGAGAGATCCATCTGTCATGAAGAAGAGCCAGTTACAAACTCGCCGTCAGATCGCGATTTAGAGATGTGGGCGCGGCGGGGGCGAAGGGTCGGTGGGGTCGGTGGGGTCACGTCCACTTCTGATCTCTCACCGCTGATGTTAGTGGGGAACGGGGAACAAACCCTGGTGGCTGGATTCTTAGTCGGTGCGCTGCGTCGTGAAACCTCCGTGCCCCCGCCCCGTCTCATATTTTGGAGGCACGACGCTCGCGTTCCCGTGGGCACGGCGGAGATGCGCGGTCGCTCGTCCCCCTCGCCGGCGACGGCCGTGCCAACGCCGGTCCCCAGGGCGCGCCAGCCGGCCACGCGTCAGTCAGAAAGCTTTTGGCACGGCGTCACCGCGTGCCCTAGCCGCAGGGGCTGGTTTCAATTAGCACGGTGACAACAGTAGCAGCCGGCGTCCTGAATAAACCAAAACTTCTCTAAGTCTTGACGTATTTCGTAAATTTAATAAAAAAAAAATTGCGCCATATGGTTTTTTTGTCCTTGCTCCATTGGAGGCTCAATCCCAAGCAAGTAGATTTACGTAAGGAGCAGCGTTCTTACTCCCCCCGTGCTCCCCTCCCCCCCCCCCCCCCCCAGCCTTTACCTGCCGCTGCGGGCATCATTCGAGACAGGAATGTGGGGAAATGTGAAGGTGGTAATAAAGTATCAATGAAAAAGAGATAAGGACGCAATAAAAATATATTATTAGCTAAAATGCTTTGGCAAAGCCATTTTTGAAGGTCTCCCCCGTTCTGTGCGGGGGTCGTTTAACCGCATGTTCACCACGGGTTCGTCAACGGCTGAAGAGACCCAGGTCAGAATTGGGTGGGATATCACTTGCCGCATAATGTTCATCGTGTTGAGTAATGATGGGGAAATTAACTCAGGTCTGTCAGGTTCATTGCACAGGGGCTCGCAGTGGGAACCACTAATCCTACCTCACCATCGCCTCCCTGATTGATTAATCAATCAAGATTGATTATCAGTTATCGCGCGCATGTGGCTGTATTCATCTGTCGTTTCAGTTATTGTCCACGTTTCAGACATCATCAGACTTAAGAAGCCGAGGGCGGTTGAGAATAATTCTCGGTTAGGTGGCCCACCAGAGCTTGCCGGGCGCTGTGGGCATGGGGCGGTCACCCCCTCGTGGTGCAACGTCCCTTGGGGAGGTTTTTTTTCTGGGCTTCTCTGGGTTTCCTGCCACACGAAGCCAAAATCTCGACAACGGATAAGGCCCTTGCCAAACATCCGAATGTTTGTTGCAGCAACCCTTCCTGAGCAAGTCTCCAGGCTCGGCGAGGCTTTTACCGGGGAGAGAAATGCCCTGGCGGGATTTGTGGTATCCGATGATCTGCATACATGGGATGGATTGATGGCGTGGCAACCCTCCCTCTACTGGATAAAAACAACTTTATAGCTCATCGGATTCCTCTGGTGTAACTATTTTAATTCGAACAAGTGCACTTTGTGAAAAGTGATGGTGGGGGGGGGGGGGGGGGGCGGGGCAGGGGGGGTGCAGAGATGGCGCCTGGGTGGCTGTCTCTTCTTTATGTGACAAAGAGCTTTACAGCGCATCGGGATTCCTCCAGTGTCAACAAATATTCTGATCTGGCCGCTCGTGAAAAAGACCAGTCACGGTGGATGTTCTCTCTCTCTCTCTCTCCGCACGCCGTGGGCTGCCGGTGAGAAGGTGCCCTCTTGCCACACGTGCGTGCGCATTTCCCTTGCCCCGCTGACAGATGTTGGATGGCGAAGGATGTTGCTTCGAGTTGGGCCGGACAGCTTAAATGGTGTGCGGCGATGAATCACGTGAGAAGTTTAAATGCAGGGGGGGTTGGAAAAGAATTGAGCCGAAGAAGAGTGAAAGTTGAAAAAATCCATTACCTTTGAGTGCTTTGAGATTATTTTCTTTTTCAAGCGTGCTTAAACTCTTGAGTGTTGCCGTAAATGTTACAGAAGCATCGGGGGGAATGTGATATTCACGAGCCCGAAGATTTCACCACGGAGCGAGGGTTTATAGTGAGGGATTGTGGGAAGGATGGGGAAGTTATCTCTCGGTGCCTGCACCGTGCCTCCAGTACCAGCACCACGGTGGCGAGATGTTAACTACCTCGCCAGGTTTACGCGAGGTCGTGGCTTTGATCCTGACCCTGACGCCTGCTGTATATTTGGAGTTTGCATGTTCTCTCCCGCCGTGGTCACATGGATTCATCTCCGAGTCCTCCGGTTTTTCCCTCGACAATTAGAAACATGCGTCTAAACTATTTGGTTGTAATAGATTTCCACGTGATAAGCCACTTCGTTGAACTATCATGTGTGGCCAGGCAGCTTCTGATAAAAAGCTATATAGCTCAGTGGGCTTTACATGGTAGAGTAATTTTTTTCTATTGTTTAGTTTGAAACTGTTTTAATAGTACCAGTGGTGAGGCAGGCACCGAGGAGAAACAGCTCACGGATACTTGGCGCTTGGTTCTTCGTCCGCGCTGAGCAGCGTTCAGGGCAACACTCACGAGAGACACACGTCCGTGTACACACGTGACAATAATTACGGTGATGATGCTGCTGCGTTGGTAGTGGTGCACAAGCACAAATAACAACAACAACAAATAAAACAACAACAACAACAAAATGAACACATTCATCAATAGCACTGCTTTAATAGATTATTCGATGACTTGGTGTCATTGTGGGTAATAGCTCTTCTTCATAGCCTTGTGAATAATGAGGCCAAAGAGTGGATCGGAGATGGAGACTGCACGTTACACCATGGGGCCTGATGACAATTATATTTGTAAAAATTATACGTTTGCTGGTGAGCAGTTCGTAAATTGGCACGTGAATCGTTACCTAATAGTGGCGATCTGACGCAATTGTTTTTTTGCCCTGATTTCTATTCGCTGAGCTGCTGTCCTTTTTATTTCGGCTTTCGTCGTGTCGGTGACCCAAGTCACGCTCGCGAATGAGGGACTTCTGTCCTGCTCTCCCGAATTTCTCTTCGCCATCCGCTGCAACAAAACGAATCTGACGCAACTGGAATCGAATGAATCAACGGCACTCGTTGGGATGACGAGAAGGAATTGAAAAACAACCCCTGGAAGTTTGTGGGGTTATTTTGTTGTTGTTGTTTTTGTTATTGTTGTTGTGACCTGAATTGTCGTGAGATTACCCTGAGCCCTACGCCACCAAATCCACGATTCTCGACTCTAAGAGTCACCGCACGATTTTTTTTTTTTGTTGGGGAGCAGTTGGTTGGGGGATGTGGAGGAGGGGGTGTGGTTTTTTAAATATCGATGGCAGGAGGGGTGTGAAAAACGACATGGACATTGTTTTAATTTACATTGCTTTGAGTGAACGCTCCAATGGCGTCGCAGGACCATGTGCGAGTGAAGTGACGAGGCTCAGCGAGTCCCCGACAACGACGGCGATGATGGCGGCGGCGTTTACTTTGAAACGAGATGCAAACCGACTCGGGCAGAGTGCCGGAGTAAAACGTAACGATGTTGCGTCGTGCCGTCGGCACGCCGTGGCCCGCTGCACATCTGTGAAGCACATGCACCGTGCCCGCGCGCGCACGGATGTGAGCGCACGGACACGTGCGCACGTTTGTGCCCGCGTACACATGTGCGCGCGCGCGCGTGAGCACGTGCAAGGGGAAATATCTTCGGATGCAACGAGATGTGATGTCTGAAATATCTCTCCCGTCAAGCCGTGTTGGTCACACGGGTGACACACACTCGTGCTGACACGTACGTACACACACACTCGTGTTGGCGCACACGCTAATGCTTGCATAAATGATGACGTACGCATGCACACTCGTGCTTGCTCAAACACAAGCGCTCTCTCGTTTTGACACACACATTCATATTGACACACACACACTCATACTGACACGTACGCACTCGCACTGACACATTCGTACTGACACTTGCATGCTCACACTGACGCTATTATACTGGCATACACGCACATACACTCACGACTGAAACACACACGATCCCACTGACACACACACTTGGACTAAGACGTGATACGTTAATACCGGCACACACGCTTTACACTTACACAAGCAAACATACAAAGACAAAGATCCCCCGTATAGCCTTAACAGACTGTAGGGGCAAGTGCTGTTAGCGACACGCACAAAACCCAAAGATACATGCAGCCCTTCACAATTTGCACAGCCTTTGAATTTTCCAATCATCCCTCCCATGCATAATGAGTCACAATAGCAATCCCACGTTTAAACATCCTCTTCTTAATATTATACTCCTTTAATCCTTCTCATTCAAACTTAAGAAGGATCTGAGATGGATGTGATCAATGCCGTTTGCGCAATGATGAAAGTAGTCACAAGTTCGGGTTTTTTTTATGTTGTGTGCGCTCGCTCGCTCGCGCGTGCGTGTGTATGTGTGAGTGTGCATAATTGATACCAGATTTCCTGCAGCTGAGCAGCCTAAGCATGGCCGCGTCTTTGCGAAGTTCACCGTTGAACTTGAGTATTCTCTTACTCCACGTCCCCTTAGTGAGTGGATCACGTAAGCCGATCTCTTATTATTATAATAATAATTTTAAAAAAAGTTAACCTTCTGGGATACTTTGGGGGCCGGCCAATTAATCTGGCGGGTGTCAAATATATATTGTTTAAATGACTGCGTCTGTACAGTCCAGTGTAATGTGAGTTTTCACGATAAGAGCACGGGTGAGGGGGGGTGTGCTGGGGGGGGGGGTAATGTTGCCTGGGAGTGACACCGGAGGGATGCAGCCGACCCCCGTGCGCGTCCCTTAATTTGGCGAGGTGCCTGCGCGCGTTCAGATGTAGGGTCTTCTGCGTTTTGCAACGCTTGAAAAGCAAAGCAAGGAGAGAGTTCCAGGCGCTCGATGCGCGTTGCAGAGAAAAAGAGTGGGGAAATAAATAAATGCATTTCTTTGCGTGCAAACATGTTGCGCGCGGTTGCTCGAAGCGCATGCCCGGATGTCCGTTGCCCCGTTGCGAACCTCATTTTTTCGTTGCCCTTTTTTGTTTTTCTGTACGCGGACAGTCGAGGCCAAGACGACCAAAACCACCACCAAGAAGACGTCGAAAAAGCCCTCTACGAAGAACGAAGACCGCTCATCTTCCGACGGTAACGTCGGCGCGCATTCACGACTCGAACCCGAAGCGCAGTTTTGCTCTCAACATCTTCCAGAAAAACCGGCCAAGAAAGGTCCCACGGTGGCGAAACGCTATTAAGCTTAAGACCCCTTGCCCTGGATTGGTGCGTGCGTGTGCAAGCTTGTGTATGTGCATTGGGCGCGGTAATGCAATCGCTGGCTCGCGGCTCTATGAACCCGGGTGACTCAAAGTCGATTCCCGCTCGCGGCCAACATCGGTAACGAATGTCCTGAGCCGGTCGTAAGCCTCTCCTCGTTTGACTCGCCCTCAAGATAGATGTGTACCAGGTGGGCGGGCGCAACACTGGCCCAGTGTAAAATGAAGAGCGCTCATCCATATGCGTGGATTCTTTAAAGCATTCCACCGTGCATTTGTTCCTCGACGCTTTATTGAACTCTAGATAATAACGGTGGCGCTCGCACCAGGCGCGCAGGAAAGTAGTCCTCGGCAAGAGCGATGGGGCTCCGATGGCGGCTCGGATTGATGCTGCGAGTTCTGGGCAATCCCTTTGGTCAGGAGACTCATAGCCCCTAAAAGTAGCGCAACTTCAGGGTGAATATGTCGTCGATATATCGGATCATCTTTACGAGAGAGTCATTGTGCCGCCCGCGCCACTGCGGACGAGACGCACGGGACAGGCAGATGGATGGAGCTTCTGCACGAATGCGTTCAGATGAAAAGATGCCGTTGGCTTGCCAGGTATTATTATTGGCGAACGGCGCTCCATCTACACGACGGGATATCCTCCGCAGCACAGAAAATGCGAGGTTGTACAAAAAACCGGTGGAATGGTCGCAGTCGGGTCTGACACCTTTAAGAGCGGCTGAGAGCGTTGGCGTCTTCGCCGCGCCAGACATGCACTGGCAGCGGTAGCGGTGAAAGTCGTTATTTACTCCGAGTCATTAAAGGACAAAGGGCCGAATACCTCGGGGTGCGCTAAAGAGTCGGTTTTAAATATCTCCCCTTAAACTGACACCGCGAGTAGGGACCTGCTTAGAGCCGTTACGTGCGGGGTGGGGTTAGGGGGGCTGGGAGGGTGTGGGGGGCATGTGGGGGGTCGGTGGAGGGGGGGGGTCTGGATATTGCATTACCGGCGCATGCTGAAATTCTGGCCAAGAGCCACTGGAAGTTGGGACGTTACGTTAAGTGATGGCCGTTGTCATCAGCACGCCCGGGCCCTGTACGCACCAAGCTAATGGCAGTGGAGAAATAGCCGACGCGAATGAAAAATGTAAACACTTTTATGCGTGTAAAAAAAAAAAATCCACCGGGTTGAAATTTCATCTACAAGTAATTAATGATTATGTGTAGGGTTAAGCACTCGCAACTAGAGTTTCCAAGGCTTTTGTAACATCCGCTTCCATCAAAGGCGAGCGACTCTGTACTGGTGGCGCACCACATGAAGGCAAGTGGAGTCGGTGGTTAGTAATGAATGGAAATAGAAAAAGGAATGGGAGAGGAGAGAGGGAAAGATAATGAATGGGGAGTGAGAGGAAGGGGATGGGAAAGGAGTGGAGAAACGGGAGCAGAGAAGTCAGGAGACATGAGGGGAGGGAGGAGGCTACACAATGGCCTTGACGCTGCTGCTGCTGCTGCTGCACGGAGCGGCGGCTGTTTTCACAGTGGGCGGGGAGAAGGGGTTCAGAGTGAGCATGGCTACACAAAAGTCACGTGGTTTACAGGAGGCTTGAGCTGAATCAGATATATGGATTGTTGTGAGCCAATCTCTAATCGCTGCTGGATTTAGTGGCGCATAAGCGGATGCCACCATCTCCATGGTCAGTGTTGTGGCCCCCCATCACCCATGCACTTCCTTTTCTCAGATTTAAATGTATTCCTCTCTCTCCTCTTTGGTGGTTTCACTCTGCGGGGGTCTGTCTCGGCCGCTGTTCTTGTCTCGTCATTCTTTTCGACAAAGCGTTGTCTAACGTCCGTACGTATTCCTTCGTGACCAGGAGTGAGTGAAGTGTTCTAGAGGGAGACCTGGGAAAAAAAAAAGTTCAGACAGACCTCAAATTGGTTTCGGTACGGCGCAAAAAACACAAAGTGGTCAAATTAAACGAACGCGGCGGACGATCGACCAAAGAAAATGAAATGCACCGAATTTTGAAACCCAACTGAAAAATAATGGATGTAATCAGAATCACAATCAGAATATGTATTTATACTGGAAGAATCCGATGAGCTATTAATCTTTTTTTTAACAGATGTCTAGTCGGGGCTGATCAAGAACGTTACAGAATGCCGTATTTTCCAGATGACAAGGCGCCCCGGAAATTAAAATGCACACCAAACTTGTGCCCGGTGTCAAGTGATACAAATCTGGTCACGCACACAAAGACAAAGATCCCCCCCCCCCGTATAGCCTCAACAGACTGTTGGGGCAAGTGCTGTGCATGTTGATACATTCCCCCAAACGCCCCCCCTGCTGCCACCGCCCCCCTTCACCCAAAGCGAAAATTATTTTGACATCGGGTTAAACAGAAAAAAAATGATGATTCATTATCCACCGAGTGAAAACCACACGGAGTCGTGCCTGCATTGATGTCGTCTTGGGGCAGGCAGCAGGCACTGCGTCGAAGTTCATGAAGACACCGCCGGGGGCTTGAAGAGAGAGGGCATCTTTGAAGCCTCCGTCTCAACCCCCATATGGCTCCAATTTTGCACTTCTTAGCCAAATTGCAAAATAGACATCATCGGCACCAGATAATGTTTTGCAGCCATCAGGGTTTGGTTGAACATTTAATTAATTAAATTATACGCTTGAAAAAAAAGCAAATGCATCCATACGTGAACTTCATTTATATATGGAGCCCGCGGAACCAATGGGCAGGTTTTAAATATTTATATTCCTCTGACTCCCTCTCTCTGTAAAATAAACATGCCCCCTGTTTCTGTTTGTCATCTTGGGATGTGGTCACATTTAGATGCTATATTTAAACCACATTGTATTGTACAGAGACCCACATCTAGGCCTGTACACTCACACAGCGACTCATGGCCTCACACAGAGTCTCATAGACTCGCACAGAAACTCATAGACTCCCACAAAGACTCATAGACTCACACGGAGACTCATAGACTCACACAGAGACTCATAGACTCCCACAGAGACTCACAGACTCACACAGAAACTCAGAGACTCACACAGAGACTCACAGACTCACACAGAGACTCATAGACTCACACAGAGGCTCACAGACTCACACAGAGACTCATAGACTCACACAGAGACTCACAGACTCACACAGAAACTCATAGACTCACACAGAGACCTCCCTCTTTACCTTTGCCTGTGACTGAATGCCTCTCGTTGTGCAGAATAAATATGCCCACTCATGCTGTGCAGTTGCTCTGAGGTGCGGTGAAATTAATACGGTCTATAAATCCACATCGTAACACTGCGTTGTGATAATTGTTTGTTTACCCTTCTATCTGGCAACAAAACTGACACCTTTTTTACAAGGAGTCATGTTTACATAGACCACAATACCTGCAGTTATAATGCAAACAACCCATGTGAGACTAGGCTCTAAGGAAAGCTGTCTCGGGTGTGGACCAATCAACTTCAAGGACAGTGCATACATTATCAGAGTTATGCTTTTTGTTTGCATTATGACTGCAGGTTTTGTGGTCTATGTAAACATGACTCCTTGTAAAAAAGGTGTCAGTTTTGTTGCCAGATAGAAGGGTAAAAAAAAGCAATTATCATATTTTTTACTGGCAAATGAGGTTCCAATGGTGTAAACTTGGTTGTGTTTGTGGTTTGTGTTGACGGCCCCTCGACCCATGATCCCCTTCCCCTCCACGCCCTCCTCCCTCCCCACCCCCCGCAGGCTGCGTCCCCGGCACCGCGGTCGACCTGGTTTTCGTGGTGGACGGCAGCTGGAGCGTCGGCCGCGTGAACTTCGAGAAGGTCAAGGGCTTCATGGCATCCCTGGTGCAGGCCCTGGTGCGTGCCGCTTCCTCCTCCTCGTCGTCGTCGTCGGAGGAGGAGGAGTCCTCCGAGGAGGCCGATTCTGACTCTGGGGGCGGTGGCGTCCGTGTCGGCATCGTGCAGTACAGCACGGACGCACGCACTGAGTTCTTGCCCAACGAACACACGGATGCCGAAAAGCTCATAGAGGCCATCCAGAAGCTCCCCTACAAAGGAGGCAGCACCAATACCGGTGAGTGGGTGGGATGGTTGGTGGGTGGAAGGTAGAATTGGTGGGAGGGAAGGATTGTGCGTGGGAGCAAGTTATTGCAGGGTATGTTGTTGTTTTAACGGGTGGAAGAATTGGTAGGAGGGAGAGAAGGATTGTTGGTGGGTGGGACGGATGGAGGGCATGTTGGTGGGTTGATAGGTGGGCAGAATTGGCTGGTGGGCAGTTGGAATAGAGGGTGCGTTGAGTGGAGCCATAGAGTGAAACCTTGCAAAATACCGCTTCAGCCAATCGGAGTTGTTTTTTAAGTTTCCGGCGATGGAAAAGTTTTTGCAAACGAGGAAAGGGGTTGTTGTTGTTAGCATTCGGGTCAACATCGGTGCCGAATATCTAACCCAGTCTTCAGTCTCGCCCACAATGAATCGGCCCTCAAATAAGTAGATGGCGCAGCACGTGACGCATCAACATTGGGTGGGGTGACAAAGGTGGCTGGACTTGGCACACATGACAAACCACCCCTCCCCCCAAAAGTGCGCATTTTCCGGCCTTAACAAATGCTCACTAACAGCACTCGCCCCAGCAGTGTGTTGGAGGCTATAACGGCAAGCCAGGGCGGGGGAGTTGGTCCTTGATCTTCGTCTGCGATTGTTTTTTTTTTGGCAGGAGATGCGCTGCAGTTCGCCCAGCGCATGATGTTCGCGGAGGGCGCGGGCACGCGCGACGGCATTCCCAAGATCGCCTTCGTCATCACGGACGGGAAGTCCCAGGACGCAGTGGCGGCACCCGCCCAGCAGCTGCGCAGCGCGGGCATCGAGATTTTCACTCTCGGTAACGACGGCGCTCGCTTCCGATCGGCTCTCCCATCTTCGTGTCGATTCGTCGTCGTCGCAGGCATCCCCGAGCCTGCAACCGCCGAGAATCCTGCGATCGTTTCAGGATTTGAGCCGCGCACAGCTGTTAATTTGCAGCGAGTTGATGGCCTCAGACCTGGTCACCGGTGGCCTTGCTTGGGGATCGATAAGGCTTCGCGGAGAGATGCATAGACTTGCGTAGAGAACCACGAAGAACTCGTTAGGTGATTCACAAACTCGCTTTTCGAAGGAGTTGAGATTAAGTCAGGTTCTCAAGCATAGGAAGTTGGTGGTCTCACAATGACGTCGCCAAAAAAATGAATAGGGGGACGGAAGTGGGGTAGACAATTTTAATTCCATTTACCCAGGCCCATGCCAACTATGCTAGGCCACCACACACGATCAAAAATCCTTCTTCCCACTGTCGTGATGGGGAAAATTAGTAACAAATAGACGTAGCATACTCCTCTTTCACCTGCCCGTTTATCCACGTAAAACATAAAACAAATATTATTATTTTATACACATCCCATTATCAAAAGGGCCCTCTGAGAGCGCCACGACTCGACGGTTTGGCTGCGATGGAGATCTGCCCCAACGCCGACGTGCCCGGCGTTCTTTTGATCGCCGGCCCCGCCCTTTTGATCGCCGGCAGGCATCAAGGAGGCGGACGTCGCGGAGTTGCAGGAGATGGCCTCCGCTCCGCTGGAGCGCCACCTCTTCAACGTGGCGTCCTTCGACGATGTCAAGGGCGTGCAGGGGGAGATCATCTCGCACGTGTGCCAGGGCGTGAAGCTGCAGATGACCGTTGCGCAGGAAGGGGAATCGTTGCCCGGTGAGCGATTCTCCCTCGCACATGCACATGAATACATGCACAGGATGACTCCTGTCTCCTCAGTGGTGATGTTTACACTTTGTACCAGGTACTCATTTGAGGCTGAGTCAATCTCGGAGAGGCCCACGACCGGTTCAGATAATCGTCACTGATTTTGGCCGTGAAAGGGAATCGAACTCGGGTCGCTGGGTTTGTAGCGCAGAGCGCTAACTGCTCCGCTACTGCTCCCCACAAAGACAAGATCCTCCATATAGCCAAACTGTTGGGGCAAGTGCTATTCGTGAGCACCTATGAAAGCTGACATGGTCCACAAGGGAGTGGGTGGCCAGCACCATGCCTGGCTGCCTTTGTCCCCCTACTGGCGATATTGGCACACGACTGCACCAGGTACTCATTTGAGGCCAGCTCGACCTAGTGGAGGCCCAGGCAGGACCGTATAGCAGCCAAAATTGAGTATTTCCACATGATAAGTCACTTCGTTGAGCTTTCATTTGTGGTTAGGTCACTTCTGAAAATGATCCATATAGCTCAGTGCGCCTTACCTGGGAGAATAAATTAAATAAACATAGACCGGTCCAGGTAATCTCCACTGGTGGTGTCGCTGGAACTGTTTGACCGTGTTTGTAGCGCGGAGTGCTGACGCGCTGACGCGCTACACTACCACTCCCCAGATGCATGTGGCAGGTATCTACCCCAGACCCGGGTGGTGGTGGAGGGGGACCTCTCATGTCTATTTGTGTGTGCAGCGAGCAGGAGGCGCGTGGACCTGCAGGTGAGTGACATCTCCACGCAGAAGATGCTGGTGTCCTGGCCCAGCGTCGCTGGGGCCACCTCCTACCAGCTGGCGCTGCGCACGGCCGACGGCCTCTCCTACAGCGACTACGTCATCACCGCTGCAGCCACCTCTTTGCAGCAACAGCGGCTCGCCAAGCTGAGGCCCGACACCACCTACCTGCTGTCCATGAGGGCCGTCTTCCCTGAAGGCCCGGGGTCCGAGACTGAGGCCGAAGCGACTACTGCCAGTGAGAGGACTGACCCCCTCCTCGTGCCTTCTCATTCGTTCCTCTGCCTTTCTGTCTTTTTGTTCCTTCCTATTCCTTTCGTTTGTCTTTCTGTCCTTTGTAGTGTCCTTCCATGCCTTTCTATTCCTCTGCCTTTCTATTCCCTTCCTGTGATTTTCTACAGCCCATGGCTTGGCATTGTGTCTTTACATTTCACTTCTTTCTCTGCTTTCCCAAAGCCCTTTTTTTCCCTCTTTCGCACATGTATGTTGCTTGCAAGTTTGTGGTTGTGTATGGGCACGGTGCTCGCTAACAGCACTTGCCCCAAACAGTCTGTTAAGGCTACACGGGGATCTTTATATCCACGTGGGGTGCGGCGGCGCAGTGGTTAACGCGCTACGCTACGAACCCGGCGACCCAAGTCCAAATCCCACTCACCGGCAACATTGACGACGATTATCTAAACAGGTCCTGGGTCTCCCCATAGGTTGACTCGGCCTCAAATGAGTGCCTGCTGCAGCGTTCAAATAACAAACGCAGCCAGGCACGGTGCAGGGTCACCCCAACCCAACGGGTACCCTCGCCAACAGCACTCGGCCCCAACAGCCTAGCGTAGGCCTCGCGGGGCAATCTCCACACCCCTCGTCTGTGCGCATCCACGTTCTCTCCTCGCCTCCCTTCCTCCCTCCCGCCCCCACCCCCGCAGAACTGAACGGCCTGCTGGTCACGCAGGAGACCCCGTCCAGTTTCCGCATCAGCTGGCCCCGCCAGGAGCCGTCGGCACGCCGACTCCGCCTCTCGTACCGCCCGGCGGCTGGGGGCAAGGCGACGGAGGTGACGCTGCCGCCCGGCGCCTCGTCGGCCCTCGTGCGCAAGCTGCGCCACTCGACGGCGTACAGCGTGGAGCTCACGCCCGTCATGGCCGCGGGGGACGGGCCCACCCTCAAGGCCACTGCCACCACTCTGGAAGGTGCGGAGAGAGAGAGGCATGGAGAGAGCGCGAGGGGGGACCCGGTGGAGGATTTGAGGAATTAAGTGAAGGGGGGGAGGGTTCGATTGCCTCTCCCCCAACGTTGGATCCACCCAAAATTGGTACCTTATTCGTATCTTTTTTTTATTGCCAAGTATTTTTTTTTTTCAAGAACACAGAATAGAGTGGTGACGTCACAAGCAGGGCGGAACAACGCGGAATGGTGCGCGACTTCTCCGGAAAATATTCGGTGACATAGATTAAGCCCTTCTCTAAATGGTTTTGGCCGTGGCCGCCCAGAGCAGCAGTCGCCAAAGGTCATACATTCGCATTGCTGGTACGCACCGCCCTTTTGTTAATCCACTGCTGGATGAAGGCCTCCCATGGCAGTCATGAGGGTTGATTTACCATACTTAACATCTGTGAAAAAGAGCTTTATAGCTCATCGGATTCCTCCAGTATAAATACATATTCTGATTCCGATGCTTTACTGTGCTGGCCATTGAAATAGGCAACTTAAGTACCGGTTCACATATCGCTCGCTACTAATGTAAGCCATGGCCCGCAAAAAAACTTAGGTCAGCTGGCGTTCACAGCACGGTGCGCCGACCGCTGAACCACCGCTCAACCTGCCCCATGCAATCACAAAAGCTCCGCATTTGTTCACGTTCAATTGCTGCGCCCGGTATTCATAAAATACCCTGCTGCTACTGCTGCCATCGCAAAATTACGTCCGTCAAGCGTTTGCCGTTAATTGGACTGAAACGCCTCCACAAAAGCGAAGGAATCCTCGTTCAAGGATGCTTCCTCATTCCAGTATAGCGTTGTGGAGCCCCCCGATCGCGTGCATAGGGGGGGAGCCCCACGTGGCAAGCAGTCGTGAGCTTGCTGCTGCTGCACATTACGGCCAAGGAGGTTCTTTCAGAACAGGGCTGTCGTTTCATTCGAAGCCGGCAGGCTTGAGTGGGGAAGGGGGGGGGTGGTCCCCTCATCTCTGCCGTCTGTCCTCTCTCTACTGAGATGCTAATGGATGGCATTGGGTTGCAGAAGTCCACGTCCGTTAATGCCCCTGAATACGATTAAGTTATAACGGTTGAGTCTGGCGCGCATTAACTTCATTTTTGTTGGTTGGTTCAACAGTGCGTCGATTCACAGGCCACCGTAGCGTAGATTACAATGCACACGTACGCACAAAGCGTACGCGTGCGTTGTAACCGCCAGTGGAAATGTTGTACTCGAATTGTAAATGTTGTGGATTTACTCTCCAACACCCCGGTGTGCTGAAGAAGTAACTAATTCGCACGTTTTGTTTACATGATAAAACTTACTAATTGGCTGTGTCGGGTGGTGGCGGGTTTTAGCGACACATTTATATTCACACGCTCTAACCCAAGAAAAAAAACGTTATTGTGGATAATATTGCTTGCGAAAGCCTAAGTGTTAAACTACGCAACAAAGGCTTTACCACGTTGTCTACTGTGGAACGAACTCGGGGCATATTACGAAGTTAGCGCTCGGTCTGTGATCAGCAGTGTGCGCCTTCCTACTAACAGAAAACTACTAATAGATAACGACTCGTATGCCGATTTAAAAAACTGTCTATCGAGAAACATTGATCAAATGTAATTATTGTCAGTCTCCAACGCGTATTATCCATCTGTCGCTCTGGCATCTCTATTTTACTGTCCATTTTTCTTTTAAGGCCACGGTGTTATTGACAAACGCGTTGAGATGTTTGTTTGTTTGTTAATTGTGCTCGTGCATCATTGCAAACGCAGCAGCAGCACCAAATTGTACACGTGTGTCTGTAAGTATGTTGAACTTCACCAACTGTGCTAATCGGAGGTGCGCGACATTCGACATACGTTTGACATGTCACGTAAGTGGAAATCTAACGTGACACATTGCGTATACGAGCGTGCGTGCGTGCACACGCGTGGGCGTGCATGCCTGTGTGTGTGCATACTGCGTGTGCGCGTGTCTGCGTGCGTGCATGCACACGCGTGGGCGTACGTACCTGCGTGTGTGCATACTGCGTGTGCGCGTGTCTGCGTGCATGCAGCCGCCAAGTTCAAGCCACCGAAGAACCTGCGCGTGCTGGAGGAGGGCACCGAGGGCCTGCGCATGGGCTGGAAGGCTGGCCCCGGCAAGGTGTCAGGGTACCGGGTCCACTACGCCCCCCAGGGAGACGAGGATGCCTACGGGGAGGTGATGCTGGGGCCGGACGACACCTCGGTGCTACTACGCGACCTCCGGTTAGGACCCCGCACCTTGTTGTCCACTTCCTCAGGCGCCCCGCGTGGATGTTTTGTACGTGCAATCTGTTCTCCTGTAACGCTGCGTCTTTTCATAAGGCGATTTGGATATAACGCGATGAGTGAATGGAACTACGTCGCGCGAGTAAGAATAAGCGGTAGTACGGCTGCCTCGGCGTAGCATCACCCAAGGCATTGGGATGCTGCTGGATGCTTCTAAATGCTACCCACGGACCTCAGTCATTGTTCTTCCTGCGTATGCATCTCACGTGTTATTGCGGACTGTGCTTTACCCTATATTATATATCTTGTTTATCATAACACGATTTTTCCATAACGCGGCATTCTTCAAGAGCGCAACTACCGCCGCGTTTTAGGAGAACAGGTTGTCTGTTGAACATCTTTCACACTGTACGTGGACAACCGTGCTAATCAGAAGTGTGCCGGGGGAAGTACAACAAACTAAACACAACAACGATCAGTTCTAACGAAATTGGTTTTCAATCTAAAAACTCATTGGCCTGCACAGATTCCGTGTGGCCAATGCAAATGCATGTGCAGCGGGGGAGTTGGATAAAGATGCATATGCTCACGTAGCCTGACTTTGAGTTTGTTTTATTTGTTACGCGCGTGATGGTCCGGCGTAGCTGGTTGCCTCGGCTATTTTTCCACGGGAGATCCGTGGTGCTGCATGAGCACAGCCGCATCAACAACATAAAATGAAAAAAAAATCGATATTGCAGAGTACGAGTACAGCAGGTCCCTTAAGGAATATAGCACAGAAAACAAACGAAGTATTTAGCGGTTGCAAACAAAACGTTAGGCGCAGGTGCAAGTAACCCCTCAGTTTAGTCTCACGGTGACAAAGAAGACGCATGCACATCGAAAAAAGACGTGGCAATCGTGTGGGAGCATAAGGCGCCAGAAAGAACAGTGAGATGCGGGTGCAAGCAAGCTGCATGTTTTGGGTTTCATAGGGAAGGGAGGGGACCAAGCTGTACGGGAGCGGCACGGCAATCCTTATTCTCCTCTTGCGACGACCGACCGGCTGCCTCCCTTTCCCCGTGAAACCAGAGACTCGCGCCGTTTCTCGTCGTAGCCGGGCCGTGCTGTTGCGTTGTCGATGACGCTGTCGTCGGGTGACGTGCCCGTGGGCAGGCCCGGCACGGCGTACGGCGTGAACGTGCACGCCGAGATGCAGGGCGGCGGGGAGAGCGCCGCGCTCGAGGCGCTGGTCACCACCAGCGAGTACGAGGCGGTGACCGCGCAGACCCCGACCGGTGAGCCGCTCCGTCCCACCACTGCCACCACCGCCACCACCACCATCGCCGTGGGTTGGATCCCGACCCTGACGCCTGCTGTATATTTGGAGTTTCCGCGTTTCTCTCCCCGTGGTCACGTGGGGTTTTTTCCCCGTTCCTCCGGTTTTTCCCTCCTGCATTCAAAATCAACGTCACCCACTTGAGAGCAATTTGCTTGGTCGTGGACGAACGAGACTCGTGCTTGCGTCGTGTCCCGGAGTCGCGCAGGCCGCTTCGAGTGCAGCTCGCAGGCGCAGGTGGACCTGGTGATCGTGCTCGACGGGTCCTGGTCCATCGGGCGCATCAACTTCCGCCTGGTGCGCGAATTCCTGGAGCAGCTGGTGCAGGCGTTCGATGTGCAGGCCGACAAGATCCGTGTCGGTACGCGCGCGCACACACGAGTGGTCGGATGTACCCGTACGCATGCATGCACGCACAGACACATGCGCGCGTGCATGCACGGTCGGTTGCACTCGCACTAACGAGCACTTGCATACGTACATACGATGTACGCGTAGGATTCGGTCGCGAGCAATTGGCCACGTGAAATCCTGAGCAATTTTTTTACGTCGAAAAAGTCATGATAACAAATAATTTCGTTTCCCCATATTTTAACCACACGTTCCGATTCCTTAACGCCCGCTCTCGGTCTAAAGCCACCATCATCGCAAACATGCTCGGCGGGCCGCACTGCGTCGATTCTCGCCGCACAGCGACGGGAGCCGTTGCGTTCCAATGTCCCGCGTCTCGTGTGTCCCCCCCCCCCCACCCGGGGCAGCCCTGTCCCAGTACAGCGGGGACACGAGGACCGAGTGGGACCTCAACACGCACACCACCAAGGCGGCGCTGCTCGAGGCCGTTCGCAGCCTGCCCTACAAGGGAGGCAACACCAACACAGGTGAGGGCTTGGCACATGGCACGTGGCACTTTCGAGGTCGCAGTGAGAGATATTGGGTCGATCCCGCCCCTGACCCCCGCTGTATATTTGGAGTTTGCGGTGTCTCTCTCCTGGTGGTCGCGTGGATTTTTCTCTGGGTCCTCCAGTTTCTCCCTCCACATTTAGAATCAACATGTATTTGAGTATTGGCTGCTATAATTTTTTTACACGGTGATAAGCCACTTCTTTGAGATATCATTTGTGGCCAGGTTGCTTCTGAAAAAGCGCTGCTTAGCTGAGTGGACCTTACCTGATACATATATTGTTTTTAATGTGTAGTAGTTGAGTTTAGTCTGGTCTACAAGAAGCGATCACCGTGACCAGAAAAATGAATGAGTGGATGAAGTTTCATCCAACGTCCGCGTTGGCCGCCGTGCGACGACCGACGGAAGAGAAGAGAGCGGCGTGAAAATCCCCGTCCACGTGTTCTGGGTTTAAAAAAAAATGGCACACTGGTAACTCGTGTGCAATAACTTGCCACACGTGATTTTCTTTTGCGAATTTTTTAACCCACTAGATGGCAGACTTGTCACGTGATCAAACGTGGCGGGGGCACCCTTGCACACCTGCACATGAGAAGAGCGGCGAGCTGTTAGTTCGCTTGTCGTGCTCTGTTCGGGTGGAGAGACGAGTGCGACGCTTATCGAGGAGTAAAACTGCAATATCACAATGATAATAAGAGTAACGTTTAGTCTTTTAAAATATATAATAATTGCGTCGTTGATGCATGTTGCTTTGGACGGAGGCCAGGTGGTGAGCCGGCAGCGGCAGCTACCAACAATTTGCCCAATCTCTGCAGTCCTCTCTCTATTGATGTGGTCTCAGCCAATTGATGAGTGTTTATGCACGGTGACAACTTCATGACACACGGGGGCAAGGTTTCCAGATGGGCGTCGCGGCCGCGATGGGGATACGGGCGCGCTCGCGTCGCCGGGGGCGGGCCTTGGCTGGTCGATGTCGTCCGTGTGGAGGTGGTTGAATTCGGATGAGAGCCGAAGGAGCAGCAGCGAGAGGACTGTTGGAAAGAGCTCTTTCATTTCTGTCGGGGCGCACCCCCGGCGGAAACCCTCGTTGGGACGGGATTTTCCAGAACATGTGGTGCACAGTCCAGACCAAGCCCCCCCCCCCACTCCTCAACGGCCATCTGCTCGTTATTTTCCATCTGTAGATGATTGAAAACATTTTAATTTAGATTGAAATTTGGCCAGAACTAGTTTATATATATAAGTATATACATATTTACGACTTCTTATATTTCTCCTGGACACAAAACAATCCCTTGAGATGGAACAGTTTGCTTTGCAAGGGCTATCCAGGCTGTCAGCTGACAACGTGAGTGTTGAACACGTCACGATCACGAACATCATGCAGACACGTTGAAATCTGCAACTCGTAGCCGATGCACTTATGAATATCACACCCAGGCAGACGCATGTTCACATATGTATGATTAAATGATGCACCCTTTTGGCAGGGTGGCCCAGTGGTAACACTTGTGCCTCACAGCAACAAGCACCTGGGTTGGATTCCCACCTTTCTGTGTGTTGCGTTTGCGTGTTCTCCACCCTCTCCTGCGTGGGTTCCCTCCACAAACTTTCCGGTTTCCACCCGTTGCTTTGAAAGAAAAAAAACACAAACCCCTAGAGTGTAACTGGTCCTGGCCAAACATCTCAATGCTGAAAAACGACCGAAAAATGAATCAATCGAGATTGCAAATTTCTAACATTGCCCCCCGACTGTGGTAAACAATATTAAATGTTATACTAATCCTAGAACCTACCCTCGGAGGCAAAGTGTCGTGTGGCCTATCATAGCCACTACTGCTAAACAAAACATAAATTTCACACTCCCCAATATATTAACAGGAGGGGGGGAAAAAGTACTCGTAAAATTAATCCCAAATACGGGATTGAGACTCGTAAATGAGTGCTTTGATAAATAAAAACATTATATTACTCTTTACGGAACTGGCACGCACACTTGATTGACGACATTTCTTGCACGAAACCATTCAGGGCACCTGCGGCTATCCATCACAATCCCCACCTTATGAGCAATTAACCCCTGGCCCGAAAACATCTCAACTAATCCCTGCCAATTATCCAATTATGGGAGAGCGGTGGTGTAGGAGTTGAAACACTGCTATGAACGCGACTCCCGAAGTTCATTCCCTGCTCACGGCTAACATCAGTGGCGAGTAATCCACCCGAACCGGTCCTGGGCACCTCCCACTTCATCCAGCCAAAGAGCATCCAAACAGCCCCAATAACCGACACGGAGTAGAGAGGCCTCTATCGAGCAGTGGATAGACGAAGAGGCTATTTTGATTATAATCCAAATATGTCGATAGGCCAAATCGCGACGGAATGCGTCCGATCTGAATCTAAGCTGGTTTGAGCCTGGCTATCGCTCGGACGGGCGACGCGGTGGGCACCAGAGGGCGTCGCAGCGATACCCCGTTGTTACACCGTACTTCGGTGCAACGAAGTTTGCAGGTCAAGCGATGCCCAGGAACCCGCACAACCTGGGAAGGCCCTCATCCAGCAGTGGATCGACAGAGGCGGCCCCCCATGGCCACGCCGCGCACGCGGCGCGTGACACGCACGCAATGACCCCCCGTTTCCCCCGCAGGAATGGCCCTGGAGCACGCCCGCCTGCAGAACCTGAAGCCCGAGGCCGGCGCTCGCCCCGGGGTGCCGGCCATCGTGGTTCTCATCACCGACGGGAAGTCCCAGGACGACGTGGCCCAGCCGGCGGCGGAGCTCAAGAGCCGGGGGGTGGAGCTGTTCGCCATCGGTAAGCGGCACCGCATGCCCCCCCCCCCCATCCCCGTTTATCTCTCTGTATTTGTCTACCTGCGTGTGTGTGTACTTGTGCATTGCGCTACGAACCCGGCGGCCCGGAGGTCGATTCTCGCTCGCGGCCAACACCAGCGATGATTGCGTGAACCGGTCCTTGGCCTCAATCGTAGGTTGACTCAGCCTCAAATTAGTACCTGAACCGGTGTGTAAAAATCACCAAGCCACTGCCTTGTGTGCCGTGCCGGCCTTCATAGGTGCTCACTAACAGCACTTGCTTTAGGCTCCACTGTCTTTGTGTGCTTGTGCATTGCACTACAGACCAGGCGACCAAGTTCGATTCCCGCTCATGGTCAACACCAGCGACGATTATCCTAATCAATCATGGGCTTCCCCTAGGTTTACTCAACCTCAAATCAGTATTTGGTGCTTAGAGCACTTGCCCTAAAAAGTATGTTAAGGCTATACGGGGGAGATCCTTGTCTTTGTACTCACGTTTGTCTGTCCGTATGTACCAGTCATCCGTTAACCTATAATGCCTGGGTCTGTCCCGTGGTCTCCTACCAGTGAGCTGTCCACGCTCATAGCCTGGCACAGGGTACTGTGGTGGTGTATTTATCTGAACCGATCCTGAGCCTCCCCAAGATCGACTCGGCCTTAAATGAGTACCTGGTGTGGTGTCTAAACATCGTCACTGGGGAGGACACGAAGGTGGCTGGGCATGGTGCTGGCCCACCCGCTCCTTCGCGTGCCATTCCGGCCTTCGGAGGTGCTACTCGCTGACAGCACTTGCCCTGACAGCACTTGCCCTGACAGCACTTGCCCTGACAGCACTTGCCCTGACAGCACTTGCCCTGACAGCACTTGCCCTGACAGCACTTGCCCTGACAGCCTGTGTGGGCTACATCGTCGGAGGCGGTGGGTATAACTTCGTCTTTGTGCGCGGGGGGGGGGGGGGGGGGCGCACGGAGCCGCGGGTTGAGCTCGCTCGTCTTGTCGCAGGCGTGAAGAACGCGGACGAGCAGGAGCTGCGGGCGATCGCCTCGAAGCCGGTGGCCACGCACGTCCACCAGGCCTCCGAGTTCACGGGGATGGCGGCCATCGTGGAGGGGCTGACCCGCGTCGTCTGCTCGCGCGCCGACATCCTCTTCACCGCGCTGCGAGGTCCGATCGCTCTCCTCTTCAGGGGTCCTCCCCCTCCTCCTCCCCCTCTGCCATTCTTATACTTCCACTTCTTCCTCTCCTTCCCACTCCCCCCCCCCTCACTCCCCCTCCCCCTCACTCCCCCCCCTCCTCCTCCCCCCACTCCTCCTCCTCCTCCCCCCCCTCTTCCTGCGAAGTGTCTTGAGATGCGTTCTCATATACACACAAACACACACATATACACACACATACACACACATACACACATATACACACACACATATAGACACACAATTTATTAATCTCAATTGTAAAGCTGCACACGTTGCCCACGCGTACAGACGTCACCGTTACCGCTGCGTCGGTAAACTTCACGACGTCGCCAGCAATGCAAAGTTGGCATCACCAACCTCCGACCGGTGGTACCAACCCTCTCGCCGCGTGGCAGGGGGCAGAGCTCCCAACCCCGCCAAGCCCCCACCACGTGCCCTCCCCACCCCCCCGCACCGTTAACCCCAGTGACCTCCTAACCTGCGCGCCGTTGGCAGGCGGGGGCGACGGTGGCGTGGCGGTGCTGCCCCCGAGTGGCCTCTCCACGTCGGACGTGACCGCCGGCGGCTTCCGCGTGAACTGGAAGCAATCCGTGGGCCCCGTGTCCGGCTACCGAGTGGTCTACTGGCCGCACGAGGGCGGCCCACAGGAGGAGGTAGGTCCCCGTGGGAGGGTTTGCCACCTTCATCCGCCGTAGGCCCCAAACCCGCACGTGTTTCTCAGTCGTCTTCGGCGCAAGCGAGATAACGTCGGCGCACGACGGTGACGGTGGCTTTTGTTCTGCGACGCCGCCCGCAGGTTCTGGTTGGGGGTTCGGAGAGCTCGGCGCTGCTGCAGAACCTGCAGCCGGAGACGCAGTACCGGCTCCACGTCGTGGCGCTCTCCGTCGGCGGAGCTTCCGGCAACAGCTCGCAGATCACCGAGACCACTGGTGAGCGTCACGCGCCCCGCCTCGCCATCGGTGACCATGCCACGGCACCCCGGCTCTCGTCCGTCCACCGCTATCTCCCCTTCGCTACGGTCAGTGTGGCAGCTCGCGGTCAGGGGCTTACCGTAGCAGCAGCAGCGGCGGCAGCAACAGCGTGGCTCATGACCTCCTCTTCTTTCTCCTCCTAATAATAATGTAACTTTATATAGCGTCATTCATTCTAATCGAATCCCACAACGCTGTACATTAATTTGGTATGGACTGCGGCCGCCATCGTCATCATCGTCGTGCCTATGCACATCAGCAGCAGCAGCAGCGGCAGCAGCAGCAGTGGCGATCAATGTGCACCGACTCTCTATCCCCTTATACCTACTATAATCACCCAGGAATGTCTGTCCTTAACGCTCGTGACGTCACTCCTCATCGAACAGCCCCCCTCATTAATAATCATGAAAAGGTGACATCCTCCAAATGGACACCCCCCCCCCCCCAGTAATAACAATTAGCAGGTGACGTCACTCCACATGGGGGGCCGAGGCGCCTCCTCCCCCCTCCTCGGCGTCGACTCACAACCCTCACTACAAAGGCAGAACCCTCACGTCACGCGATCTCTGCAACGCTGTTGAGACATAGAAGTAAAAAGGACGTCATGATGAACAAGGGATTATAACCTTAAAATTAAATAGGTCTGTGTTACCACGCCCTTACAAACTGCACACGAATGGATGCAATGAATATATCACGTCGCGGTCTGATTTTCGCTTGCAAGTTTCAGATTTGCTCCTTGGACGGGCAAAAGGCGAGTTATTAATATAAATTCAACTTGCAAGGCACCACACGGTTTTCCGCCTGCTCTCAAAGAGAGCGAGCAAGAGCCACCAGACATCCCCAAGCTCTGCCGTCCCCTATATATCAAGGTGTTTTCGGCCAATGAATGTGTGTTCGTACGTGGTGGAGGAAACCAGAGCACCCTGAGAAGGCCACGTTGATACAACCTTTCACCTTTGCAGAGAGAGGCACAACTTTAAAACGGTATTTCTCTTGGAAGCATAGCGCGCCAGAAAATGTTTATTTGGAGTAAACCAAAAACGCGGTGAAGATAACAACGACAAGGACGATTTATCGCCGATTGAATTCAATATCGCAATCTCATAATCACGGGTCTGTCCATCTGCAGAGTACGCCCTGAAAAAGGCGTACCAGTTAAGTGTAAAACCAATTTTTTTTTTACGAGCGTTTGCAAAAGGAAGAAAAAAAAATGTAACGGGGAGAGAGAGAAACAAAGCAGCAGATTGGTAGAGCCGGCCGGCGCTGTTTAGAATTAGAGCGCAAAGAATGCGCAAAAGGTCAATGGCTGAAGCAAAGCAGAGTCGGCGCGTGCGCACGTATCGCGATAGAGCGCGAACGCAGCGGCGGTGCCGGGTCGGGGTGCCGGCGACGTCGCGGAGTCCGCCGTGAGCGCTCGCACCGCTCCCATGGGCGCCACTCCACCCCCCTCACCCCCCGGGGCTCCCCGGCCGTGCGGCTCTCCCTGTCGCGCCTTGCGGCCGCGGAGAGATCCGCTGGGAATGCCGCAGTCGCTGCTGCTGCTGCTGCTCCCATTGCTGCTGCTGCTGTTTCTGCTCCTGCTGCGCCTGTTGCTGCTGTTGTTTCTACTCCTGCTGCTGTTTCTACTCCTGCTGCTACTCTTGCTGCACCTGCTGCTGTTTCTGCTCCTGTTGTTGTTTCTCCTCCTGCTGCTGCTGCTACTCCTGCTGCTGTGTTGCTGCTGCTCTTGCTGCTGTGCTGCTGCAGATGAACAGTTGGCCGTGAAGTTAATTCACGGGGTGGGGGTGGTGGTGAGAGATGTGATGGTCGGTGACACGAGTGAGTGAGTGAGTGAGCGCGCTGCGCCACGAACCCGGCGACCCGAGTTCGATTCCCGCTCACGGCCACCACCACCAGTGACAGTTATCTGATCTGGGCCTGCACCTCCCCCGTGTCGACTCGCCCTCAAATGAGTACCTGATGCTGTGTGTAGTAAACACCGCTACTAGGGAGACAAAGGTGGCCGGGCGTGGTGCTGGCCACCCACCCCCTCTCGTGCCCTTCCGGCCTTCGTAGTTGTTCACGGTGACCGTTTGTCATCTCACAGTGAATGTCTTATTGTTGAGGATTTTTTTCAGATGTTTAATTTCATTTAGTTTCCAGCCCCCACCCGCCTCCCCCCCCCCCCCCCATGTCTTTTACAATCCACAAGCACTTGCTTTGTTGTTGAGAACCGCGGCGCGTTTGTGCGTGGAGAGCGACGGGGAATTCCATTTGGCACAGCGGATTTGTATCTCCAGCGAAGGCTCGGCATCTCCCTTCACCGACTGCAGAGCCCGTGCTGTGCATCCTCGCCATGAGTCAGTGTCTATCCGCTGCTGGAGCAAGGCCGTTGCTTCCGTGCGTCTCTCGCCCCCGGCGCGGGAGCTGACCCCCGTGGCTCCGTCTCCTAGCGACGTGTCCTGTCCCAGGGCGCCACGGTGGCTCGGAAATGTTAACTGCCTCGCCTGGTATGCAGGAGGTCGTGGGTTCGATCCTGACCCTGAAGCCATGCGCATTGTCCTAGCCGTCACGTGGATTTTTTCCTCCGGGTCCTCCGCTTTTTCCCCTCCACATTTAGAATCAACAACGTGCGTCGAGAGTTATTTAGCCGCTGCAAATGTCCACACGGTGATGAGCCACTTCGTTGTGATATCCAGGTCGCTACTGAAAAAGAGCTATACATTAGCTCAGCGGGTCTTACCTGCTAAAATAAATATATTGTTGAGTTCAGTAAGAGTTTAGTTGAGTATCTCTGACCTGTGTTTGTTCCCCCCTTCCCCTGTGCCCCACCTCCCACGTGCGTGTGGCAGCGTCCCTGGGCTCATCCATTCCCGAGCTGCGTGTGCACGACGTGACGGCGAGCAGCATGCGCGTGCAGTGGGAGGAGGCCGAGGGCGCCACGGGCTACACGCTCACCTACGCCCCCGTCGGCAGCGGCGAGGACGAGGACGGCGACAAGGAGGTGCGTCCGTCTGTCACTCGCGTCTGCCCGGATAAAAGGCCGGATTTTTCGTCTTCCCCGTCTGCCCGCTCGCGCGCTCTCTCTTTCTCTCTCTCTCTGTCATTCTGGGAGGGCATCGCAGCATCCGAAGACTAAAGATTCCTCTCCGTTCTATGTCGGTGTTCTTCGCACATTATTTAGAGGGGGGGGGAGGTGATGACCGCTTGTGTTGCGATCGAAACGTCGTGATATTTGTATTATTTTTTATAAACTTTATTTTCATTATTATAATTTTATTATTATTATTTATTTATTTTCTACCTACGTGACTTTACTGGAAGAACCATAGCATATGAATTCCTGTAGTTTTAAGTCAAAATGTAAGACATCATCAGTGAGAGGACCGCCACACCGCCCGCAATGGGCGTTTTCACCTTTTGTTGTACTGCCGGGGGCCGCACTGAAGCCCACCAGGGGCCGCTAGTGGCACGCGGGCCTTGCAATGACGAACACTGCTCTCTGTGCTACGAAGAAGGGCCGTTGCGTAAAACGTCACAAAAACTGATCCCATTATTTACTTCATTATTATTATTATTTCATTAGGCCGTGTTGTTGATGAGGGTTGATGAGTTTGTTTTAGTTTTCAATTCAAAAGGAAAGAAATATGTAACGATGGGTGACGTTTCAGGGGCAGTGGCCCTTGTCCACAGCACGTAGACGGAGGCGCCAGGGAGATGGAGCGGATTAGCGTTGAGCGCTGTGCACGGCACTGCTCTCACCATGTGGGGTAGAGGGGTAGGGGTCGGGGGGCCCCAGGGGCCTGAAGCACGGACACAAATCACGAGCGAGGCTCCGCGGCCGCCACCACCGCTGTGTGCCAACTCGTTGTGCAATACCAGGACGCCCGGGCATCGTGCCTCCCGCTAAATCATCCTCTCTTCACTCGATCTTATGAGATGGTGCCCAATGAGCACGATAGAAGCCTGGCGACTGCGCGATGCTTTTTCACAAGTTGACAAAGGGATGGCAGTACAATGGACTCTTGAATCGTGTCTGTGCTGAACTTGGAGCATTACCCCCCCCCCCCCCACCTCCGTCCTACTTGTGGTGGCTTCTTGTCCGGTTTCTCCGGTTTCCTGCCAACGCAAAGCCAAGTCGTCACCAATGGGATTGGCCAAACATCATCCCCAATGTAGCAGGACCCTCCCAATGAGATGGCCTCGAGACTCCGCGAGGCCCTGCTGAGGGAATTACGAAGCGAGCGTTGTGTGTGTGGGGGGGGGTGGTGGAGTGGGGGGGGGGACCCAGGAGACCGTGCGAGCCGTCTGCGTCTCATTACAGCGGCCATTGTTGGCACTGTGGCCCGGACGGGGGCCACACATGTGGCGAGTTCTCGTGTGGCCACGCTCGGATCGTCGATTCGCAACGGCACCGATGAAAAATCACAAAATAAAGAACGTAGACGAACAATTTTTTTTTCTGGCAGTAATGAAAATGAATGGAACTTAAAAAAATAAAATCAACTATCTCTGGTTTGGCAAGTCTCCTGTCAGGGTGCGTGAGCGGCGACGTTATCTTTCGGCTTCTCTCGTGGAAAGCGGAGCCTGGGAAAAGTTTGCCCTTCGTAGGTAGTGCTGTTGATGAAACCGTCGAGTTTAGTTGGTATTAGGCCAAACCCGGACGGGTTTTTGATTTCTCAGTCCTACCGGGCGAGGGAGATAACATTTCTGCACGACGGTGAACTTTGTGTTCGGCAACGCCGCCAGCAGGTTCTGGCCGGGGGGGGGGGGGGGGGGTTCCGAGGGCTCGGCGCTGCTCCAAGATTCTGCACCCCACATGTCCTATACATGGTGGCCAGAGGCAAGACTTTTGCGGCAGTGACCAATGGTGACGATACTGTGCCGATGAGTCCTATTAAGGACGAAACCGGTCCACGGTTTGTCTATCCACTGCGTCACTGCAGCTGCTGTCAGTTTGCCTGAAGACGAACGGACCACAATGCACTTCTTCAGGAAATGCTGATGGGGCTTTTTGTGTACTGTGTTATGCAGTTTTGTGACTTGTGTAAAACTTGCAGTCTGGGGTTTGAAGTTAGTTATTGTCAAGTTCACTGTGTGGCAGCTGTCACTGAGCTATGCAGCTCTTTTTCAGCAGCGACCTGGCCACAAATGATAGGTGGCTCGTCATCAAATTGGACATTTACAGCAGCCAATACAATCTACGATATAATCGACCAAAAGCAGATTGTCAATGAAGTTAGGATTTACGAACGTCTCCGCAAAATGAGAACCCGGTGCAAGGAGGGGGGCACGTGCAGCGTGGAGATGGAGCGCTGAAATCAGCTGTTTGCGCTGATAATCACCAGAAGCGTGAGCGATGGCGACATCTGGTGGCGTAGGCCGTCGTCCAGCAGTGCGACTGATCGCGGACGATAATGAGAGATGTGGATGGTGAGGTTGTTTTTAATTATTGTGCATTTATTTTTTCCTACGATTTTTTTTTTGTAAATTGCATTTTTTTTTTATAATTGTGCTTTTTTTTTTCTACGAGAGCTGGGAGTATTCTTGCGAAGGAAATATAATCCGACAGTTGGACGCAAGGGGCAAGAAATCCGCGCTTTACTTTCGACGCAAGGACATTCCCCCAATAAAGTAAAATTGCCCACTGCTTATTTTTTTTGTGTCAATCTACTCAACTCGATGGCGCCGTATCCCTGGAAGGCCCCAGTGGACCCGTTCGCTGGCGTGCCGACCCACACTATTCCCCTGCTGCCTGCAATCACGCAATTCAATTAACGGGAGATTATATTTTAACATAGAAATATTTTTTTTAAGAAACGTGGTCACTCAGCCACGTCTACCCCCCCCCCCCTCTTCCTTCCTGGGTGGTTCCATCACGCGAGTTTTGAAGCTTTACTAGGACAGAGGAAAACACGACGGGCTTGCGCACAATAGTGTCGGACAGACGCACGGCGTGGGCGCGCGGATGCTTCAGTCACGGTTGGTTCAGGCGGAGAGAGTCGCCCCTGCCTTTTGTGAACGTGACGAAAGTGCACTCCGTTCATCGCTTATTGCGCTTTGTTTACCCAGGAGAGCTTCACCGGAGGGCCCTGTCCAGGCTTTTTGCAGGAGGGTAACGATGTTGCTACGTGCCCGTGTGTAATCACAATTGAGTAAGTTATTTGGCCAACATCGGTTATTACGTAATGTTCTGTTTTTGCAATGGGAGAAAAGTGGAGAACTCAGAGGTTTTCTATGCAAAACGGGGGGAGAAATGTACAAACTTCACACCCGAGTCGGGAATCGAACCCAGGCCCCTTCTTGCTGTGAGACGCAATGGTTACCACTGCATCCAACCGAGTTGAACCCTCGACTGGAATGGATTCGATCTCTGCTGACTGCACACCGATGCTGTGCGGATAGTCGCCGCGTATTCCCGTGAAGGGAGCATAACCGGCGCCACTGCCCTTTAACCTTTTGCACAGGTGGTATGGACACCGCACACCAAGCGACTCCTGGTGCCACCAGATGGATTCCCACACTAAAACGGGCAGCTTTGGTGTCTTCTCTGTTGTTGCCCAAACGCCACGCGAGGAGCATAAACAAACTTGAGTCGTAGGACCCTTTCAGGAAGGCCCTGCGTTGGGAAGACAAAGGCAGCCGGGCATGACGCTGGCCATCCACGCCCTCGCGCATGGTGCCGGCCTTAATAGGTGCTCGCTAACAGCAACTTTCTCCTACGGTCTGCTAACGGCAATATGGGTGATATCATTCGACGTCTGATGTGTGTGTGTGTACAGACAACAAAGCTCCATTTTCCCAGAACTGGATTAAACGCACATGTTTAAAAAATAATAATAATTTAGAGAGTGGGACAAAGCCCAGCGAAGCATCTGCGTTTGACATTGGGATGCGGCAGCTCTCCTCTGGCTGCCACTCGGAGGCAGGGCCTCGCTTCACAGCTGCTAATTACGCTCGCTGGAGCCTGCCGCGGGACGAGCCGCCTGCACTGCGGGGGGTCGTGGCCTCTCTTACACGCACCGAGACGAAGATCCCACCCTCGCGCAGCCTCGAACACACTTGTTGGGGGCACGTGCCCGTTAGCAAACGCCCTGCTGCTAGAGGCCGGCACTGCGTACCGGTGGGGGTCGTGGGGCCAAACACCACGTCTGGCCAACTTTGTCCTCCACAGTCTCGATGATTACGCACAGTCACCAGATACTAGATTTTGAGGCTGAGTCGACCTAGGGGAGGCCCGGGAACGGTTCAAATAACCGGCACTTTGTCGTGAGCGAGAATGGAACTCGGGTCGCTGGGTAGATAACCGCATTACCATTGCTCCCCTTTACATACAAGTACGACACAAGACAGATATCCTCCGTCTCACCTAAATAGGCTGTAGGGGCAAGTGCTGTTAGCGAGCTGCAGTTATGAAGATGGGCACGGCACACGTGGGGGTGGGTGGCCAGCATATACAATTACAAAGACAAAGTTCCCCACTATAGCCTTAACAGACTCTTGGTGAAAGTGCTGTTAGTGAGCAGCACCCACGAAGGCCGGCACAGCACACGAGGTGGGGTGGATGGCCGCGATTGGCTGTGTACGGTGCGAGAGAAGTTCAACATACATACATGCCACGTGTGCGCACACTCTCTCTCAACCCAGTGCTCTCATTTCTCCACTCGCTCGCGTGTCGGTGTGCGTCTCACGGGGGTTTCCTTCTCGGCGGCGGGAAACGTGCGCTCAGCGCGTGCTCATTCACGAGCAATTATCTCCACCGTCAATTTTAATGAAGGGAAATGAAAAGGATTCCCTACAGGTCCCGCCCGCCGCGGAGAAGGAGCGACGAGATGAGCTCATGCGCGGAACCCCAATTGATTGTGGCATAGCAGGGCCCTCGAGAGATGGCAGTGACGTGGGGAGGCCTCCATCCATCTGTGGATAGATGATGGCTGATGATGGCTGATGGAGATGGGATTACCAGATAAATCAATGGAGCAGTTGAATTCGTGCAACCAAAAAAAGAGGCTTTGGCGGAACCACCGTGCGGAGATGGAGCGATTGGATCTGCTGTGCGGGGATGGAGCGATAGGATCCGCTGCGCACACCGGAGGCAGAGGGATTGGGCGCATTGGAAGATCGTGAGAGACGGCTTGTGAGAGACATCCATTCAGCAGCAGATACATCATGGCCGATGACGCCAATGAAACATTTTCGGTCACCCGCCTCAAAACATTGCGTTGTCATCTTCTATTGCGCTGTGATTGACGCTGCGCTGTGTGATTGACGCTGCTAAACGGGCGCCCCATCACTCACCGTGAGCCCATCGCCACCGTCGTCGTTAGGACCGTCATCGTGAATGCCGCCCTTTCGCAGAAATTAATAAAACGTTCGGGTCCCGCTCCTGGTTAAAGTGGTCGCTGATACACCGCAGAAACGCCGTTATTCCATCAAACGTTGATGTGCCGTACGCTTCGTGTTTGTCGGCAGGCCCCGAGGCCCTGGTGGAAAAATCCAGAATTCCTCCGTCGGGCGAAGCGTGCGGTTGTATGGAGATGGAACGAATAATGGATTACAGTCGACTCTGTAGACACCTGCGAAGACCGACCGTGAGATGATGGCGGCCGCGGTTTGGGAAGGCCCTAATCCAGCAGCGGATAGATGGTGGCTGATGATGGATGAGCAATTCGAGGTGTAGACGTAGAACGCGTTGGACTGATGAAGTGAAGGAAGATGTTGGATGTGGGGGGGGGGGGGGGTCTAGGAGGATTTAAGGAGGGGGGGGTAAATTGGTGAGATTGGTGCAGCAATTGAGGAGGGACTTCATTCAGAGCCATAATCAATCAATCAATCAACGTCTTTCTTGCTATAGCACTGTTTCGTGTAAAAGATGCAATTCAAAGTGCTGTACAGGTAAAAGAAAACATTATTAACAGACTACATCGCAAGAACAATAAAAGCAATTTCCATACAAAGCTAAATTACATTATAATGAATTGCTAGTGAAGGCATATACAAAAAGTAACACGTAAGTATCTTAAGTAAAAGCACGTTAAAAAAGTTAGTTTTTAGATTAAACTTAAACACTGCTTAATGATTGCGAAGCCCTAAGATCCCCTGGCAGGCTGCTTGACAGGCGAGGGGCATGGACACTGCAGGTCGTCTTCTCCGTCAGTTTTGGTCCCGGCCCTTGGGACGACTTAACGAGCGGAGCAAGAGCGTCTGAGGGATCTTGTTGGTTCATATCTTAAACGCATCGAAGACATGTTTGTTGGTGCCAAACCATTCAACGATTTAAAAACCAATAAAATAATTTTAAAATCGGTGTTACGTGGGTGCTCGGAGCCATCGTCGAAGCCAGCTGTTGTCGTGACCCACAGGTCGACGTCGAAAAACTGAATTTCTATTCCCAATCTGCTCTCACCTGACTGGTGGTCTTACCCATCACCCCGTCGCTGTGTCCTCCTGCCCCTCTCGCCATCCCAACGCAGGAGAAGCTGGGCCCGGAGGTGACGGACTTCCTGCTGGACGGGCTGGAGGCATCGACGGAGTACGTGGTGACGCTGTACGCCATGTACGACGACGACGAGATCGGCGAGCCGCTCACCGTGCAGGAGACCACTCGTGCGTAGAGATCGCACCGCACGACACGCAACGCACGCACCGCACACACCACACACACCGCACAAACCACACACACACCACGCACACACCGCACACACCGCACAAACCACACACACACCACGCACGCACCGCACACACCGCACACACCACACAAACTGCACGACACACATACCGCACGACACACATACTGCACACACCACACACATCGCACACACCACACGGACAGCACACACTGCATATACTACACACACCCACACGCTCCACAACACACACGCACCGCACTGCACATACTATATACACCACACACAAAACACGCACCACACCGCATCACACACGTCACACGCCACTCGGACCGCACGCAGCACATATACCGAACAGCCCGGGACAGACCAGCAACACTGATTTCATAATCATAATTATAATGAGAAGATTACATGCATCATAATCATTATTATTACGCCCGTAGAGGATGCTGCCATCACGTAACGGTCAGCAGACTGCACTCGCAGTCCAGAGGCAGCCGGTTCTATCCGATCTCCCTGGGCGAGATGTTAACTACCTCGCCTGGTGTGCAGGAGGTCGTGGGTTTGATCCTGAACCACGATGCCTGTTGTATACTTGGAGTTTGCATGTCTCTCTCCCCGTGGTTGTGTGGATTTTCCTTCAGGGTCCTCCCGGTTTTTCCCTCCATTTAGAATCGACGTGCATTGAAAGTATTTGGCTGCTATAAATTTCCATGCGATAAGCCACTTCGTTGAGCTATTATTTCTGATAGCCAGGTCGATTGTGAAAAAAAGCTCTATAGCTCAGTGGGACCTTGCCTGGTAAAATAAAAATAGTTAAAAAAATCTGTTTAAATGGTAAGATTTCTTGACCGGTGGCCACACAGTGAACTTGATAAATAACTAACTTCCAAACTCTTCTTAAATAGCCCACCCTCGCGCAGCCGGTGCCTTTGCTCGGGCCGGCATTCCAAACGGGTTCACCGCGGTCAGTCGGGGCCGGTGGCACAGCGGCACAGCGTGAGCGGGTGGTGATGCCGTGTCGCCACAGTGCCGCTGCACTCTCCGGTCGGGGGCGTGCGGATCTCGGAGGTGACGCACAACAGCATGCGCGTGGCCTGGGACGCGCCGTCGACCCGCGTCAAGAAGTACCGCATGCTGTACGAGCGGGAGGACGGCACTGGCGCCATTGAGGTACCGGCCGCATCCGGCTTCTCGCCGCGGGGCGGTTCGATGCGCCGCAGTCAGTACCGCTCGACGTTGCTAAACAATATTCTTAGGTTTTTTCGGTAAAGTCACGTAGGTAAGAAATTAAAATTAATAAAAGTAAAATAAAAATAAAACACAAGCTTCCATCTTCAGGTGAAGCCGTCACTTCATTGATAGCTGTATACAGCTATCGTGCTGCAGACGGAAGCTTGTGTTGCCTCCGAAACGTCGTGATTTTTATTTTATTTTTATTTTACTTTTATTAATTAAAAAATTTTACTTACGTGACTTTACCGAAAAAACCTAAGCATATGAATCTTTGCAGTCACGAAAGCTTCAAATCTAGAATTAGTTGCTAAACAACTTTAGCGGTAGCGATTTGTATATACACTGAAGAAAAACTCACTATGTTGGTCAATGACACTGTGTGTGTGGGGCCTTAATAGGACGTTTCGGGCAATGGCCCTCCTTCGTAGCACGTGTAGGCAGACTCGTACATTTATGTGCTATGAAGAATGTCACCTTTGCCGGGAATTTCACCTTTGTTTTTGACGAGCGTGTTGAGTTGTTGTTGTTGTTGTTGGCTGTGCTTGTGCACCACTGCCAATGCAGTAGCAGCTATCACCAACATAAATTGTAAGATGTTGTTAATACGGCTAATCCGAATTAATTATTTACTTGATAATTACCCCGCCTGGTTTACAGGAGGTCGTGGGTTTGAATGCGACCTTGACCCCCGCTGTATATTTAGAGTTTGCGTGTCTCTGTCTCCCTGTGGTCGTGTGGATTTGTCTTCGCTTCTTCCAGTTTATCGCTCCACATTGAGAAACATGCGTTTGGAGTATTTGGCTGCTAAAAAAATTCCACACGGTGATAAGCCACTTCATTGAGCTATCATTTGTGGCGAGGTCGCTTCTGCAAAAGAGCTATATAGCTCAGTGGGACTTACCTGGTTAAATAACAATTGTAGTTTTGTATTTTACACGGTTATCTCACGATTCACTGTCTTTGGCCATATTAAGACATTGGCACCGCCAAAGCGATACCACCACGACCACCACCTCAGGTGTCTCCTGTGGGGCCCGAGGTGACCCAGCCACCTGGCCTGCGGGCGGGCGCTAAACGCTAAGCCCTCCCGCTTATCAGAGGCGACGATCGCTGCTGTAGGTATCCGTGGGTGAAGCCCTGTCAACTTGGCAAATTTGGACCACCAGCAATGTGATGGCTCACGGGATCTTCAACGGTAACCAGGGCGGCCTGCGAGGTCCGACCGTGTGGGTCGGGAAATTCGCGGAGCGCCGTTGGCATGGTGTACACCATGCGTTACGTTGTGGCGCAGGAGGACATCCGGGCCAATGTGACGTCGGCCGTGCTCAAGGGGCTCAAGTCGAACACCGCCTACCTCGTCACCGTCTTCTCCGTGTCCGAGGACGGCCAGTCGGAGCCGCTGAGCGGCCGCGGCACGACACGTACGCCACAACGGCCCTGCCACCGCCACCACCAATGCCACCACCACCACCAATGCCGCCACTACCGCCGCCACTTCCACCACTACCGCCACTACCACCACCGCCATCACCACCAACGCCGCTACCACCACCACTTTCCTTATCAGCCTCCGTCTATCTTTGTGCTGCTCACTTTGTGCAGCATTGCAGCCGGTATTTCATCTTGAATTAAGCAACTGTCCGCTGGCCGGGTGGCCCTGGAAAAGAAGCTGCACAACTCTGTTCATATCCACAACCATTGTCTTGGCGTGCACTGCCTCTCTTTCCCCTTTCACCTTGTCCCGTCCACTATGTCCTCCTGTCGTCATCTCCCACACTTTATCTCTCCGTCCCTATCTCGACGTCTCCTTCACCCTGTGCATTCATGTGCGTCCATAAATCCGTCCACCCATCCATGCATCCATCTGCCCATCCACCATCTTCTCCTCTTGCGCCTTGTTTTTCCACACGTCAAGCCTACCCACCCATCCACGCGTCCGTCCGTGCCTCCTGCCACCAACCTCCCCGCCACCTCTGCTCCTCGCTCTCCATTCCCCGCTCCTCGCTCCCTGCTCCCCGCTCCACGCTCCCCGCTCCCCCCACTAACGCTCTCCACTCCCCGTACCCCGTTGCCTCCGCCAGTGAAGAACCCGACTCCGCAGTCCCTGCGCTTCTCCGACGTGGGAGAGAAGAGCGTTCGCGTCTCCTGGGACGCGGCGGCGCCCGACGTCACCATGTACCGCGTTCGCTTCACCGCGTCGCCCTCGGACCGCACCCAGGAGGTGAGTGGTGCCGGGGTCACGGACAAAACAAAACAATTAGAGAATTTATCCTCCCTGCCCGCCACCCCCCCAAATCCTTCGCCACGAAACGCCACACGACCCCAACAGACTTGGGACGCGGCGCCCGACGTGCCCCCGGCTCGCGGAGCGAAACATCGGGCTGCGACAGTTGCGCAACCCGCTTGGGGAAGCCTTTGTCCAGCAGCGGATAGATCAGGGCTGGGGCTGCTGCTGATGATGATGATGTGAGTGCGTGCGGCGGCAGCTGCGATCGAGGGAGCGGTAGTGTAGCTTTTCGCGTGCCACACCATGAACCCAGTGACACGAGTTCGATTTTTGCTCGCGGACGACGACGCCAGTGACGATTATCTGAACCGGTCCTGGGCGCCTCCCTTCGGTCGACTCACACAAGGTTGGCACGTGGGAAATAGCAGCAGATGAAGAAGATCGCCTCCCCTAGGTCGACTCGGCCTCAAATAAGTACCCGGTGCGATGAGTAAGCACCGCCGCTGGGAAGACACCGGCGGCTGGGGAGTGGGGTACCGACCGCCGTGCCAGCCGTGACAGGCACCGCTCGCTCACAGCACTCGTCGCTAAATTTCGATTTAAAGCTTTCGTGACTTCAGGGATTCATCTTCTTGATCCTTTCTTACGTGACTTTACCGAAAGAACCAAGAAGACGGCGGGGTGTGGGTAATGATTTTTGTCTTTTTTCACGGTCAGCTGGTGCTGGGTGGGGACCAGACGTCGGTGCTGCTGGAGAAGCTGCTGCCCCAGACGCCGTACGAGGTCACCGTGGCGGCGGTGCACGCCGACGAGGCAGAAAGCAGTCCCCTGTCGGGGCGCGTCACCACCGGTAACGAGACCGCCCCCCCCCCCCCCCCCCCCGTCCGCATTCCCCACCTTTCGTCGTCGCAGAAAGACGGAGAAACAGAAAACTTGGTGGGCGGGAATTGTTGACCAACCGTGTTGTCGCGTTTGTCCCTCGCAGGAGACAAGTCGTCTGTGCTCACATACACGTCCGCTCCTCGCGTTCCAGGTAAGAAGAACCCTCGCCACCCCCCCTGCCCCACCCTCCCTCCCCCCGTCATCGTAATCAGATGGCACGCTCCAGTCCCAAATGGAGATGGTCAAAGCCTCAACTGTTCGTGCGGGATTTGCTTGGGGGGTGAATATCATCTCGGGTGGTTTTTTGCCACTCGTTCCCTGCAGCCGATTCGCTCTGAAGGCTCATTATCGCCTGGGATCTCGGATGCTCAGCATGATTTTTAAGCCTGGCTAGCTCTCTGATGGGAGACTGTCTGGGAACAGCAAGGTGGATGTGGGCTTGAAGGAAAGAGTGGCTGAGATTTGGTAATATAGCAATGCATTATCAGACTCGTTCCGATAAGCCAGTTGTGGAAATTCCACATTTCTGTGATGTGCTGGGTGGGGGGTGTTAAGGGAAATGATCAAGGTCACACAGGAGGACTGTAGAGAGCAGGGCAGGGTGTCCTTGATTGTCACAAGAGTGACCCTGGCTGGATCTCCACCGACACCCACCCCTTCCCCCAATCCTCCCCCCCCCCTCACCCCCCCCCCCCCCCCCCCCGTGGGCAGGTGGGCCCCAGGGGCCCCGGAACATGGTGTTCTCGGACGAGACGACGATGAGCATTGAGGTGACGTGGGAGCCGGCGGAGGGCCCCGTCACCTCCTACCGCGTCACGTACGAGCCCACGCGGCGCACGCAGCGCGAGGAGATGGTGAGCGCTCCACCGGCAATCTCGCTCGCTCGCCCGCCCGCCTGGTGATGTCATCATCGACATCACCAGCAGCCGCCACTGTCTCTCGCCAGCAGTGATAATTATGATGATGATATTTCCCTTTGTTTAAACGTTCAAACGTAGTTCCAGAATGACCAGGCATTATCCTTCTCTTGCTTCATGAATGCATTTCCACGCCATGTCGGTCGTTTTTTAACCATCCTTCACCACCCTGGTCAGTGCCGGTTGACGAAGGCGTCCCCAGGTCTCCGGGTTCACAACGCAGCGCGCTAACCACTGTGCCACCACTCCAGCCACCTTTAAATCTCGGGACCTTAAACTGCGTGACACTGCTGCTACTGCAGTGCTTAGCACACTACACTCTCACCTTGTTTACCTGAGATCAACCAGGGGGCAACCGGCCACGGCAGACATCAGAGGCGTGCGATATCTGAAAGCGGTCCTGGCTAATCCCCTTAACAAACACATCGTGGCGAAGTATGGTCAAACAGCCTCCACGACCGACATGATTACACGTAGGGGTGGCGGGGGGGGGGGGTCCATCATCCAGCAGTGGGTAGATCATGGCTCCTCTGAGTGCTGGCGAGCGATTATGTTTTTCCTGCCATGATATTTCCCCACTCGTACAGCCCGATTTGCTTTTGGCACCTTTTTTTAATGAAAGAGCAAGATTCATGAGTGGATTTGGCCAAACGTCGCAATGCGGCACCCTCCCGTTGAGTCCGGAGCCTCGGTTTTCCCCATATGAATGAAGCAGCAACAAAGTAGTCCTGGAAACTCAATGGGCGATAGTATTTGTTCTAAGTGTTGGTCAACTGCAACATTCATCATCACCGTCGCCATGAGTAATTATCCATCATCGTCGTCATCGTCGTTGGGATTGCTGCTGCTGTTATGAGGTCATGACGAGGGCTGCTGTCCCACTTGCCAGGGCTCCGGGGCCCAAAGGATTTTTTGATCTCCACTCCGCTGACATTTGTCCTCCCACGCAAATCGTTAGCGGGGAATCGCCCCGCGGAATAAAGAACGAGAGCCGTCATTTCTCAACATTCAGATGAGAAATGGTGGGGTGGGGAGGGGTGATGGCAGGTGGGTGGGAGTGGGGGAGTGCGGGGGGGCGGTGGGTTTTCTTCACGCTCCGTATCGACGGAGGAATACTCTGCCGCGTGTTAAAATTCTCAACGTGAGCGAAAGTGCGTCAGAGGACAGAAATACGCTCGCCCGAGCGTGGCAGAGAAGTTCTGGCTCAGCGAACGTTTGTCCATTTTTTTAGAAACTGTGCGCGTGCGAAGTAAAAATCTTTCTCACGCGAGAACCCCCTTCCAAGTTCCCGTTGCATTGAAGGGGCCGTGTTGTAAAATGGAATCGGCTTGTTGAAGCAGGTCCTGCCTCCGCCGCTTTCCGTCTGCTCCGAAGGGAGGTCACGGCGGATTCACGATCGTGTTCTTTGTTTTGACGACGAGACGAAAATGAACCCGCGAGCGTTGAGTTCCATATACAGCGTCGCCGTCGCTCCTGCAGATCGCGTCTCTCGCACGCATTAAGATGCTTCGAGGCGATTTATGAGTGTTCACACGTGGAGACGAATGGTAAATGTAACAAATGTCGACGTAATTTCGCAATGAATTAACGCGCGGCCAGGGTCAAGAGGTCGTTGTGGTATTTCCGCCAATGTCGCGGCACCTCACCATCACTTCCTTCTTTCTGCCAGATCCCATAGCTCTTGCAGTTCCATTCCTGTCATTGGTGACGTGGGCCTGAACCGCTCCTGGGCCTCCCCTAGGTCAACTCATCCTTAAATGGGTACCTCGTGCTGCGTGTAAACATCAGTACTGGGGAAACAAAAAGCTGCTGGGCGAGGCACCGTCCGTACCGGAATTTGTCGTGCGCCGTACCGGCCTCCGTAGGTGCTTGCTGACAGCGCTTGCCCCAACGGTCTTTGAAGGCTACATGGGGAATCTTTGTGTTTTGTAGGTGCTGGTGCCGGCTCGCTCCAACTCGGTGGTCCTGCAGCCGCTGGCGCCCAGCACGTCCTACAAGGTGACGGTGACGGCGCTCTACAGCGACGGCGACGGCGCCAGCATCGCCGGCATCGGCCGCACCAGTCAGTGACGAGCGGCGCAGTCCGTCGGCGCGTGTGTGTACGTGTGTGTGTGTGTGCGTGTGTGTGTGTGCGTGTGTGTGCGCGTGTGTGTGTGTGCGCGTGTGTGTGTGTGTGTGTGCGTGTGTGTGCGCGTGTGTACGTGTGTGTGCGCGTGTGTGTGTGTGCGCGCGTGTGTGTGTGTGTACGTGTGTGTGCGTGTGTGTGTGTGTGCGCATGTGTGTGTGTGTGTGCGCATGTGTGTGTGTGTGTGTGCGCGTGTGTGTACGTGTGTGCGTGTGTGTGTACGTGTGTGCGTGTGTGTGCGTGTGTGTGTACGTGTGTGCATATGTGTGGGGAGCGGTAGTGTAGCGGTTAGCGCTATGCTGCGCTATGAACCTGGCGACCCAGGTTCGATTTCCGCTCATGGCCATTATCTGATCCGGCCCTGGACCTCCCCTAGGTCAACTCGGCCTCAAATGAGTCCCTGGTGTGGTGTTCAAACATCGACACTGGAGAGACAAAGGCGGCCGGGAATGGTGTTGTCCACCCACCGTCCTGGCCTTCATAGGTGCTTGCTAACAGCACCTGCCCCAACAGTCTATTATGGCTATATGGGGGATCTTTGTGTGTGTGTGTGCATGGAGAGCAGTGGCATGGTGGTTATTGTGCTGTGCTACGAACCCGGTCACTCGAGTTCGATTCACGTTCACGGCCAATAAGAGTGATGAATAATTTGAACCGGTCCTGGGCCTCTCCTAGGTCGGCTCAGTCTCAAATGAGTACCTTCAGTGCGCAAAAATCAGTAAGGAAGCCGGGCATTGTGTTGGCTACCCACCCTCTCGTGTGCCGTGCCAGCCTTCATAGGCACTACTCGCTAACAGCACTTGCCCCAACAGTCTGTTAAGGCTATACTGGAGGGCCTTTGTTTTTGTCCGTGCATGCATCTATCAGTCGTCTCAGTCAGTCAACCCATAGCAACTGGGTTCGTGGCCTCGGAGTGCACCTAGCCTGGCACAGAAGCCACCGTCGCTCAGTGGCGAACGCGCGTGCGTGCGCACACGTGTGTATGCGCTCGTGTCTGTGTGTCCGTGTGTGTGCGCGCACCACATGTGTTGCAGCCGGGCACGCGCCGCCCAACAATTTCCGAGTGGTGGACGAGTGGTACAACCGCTTTCGCATCACGTGGGACCCACCTACGACGCCTCCCATGGGCTACCGCATCGTCTACCAGCCCGTCGGTGGGTCACGCCACATACCGGCACGCACGCACGCACGCACGCGCATTCACGTGCGTGATATACCAAAGACAAAAATCCCCCCCCCGTTATAGCCTTTAACAGACCGTACGGGCAAGTGCTGTTCACGAGCACCTGTGAAGGCCAGAACGGTACACGAGAGTGTGGGTGTCCCCAGTTGCCGATGTTGACGCAGCACATCAGGTACTCAATTGAGGCTGAGTCGACCTAGGAGAGGCGATCTTCTGCTGCTGCTGTTTTGGGGTCTCCGGCCCAAAGACCCAGACTCAGTTACCAGTGGCAGCAGATGTTCGGGATCCGCCTTCGAGGGCCGTGCCAGTTTTACGACGGCATCCACGATGTACGTTGAGCTTCTTGTCGTACCGCACGTAGCCAACCGTGCTAATCGGGGGTGCGGGGGAAAGGACGACCAACTAAACACAAAAAACAGTTCTCAAGGTTAAATGAGTGGATCCGTAAGGGCGCGCGATAACGAATGGTCAGACTTGTTCGCTCGCTCGCTCGTCCTGCGCCCGTGCAGAGGGTGGCCAGGCGTACGAGACGGTGGTGGGCGACGGCGTGAACGCGGTGGTGATGCAGAACCTGGCGAGCGGCACCGAGTACCTCGTGCGCATCTACGCCACCTACCCCGGCGGGGCGAGCCAGCCGCTGCAGGGCCGCGGACGCACGCGTGAGTGGGCCGCGTGCGTCGCACGTACGCTCGCACGCACGCATGAACATACGGACAAGCGTGCGCACGTTCACGTGCATGGATGCGCCCGTGAACACGGACACTTTACATGCAGGCACACAAGCGCGCACGAGGACGCACGCTCGCTCTCGCCTGCCCGGCGGTCCGTCGCTCACGTTGTGCGCGCGCGTGACTGTCAGTGTACCTGGGCATCGACGACCTGTACGCGTCCAGCGTGGAGGCGAACAGCTTCTGCGTGCAGTGGAACCCCCATCGCGACGCCACCAGCTACAGGGTGACGCTGGAGTCCCTGAGAGGTGCGAGGCAGCTGCCAGCGCGCTCGCCACCGCACACGGCCACTCCCTGCACACACGCACGCACGAACGAACGCGCTCGCAAGCAGCTGCGTGTTCACCTGCGCTCGTGCACGTAGCCCGGCACAGGTGCCGTTGTGACGTCAGTGTCAACTTAGGGGCCGTCCATGAATGACGTCACCCACCTAGGGGGGGGGGTCAGACATTTGTGACGATGTGTGACGAGGGGGAGGGGATTTGAGAAAGGTGACATCACATCAAAATGCGCAACTTTAAATAAATATAGACAACACGTTCTAATTAATTAAATAGACTTTTTAATACATGTTTTCTCCTACAACATCATTGTAATACACACTACAATGACAATAGTTTAAAGCGATTTGAAGCATGTTTTATTATCAAATGGAAATATGGTTTTTTGGGGGGGGGGGCAGAGCTTTGTGACGTCATATCTGAGGGGGGGGGGGTCTGAGTCTGACTCTTTGTGACGCCGTGTGACCAACCAATGCGCCGCCACGCGGCACGGCGTGAGGAAGCATCACGAGGAGCCCTCTAGTTGCACAGCCGGAGACGGACAATTCACCCGCCGGGGGCAATGCGCCACCCCTGCCACCTCCTCCCCTTCACCCCCCACCACCACCCCTGCCACCTCCCCCCTCCACTCTTCCTCACCACCCCTGCCACCTCCCCCCCTTCACCCCCCACCACCACCCCTGCCACCTCCCCCCTCCACTCTTCCTCACCACCCCTGCCACCTCCCCCCCCCCTCACCCCCCACCACCACCCCTGCCACCTCCCCCCCTACACCCCCCACCACCACCCCTGCCACCTCCCCCCCTTTCACCCACCACCACCCCTGCCACCTCCCCCCCTTCACCCACCACCACCCCTGCCACCTCCCCCCCATCACACCCCCCCCCCCCACCACCACTGTTTTGGTACCGGCACGGCCCCACGAAAAACGTGAGCCACCGGCCAACAGTCCGGGTACACTTTGGGGCAGCACCTCGATTGGGAGTGGCGCCAAGGGCAGCCACCCCGCTGCCCTGCTGCCCCTGACTACCACCCCGAATGCCTCGCCACGGCCACGTCAACGTGCGTCTTGTCGGTGTCGATTGCTGCCCCCGCCGGCCGTGCAGGGGAGCAGCCGATGCAGGACTTCAAGCTGGGCCGCGGCGTCACCACGCACTGCCTGGACAACCTGCTCCCCGGCGTGCAGTACCGCGCCAAGGTGTACGCGCGCTACCGCGACATGGAGGGCCCCCCCGCCTCCGTGCTGCAGTCCATCGGTAACCGCCTCGCCCTACCCCCTACCCCCCCCCCCCCTCCACATCCCAAGTGAGAGATCAGACCAGAGGTCGCAAACGGGTTTCGATTCCTTACCCGTACCCGTACCCGGCCGCACCAGGGTCGCAAACGGGTACCCATACCCTACCCGATACCCGGCTACCCGTACCCGGCCGGGTATCGGGTAGGGTACGGGGACGGGTACCCGATTGCGACCTCTGGGATGAAGCCATGTTGCAGGCGTGGGTGGGTTGATTCTAGGAACTTGAATTGTGAGAAGAGACAAGACGTTGGGAAATGAGTGACAAACGGTGACTCACCAGTGACTCACGGCCTACCCGTACCCGGCCGCACCTGGGTCGCAAACGGGTACCCGTACCCGGCCGGGTATGGGTAGCCGGGTATCGGGTAGGGTATGGGTATCGGGTACCCGGTTGCGACCTCTGGATCAGACTGATGGAGTAAGTGGAAGCTTTTGAAAATATTAAGCGGAGGAGCGCTTGTTTTTCCCGTTTCAGATCCGGGCGTCGGGATGCCGTTCTACCCTCAGGCGATCCCCACCTCAGCGCCGACGCCTCCTCCAATACGCCAAGGTCTGCCGCACACCACCACCCCCCCCCCCCCGTTCCCACGGGGGATTGGGGCCACTCGTCCTGGAAACATCTTATCCACACAAAGACAAAGATTCCCCCCGTATAGCCTTAACATGCGTTTTGGCATAAGTGACGTGGCGCACGGGGTGGGTGGCCAGAGGAGCCGATGTGTAGGTTACACGGGGGGGGGGTAGTGGGTGGAGGGGAGGATCTGTGTGTGATGTGTGTAGGGAGTGGTGGCGCAGTGTTTAGAGCGAGTTTCGCTTTCCCTCATTGCCCCGCCTCGCGTCCGCCTGCCGCGTTGTTAACGAGCAAGCGCGGCGTTGTTTCTCCGTTGAGGCCCCCCAGCGAACGGGCCATTCATAATCCCCGCCGCCTGTGAACCCTTTTTGCCCCACCCCGCGGTGGCGTATCGACCGGCCGGCCGGTCGCGGCGGGCGAGCAATTAACTCCTTGTCAGTTGGGCATCGCGCTCAGGATTTATGTGCGTGCGGCGGTAGCGTCGCGCGAGCGTGACTGCGCACGCTCGTGCCTTAGCGCTTGACGGCTCTCGCGGACGTTGGGAAAAAAAAGTTTTTTTAAAAATGGCTGGCTCGCGGAGCACGCAGTGTAGATCGATGTGTTGACGGCGGAGTCTGATGTGTCCGCTTCGTGCGGAAGATCACGAATGCCGATGAAAGTTGTGGAAGGGCAGGCAAAAGCTGACATTTTGGCACAAGGGTAGTTGGGTACATCCTTAATTATAAAAATAAATCATTGATAATTAGAAAAATCCCCCAACCCGCTAAATTATTGAATTTTTGTACTCGGAAATTTCGGAGCTGAAGTTGAGTGATTTCATTCATGTGTCAGACGGCAGGCTAACTTTGTATGTTAAAAGCGGTCGCAAATTAGTTTGAAAATGCATGGACATGAACTCGCATATAAAGAGCAATAATTTTGTTATAGAAACGGGGATACAAATATTGGAGAAGGGAAATCAATATTCCAAAACATTTCTCAGAACATTGCGTCCTAGCGAGAACGGATATTGAGGAGAATCAAAAGGTGCTCGCAAACGGCACTTGTCTCTCCAGCCCGTGCTGTCGCCTTTGTCATTTGTGTATTTGCTTGAGTTTAAAACCAAGTTTCACGTTAATTTTGTTTAACCAGCAGAGGATTTCAAGAGACCAGGATGGAGTCTCATTTGCAATAGCGTCCCGTGGGGGGCATTAGTCCTCCAAGTAAGGGGACGATGATCGCTGTTGTGTGCGGTAGTGTAGCGGTTCGCGTACTGCGGTACGAACCTGGCGACCCGAGTTCGATTCCCGCTCACGGCCAACATCGTGGCGATTATCTGAACCGGTTCTGGGCCTCCTCTAGGTCGATTCGGCCTCAAATGAGTATCCGGTGCGGCGTGTAAACATCGCCACTGGGGAGACAAAGGCGGCTAGGTGTGGTGTTGGCCACCCACCTCCTCGTGTGCCGTTCTGGCCTTCATAGGTGCTCGCTAACAGCGCTTGCCCCAACAGCCTGTTAAGGGTTCATGGGGGATCTTTGTGTGCAATCCCAATGGAATTTGGAAAACATGGACCCTGACGCTGGCAACACGGTGGCCTGCTCTTGAGAATGATGTCACGAGATCTTTAACGTCTGCATTTGGTCCGGACGGCGCGTGGTGTTACCACGGCGGTCATTAGACCCGAAGTGGTGAGTCGGTTCGTTTATTGCAGGTCAGGCCTCATTGAGCTCTCTGCCAGTGGCAGCCGGCACGTTGAATCGGGCGGGGGGGGGGGGGGGGGTTACAGGGGCCTGCGTAGAACGCAAGCAATTACATTTACAAGGTAGGGTTTACAGGAACTGTATGGCATGGCTGACACGACGGGAATGGCGACGTTACATGGGAAGTTTGGGTTTACAGGGGCTGCGTGGAACACAAGCAATAACATTTTATCAACATGACTAATGAATAGTAATAAAAACAGTAAAAAACATTGAAACCAGCAGAGCAATGTACAATAACAGTCCAGTAAGCGATAAATAATAATAATCAGGGCAGCTGCTGGACTTGAAACACGAACCTCTGCAAGCCGAGCTGCCAATGCTCTGATATTTCCATTGCCTCTGTGCTGTTCACCTTTCAGGCATTGGTCTCTGGTCTAACGCCAGTGGTGAGACAGCGCCGCAAAGGAAGCTGTAGCTCTGGTGTTGGCCAATCAGCTGCAAAGAAAATGCGAACATTATCATCATTATTATTCTCAAAGCACGTTTCGTGTGCACGTTTCCGCCTGCAGGCGTGCACGGTTAATGCAGACCCGATGCCTTGCGATCGGTGTCTACTTGCTGTTTGAGCATCTTAACACGTTCCTGTGAAGCCGATTGTTTTGTCAACTAAGGCGGTGCCCGTGCGTGCGCTTGCGCGCGGTTCCGACCCCTCCACAGTGTGCACCTCGGCCAAGGCCGACCTCGTCTTCCTGGTGGACAGCTCCTGGAGCATCGGCGAGGAGAATTTCCAGAAGCTGATCTCGTTTGTGCACGGCATCGTGTCGTCCTTCGAGAGGGTCGGCCCCAGCGCCTCGCAGGTGAAGCAATGACGACGTCAACGGCGATTGCCTTCTCCTTCTCTCTCTCTCTCTCGAGAAAGACTCATCCAAGCCATAGAAATGTGGAATTTCCACCACTGGCTCTGGAACCGTCCAGTAGCTACGATCAGCGCCACATGCCCGTTTGAGCAGGGCGATGCAGTAGCTTGACTGCTTTGCGTGGAACTCCGTCCATGCCGTGGCCGCCCGCCCCCACTACGATGACCTCTCATCCAAGTCCAGGCTCTAAGATCTTCGTCATCTTCCCTACCTCGATTGGCCGGTCCCGGTGTGGTGGGGCAAACCGTCGGTGCAGCCGCAGCCTTTGAATGCGTCTGGCCAGCGTGGAAGAGGAGATCAAAAGACCCTCTGCAAGTGCTCTCGAGCTCTCGTAGAGACCTTCCCACTAGCAGCGGCCGCTGAGCAAAGCCACTTGCAGGGCGGCCGCATTGCTCGCGGAAAAACGCACGCGGGTGTCGCTGTGCGCGCGTGCCAATGGCGACGTTTCTTCCCCTCCCCGGCCCCCTCCCCCTGCCCCCCCTACCCCTCCCCGCCCCCCCCCCTCCGTGTGCAGGTGGCCCTGGTGGTCTACAGCGACAACCCGCGCACAGAGTTCGACCTCAACGAGTACGAGAACCGCAAGGAGGTGCTGGGGGCTCTCAGTTCCGTGCGGTACCTGGGGGGCAATACCAAGACCGGTCAGTCTGGGGGGGGGGGGGGGCACGGGTGGAGGGGGGGGGGCAGGGCTTGGGTAGGTGCACAGTGTAATAGTTTTCCCTGAATTTGAATAAATCTGAAAAAAACTCAACTTCAATTTTGGCCGCGATATGGAATTTTCCTGATATTTGAAATGCATTGCACCAGTCTTAAGATGACTTTCTGTGTTGAATTCTGATGACAGAGATGTCTTTGATCATTGTGATAATAAAATATTCCTCATACACAGTTTATCTAATTGTCTAAAGTGTTTTTCGCATGCACGTAAAGCCTTCCCTAAACATCATTTTAAACATCAACATTATTGCAACATTTTCAGTCTATAAGAACTAATGAGTCTAACATTCAAATATATATTGATTTTCCTGAACGTCCAAATGTGAATTGAGACTGTACGTCTCGAGCGAGGGGTGCGTTGGGTTCCGTTATCTCTCCATAAAAACGTCTTCCTACCTCCCGCAATGTCTAGTGTGAAAGCCTCCACGAGTTGACTCCCCTGTAAACACGGAACGTCAGCCCAACGTTGGGACAACGGTTGCGAGGACGTTCCCGACGTTGGCCCAACGTTGGCATGTTAGGTTTCACTCCTAACGCGAGTGGCGATTATCCAAACCGACGTTGATCTAACACCCCGGGTCAATTCGGGCTCAAGTGAGTGCCGGTTTTGGTGCGTAAAATGTCAGCCCCGGAGGAGACGAAGGTAGACGGGTGTGGTGCCGGCCACACCACCCCCCATCACATCGTGAGTCATGCCAACCTTAATAGGGGCACGCTGCGCGCAGCACTAGCTTTCAATAGTCCGTTAGGGCTCTATGGGAGGGATCTTTATCTTAGTTGTCTGTAGCTGTAAAATCAGACAGCCCACTCGAACAGAAACCATGAAATGTCCAACGAGCGTCAGTGAAACGTTTAGCGCGATAACGACTGCTCGTAAATCAGTTTCTATTGATGCTGAAAGCAACACGAGCCCTGAATAACACGGAAATGTCAAATTGACGAGCCCGACTGACCCTTCTTTGATAAGGCTTATTACATGTAACATATATACGATACACTGCCATGAATCACCGACTGAGCGAGTAGGTTACTGACGTGAACCGTAATGAATGGGTGCGGGAAGCAGAAATTTGGCGCAATTATAGTACCGGCTTACGTGGGTTTTTTTTTGGTTTGTTCGAGAAAAACAAAAAGCAAACTTGTTCTCAAATTTGGCATTTCAAAACAAAATTGTGAGTCGAAATGAAAAGTTTCCTCTCGTCAACGGCGACCGCTCCATGTGTGTGCGTGTGTGTGTATGCGTGTGTGCACGTGTGTGTGTGTGTGTGTGTGTGCGTGTGTGTGCGTGTGCATGCGTGTGTGTGCATGCGTGTGTGTGCGTGTGCATGCGTGTGTGTGTCCGTGTGTGTGCGTGTGCAGGCCGCGGCCTCAAGCACGTGCAGAAGGAGCTGTTCAGCTCCACGGGGGGGATGCGCAAGGCCGTGCCCAAGGCTCTCATCCTCATCACGGACGGACGCTCGCAGGACGACGTCACTAAGACGGCGCAAGAGCTCCGAGCCAGCGGTCCGTGTCGGCGTTCACTTCGCTTCCCCCCCCCCCTCACACCGCCCCACACCCCCCCACATTTCCCCCAGACTGCCCCCATACCGCCCCTCCCCCCCCGTGCAATGGTACGGACACTGGCTGGTCCTTCCCCAACACTGCTCCCACGGTGCCCCCCACTCACCCACCCACCCTGTCTCCCCCCCCCTCCCCCACATTATCCCGCACTCACCCACCACCTTGTCTCCCCACTCACCCATCTTTCTCCCTCTCTGCTCCCACGGTGCCCCCCACTCACCCTCCCCACACTCCCCCCCCGCAGGCTACAGCATCTTTGCGGTGGGCATCGCGGACGCGGACATGAGCGAGATGCACCAGGTGGCAAGCCGCCCCAGCGAGAAGCACGTCTACTTCGCCGAGGACTTTGACTCCTTCCGCAAGATCGAGAACCAGATCATGTCGCACCTGTGCCAGGTCGCGTCCATCCGTGAGTGGCACGCCCCCCCCCCCCCTCTGCTACGTGGGAGGGGGGGTGTATTAACGATAGAACGTGATGTGAAGTCACCCGCTGCGTTTTCATGGCGGTTCGGGCTCAACATTCACATGGCAACAAAATTGGTCCTCATTTTATCGACCCCCAGAGGAATAAAAAGATCACACTTTGAAAGCCTGTTTGACGAAACGATGGAATATTTATTAACATTTTTGTCATTTATATCCGCTACAATAATATAGAGTGGAATTAGTCGGCCACATACCCTCTAGGGATGGATGTCCTTTCTACAGCTCCCTCTAGCGGAGAATATTCTGCCAGCAGTGGCATGGACAAGTAATGGCAGGGCTGCACCTTTGCCTTTGTAGGAATATTGAACTCCAGCCAATGACGTCCTGCATATGAGACGAATTCTTTGGTGATGCTGCTGCACTTACAGTGGTGCAAAAGCGAAAATAACAAAATAAATAAATAGCTATTATCCGAACATCGCCTATTTATATATTTTTTTATATTTTAGGGCAGTGTTATCAACGGACGTGCTGAGAGTTTTGATATACTGCATATTAATTACGCATTGCTGATGAGGGGTAACTGTTCTGTTATATTGTTGGTAAGGGGTACCTGCCATTGTTGTTATTTTAGTCGAATGTGTTTAGAATCCAGACTTAAACATTTATTTTTTGAGAACTGCTTTTTGTGTTTAGTTTGTTATCGTTGCCCCCGCCGCACCTCTGATGAGCACGGTTGGCTACGTACGGTGCGAAAGAAGTTCAGCATAAATGCGTCACGTGATTTAATTAAACTCGTTTTCTTTTTTCCTCCACAGCGTGCCCCATCGTCTTCATGAATGGCTACACTGTACCAGGTGAACGCTCGCAAACCAGAGCCATCTCGTCAACATGCCGCTCACCCTGTCAGGAGGTGCCTTAGAGCAGTGTTCCTCACTCATTTTCCGAGGGGGGGGCCACTTTCGATCAAAAGACATCGGTGTAAATGAGAGCCGCCACACATTTGAAACGAGAGGGGGTTGACAGCAGCACGCTGATGATGATGATGGGTGGGGTGGTGTCACGTGTTGTGTATGGTCGGGGGCCGCACTAAAGGCCACCAGGGGCCGCCAGTGGCCTGCGGGCCTTGCAATGAAGAGCGCTGAATTAGAGACAATGGCAAAGTTAGAGACGCAGAGACACGAGAAAGTGAAACACGGACAAAGAGAAAGACCGTGAGAGCTCCACAGTGAGATGTGAAGACAGACAAAGAGAGAGAGAGACACTGAGATGAGCCCAGGGGCACACACATTGAGACAGAACCAGAGAGAAAGACAAAGTGTGATTTAGAAAGACATGGTGAGATGGAGAGAGGGACCAGGTGATGAGACACGGTGAGACGTGCAGACAGACGCCGTGAGATGCAGAGACGGACTCGTGGACAGGGATGCACACGCTGCTCCAGATGACGCGCACCCCGATCGGTGCCCGCTGAACAGAGGCCTCCACTACTACCTCGCTGGTCTCCGCATCTGTAACTCGATTTGCAACTTGATTATAACCAGTTGGAACGCGGTTTGTCAGAGCCAACTTGCATTTCAGGATATGTATTACCGTTCATATGGATTTAGGTTAGTGCAATGTTTACAGTTGTTATCTCGTGAGGTGAAATTGTTCTTTGCTCATGTGCTGTCTTTTTTGTTGTTAATTTGATATACATATCCGGAAACGTTTTTTATTTCGTAGTTTTTTAGGTGACCATCCCCCGGGTTACACTGCACATGTCGTATGCGCGAGGGCAGGCTTCCGCATGATGGAGGCCTTTGGCCTGGTGGAGAAGACCTACGCGTCCCTGGGAGGCGTCTCCATGCAGCCCGGCTCCTTCAACGAGTTCGCCGCTTACCGCCTGCAGAAGGGAGCCCTGCTCAAGGTGCCCACAAGGTCCGTCCACCCGTCCGTCTGTCTGTGCGTCCACCTGTCCGTCTGTCTGCGCGTCCATCCATCCATTCATCTGTCTATCCGTCGATCCGCCCATATAACCATCCTTCCGTCCATCCGTCTATTTGTCTATCTGTCCGCCCGTCCGCGTGTTCACATGCACCGCCGGGTAGACAAATAATAATAGCTTACTTTTCAGATCTTTGTCAATCCACTGGTGGATGTGGTAGACAGATCTAGAAACTTCCCAAGTGGCGGATGGGGGCCCTGAAATGTCAAGATGTTTTAATAAAGCCAAGGCATTAAGAATAATAATAAAAAACCCACATTCAATGTAAATTAAGAATTAAATATCATTGCCCCGAGCAGCCCTCTTCCCCCTGGATCCGCCGCTATGGTGAGGTCTCACTCATTCAGGGGTGGTGGTGGTACCGATGTTGGTGGTGTTGTTGATGGTGGTGTTGATGGTGGTATGTTGATGGGGTAGCTGATGGCGTTCATGGCAGTGGTGGTGGTGGTGGTGTTGGTCGCGTCGATGCCGTTGTTGATGCTGCTCCCGTTGTTTGCTGTTGACGGCCGTGTCGCGCGTGTGGTGGCGGTACACCTGATGCGCCGTCGCCGCCGTCGCTGTGGTGGTGGTGGTGGTGCGACGCTGCGACGACCGTGCAGCGAGGTGCACCCGGAGGGGCTGCCCCCCGAGTTCACGGTGTCCTTCCTGCTGCGTGTGCTGCCCGAGACCGGCACGGATCCATTCTCCGTGTGGGAGCTCACCAACCAGCGCCTCAAGCCCGAGCTGGGGGTGCAGCTCGACCGTAAGTGGACACGCCGCAGGGTGGGGGGGGAGGTCACCGGCGTCGCCGAGGTCAATGCCAGGGTCAATGGGGCCATCGGGGTCAATTGGGGCCAACAGAATCGTTGGGATCACTTAGGCCAATGGGGTCATTGGAGTGCATGAGGTCAAGGAGGTCAACGGGGTTTATGTTGTCACGGGGTAAACGTGTTCGTTAGGGTGACTAAGTTCAATGGGGTCACCGGGGTCAATAGGATCACCAGGGTCAATGGGGTCACCAGGGTCAATGGGGTCAATCGACAGTGTCGGTGTGATCGTCATGCGGAGAACGCGGGGATGGCGGCGGACTCTGACCCCCATCCCTTTGCTCCACACCTCGGCAGCCGGGAGGCAGTCCGTGACACTCTTCGGGCTGGACGAGACCGGAAAGATGCAGAACATCGCCTTCACAGGGCCAGAGGTCAAGACCATCTTCTACGGGAGCTTCCACAAGGTACCCGCCCGGGCCAGTCGATTGACTGACGCAAGGAGGTAGTTCTGCGACGTCAGCTTCTCTGACGCAGGGTGGAATGCGCTGGCCGTCATGTGAGTTGCGGCATTTTGGGGGAGGCATTCATCAAGCAGTGGATTGAACATTACTGCTACTGCTGCTTATTGATGTCGATGATATATGTTTGGTGTGGCCCTCAAGACCGTGGGCTGCAGTTGCTGTGGAAAATATATTTATAGCTCATCGGATTCCTCCAGTATAAATTAATGTTCTGATTTTGATAATACGACCGTGCGCGCAATCCCGCGCATGACCCCACGTGATCACGCGTTGACCCCGTGTGACCCCACAGGTGCACGTGGCAGTGACCAAGTCGGAGGTTCGTCTCTTCATCGACTGCTCGCTGGTGGCGTCGCGCCCCACGCGCCCCTTCTCCAACTACTCCACCGACGGCTTCGAGCTGCTGGGTCATGTCGCAAAATCCGCCGGGAACAAAGCCACCTCGGCAGACGTACGTCCGTACGCACGCCCGCCCACCCGCCCACCCGCCCGTCGGTCCGTTCATCCGTCCACACGAGCGCTCGTCATCGAACGTCGTTGTCCATCATCGTTGCGATCGTTGTTCCTTGTCGTCGTCATCTGCTCTGTTGTGATCGTCGTCTTCGCCGTCAACAATGACGAGATTCGTCAATTCGGAAACGAAGGGTAAAGGTGCAGCACTGCTGCAGTTGATCTGCTCACGCCGTTGCTGGTGGAAGGGCTCCCACGAGTGGGGTGGTGGAGGTTCTCACACACACGTTCCAGATGATGATAATGATGCATCGACGATAACAATGAAAACGATGATGACATTGAAGAGAAGCATGCTGACAGTTGAGATGACTGTGGCGATGCTGATGATGAACATAATGCCGATAATCAATTGATTCTCGAGTAAATTGGTTCTCGAGGCAGAATCAATTGGGAAATGGATCACAGCAACAGCAAAAACAACGGCGACAAGAATAACAACAAAAATATGACGAAGCATACCCTAAAACACAAGCGGCTCTTCTCTTGTAGCCGCACACGTAATTGCTGATCATTTAATTGTGATCGGATACATTGTCATCGTCATCATTGTCAAAATGATCATCGTAATTTCAATCATCATGAGTGTCGGCATTATGTTCATCATCGTGCTCACTTTAATCATCATCAGCATCGTCACTGTCATTTAAACTGTCAACATGCAGCTCATCAATGTCATCATCGTTATCATTCTAATGGTCTATCCATCATTATCATCATCTGGGAGTGGTGGTGTAGCGGTTAGCGTGCTGCGTTATGAACCTGGCGTTCAGAGTTCGATTCCCGCTCATGGCCAACGTCCGTGACAATTATCCAAACTGGTCCTGGGCCTCCCCTAGGTCGACTCAGCCTCAAATAAGTACCTGCTGTGGTGTGTAAACATCGCCACTCTGGAGACAAAGGCGGCCTGGCGTAGTGTTGGCCACCCACCCTCTCGTGTGCCGTTCTGTCCTTCGTAGGTGCTCACTAACAGCACTTGCCCCAACAGCCTGTTATGGCTATATGGGCAATCTTTGTTTTGGTATGATTTGCACTCATGTGTTGTTAGGTTTCCGCAAACAGCACTTGCCCCATCAGCTGATGTAAGCTACATGGGGGGGGGGGGGGTGATCTCTAGTTTTAGAGTCAGTGACTTTACTGGGTCGTAGTGTTCCAGCGCTCGCATTTTCTCAAAGCCACAGGGATGCATTGAACGTGCTCACTTGTTTACTGCATTGCTTCTTTGTTTGTCAGATGATTTGTTGATATTTGTAGAAACACCAAGTTCTACTTGGGGTCGGGAATAAGACAAATAAATGTCCCATATATTAATAAAAAAAAATTAAGCTCAAGTGCTATGTGAGGTCACTGTGACGTCACTGTGATGTCACTGTGATGTCATTGCGTGGTGAAATCACAGTGATGTCACCAGCATGCTGTCACGGCGCAATTAAAAATTATAACCTTAAAGGGCAGTTTTACTCGTCATCGGGGGCTGACGATTCTTCCTGTCCGACTTAACCGCTGGTTGGCCGTTCTCGAGCGCGGCGTGAACGCCGCAACCGCTTCGGCAACATTCCCACGCCTCGATTCTCGTTCTCAAAGCGCCTCGGTGTTTCGTGGCGACGCGAGGGAAAAACGTCACAGACGTTCCTCGCCCCCCCTCCGCCCCCGCCCGATGTCCATTTTCTTTTTTCCGCGTACCTTCGGAACCGCGTGGGAGTCCGCGTGGATTTCATTTCATTCGGATTGATCCTCTAGGACCCGCCGAGAGCAGCCGTCTCATCTGACAAAGCAAACTTGAACCGAGTGGGGGATCGCGCATTACAGGGCAGCCGAGCAAGAGGAGCTGGGGGAGGTGGAGGCGGCTCGACACTCAAGTGGGGCCCGATGCAGATGGGAGAGAGGGGGGGGGGGGCTCTTGGAAACAGCCATGGAGAGAGTCAGACTCAGAGACTGAAGGAGTGGGGGGGAGGGGTATTGTACTCAAAACAAATTATGTAAGTTTATACATACATTGTGGACTTTTGAAAAATCCACTAATGAGTAATTGTTCACGTGTCAAGTTCAGACTGCTCATCTTAAAGCATGTTATGCATTTATATCAGGCCCCCGCGGTGTGTCCAGGGGCCTCGTTCAGCCTCCACGTTGACGTTCACTCAATGCCTCTGGCATCTCCACCGCTCTGCTATTGCAGCAGAGACACCGCCCAAAACGTTCCTCACTGTGTGTTTCTCCGCTCGGGTAGAGGCGGCGTTACCGCATGGGGGAGAGGCCCGGTACGCTGAGCAGACCGTACAGTTGGTCGGTGTTGTTTCGAATTTCCCAAACGAGATGGATTTTCATTTTTTTTTTACAAATCGTGCTTCATTAACTCGTAAGTGCCTTTTGGGAAACGTATCGGTGACGTTTATCATACTGCAATGTTACAAAGATTAGTTCCGCTGCCAGAAAACAGAGCAGGGTTCATCAGCTGCCAGTACGCTTTTGCGTCTTTGTGTGCGTCCGTGTGTGCGCACACGTGTGTGTGTACGCACACATGCGTGTGTGTGTGTACGCACACGCACACATGCGTGTGCAATTGTTAGTGTGCTGTGCAATGAACCCGGCTCATGGTCAACGCCAGTGACGGTTATCTGAACCGATCCTGGGCCTCCCCTAGGTCGACTCAGCCTCAAATGAGTACCCGGTGCAGTGTGTAAACATCACTACTAGGGAGACAAAGGCAGCCGGGCGCGGTGCTGGCCCACCCACCCCCTCATGGGCTGTGCTGGCCTTCATTGGCGCAACTCGCTAACAGCACTTGCCCCTACAGCCTGTTAAGGCTACGCTGGGCGATCTTCATATTTGGTTTTGTTTTGCGTGCGTGCGTGTATGCTCTCACAGTTCCAGTTGCAGATGTTGGACATGGTTTGCAACGCGGACTGGGGTACAATGGACAAGTGCTGTGAGCTGCCGTCGCTGGTGAGTGACGCCCTCCTCGTGGGCAGAGATACAACAGAGGCCCTCTCATTCACGCTGCACCCAGCACCCCACCAAGTGAAATACAAAAAGAGCCCCAGTTGAACGAGTTCACAAGTTCATCCAACATCACCGTTGGTTGCCTTCAAAAGTAAAAGTATGTAACAGGCGACGCTTCAGGCAAAGGTCCTTTCACGTGCTATAAATAAGGGCCAATTACCCGAAACGTTGCGCGTTTAATATTGATCTGTTACAGGCAACAGCGTTATTGGCGAACGCGTTGAAGTTTAATGTTTTTTGTTACGTATTTATTGTCGTGCTTTTGCACCACTGCCAACGCGGTATTTTGCCAAATTATTCGTTTCAGGTGAACTTAGTTGATGGTCTCAAGCCAGTTACCAAACCCAGCAAATTGGATTTGGCTCTGCAGTTAGTTTGGCCAAGTTTCAGCTCTTCAGACTGAATTTTTCTTATAATAGTGGTTGTTGTGCGGCTGACGTTATTCTCAGCAGGCGGAGATGTGCTGCCCCCTCCCCTTCTTACATGAACCAGTGATCGCTCAAAGGGATCTCAGAGGTAGCTCTGTGATGTCTCCTTCCCTGGGTCGCTCTCCATCTGTGAGAGACCCGAATGGATTATCTGTCTCATGACATGGCGTTCATAAATAGCACAATCGGGATTACATTGGGGGGGGAAAGTTTATATCGTAAAAAATACAAGCTAGTCCTTCATCCAGAAATGTTAGATCGACTCAGGGCTATTGTGACAAGAGGGGACGACCTAAACCCAGGTGGTGGTGTTGCCGGTAATTTGACTGTAATAGCCTCCGATTAGCATGGCCCGCACCTCCGGTTAGCATGGTTGGTTACGTACGGTGCGAAAGAAGTTCAACACACACACACACATGGCACTACCGGTGGAAGGGTCTCCACTAGAGGGGCACTCTAGACAGCCCCTCTCGAGTGATATTTGGCCTTCGCACCCACGCTTGCCACCACGCCGTAGAAGACGTGGTGGAACCCACACTTAACCCCCACCGTACACCAAATTTGCCGATCACCGACTTGACTGCGGTCAATCCACGTGCGCTGCCGGGTAAGCAACCGCTGCGCTGGGACAACCAATTACCCCCGCCGCTGCCGCGTCCCCTTGACTATCATTACAGCTGAATGATAAACAAACGAACAAACACATTGTCCCCTTCACGCTTACATGGGTTCCCTAAACGTTCAAGGCCAGGTGACGTGGCACCACATAAATACAACATCTGCGAGCCCAATTTCCTCTCCTCTAAATCCAGGAGCGCAGCGTTCGGGACGTATATCCACGGAGTTTATGTACCCCCCCCCCCCCCCCCCCCCCCCCCCCCACCGGCCCTACATCAAGATTCGAGCTCTGTACCGGGCTCCTACTGAAATATAATTAAAACATTTTTAAAAGATACCCACAATAGTTGTGGGATCTGGCGGAAGGATGGAAGTGGCAGCGGGAGTTGATGACATTGTAAATGTTTTGGGTTTACTCTCCAACACACTAGCGTGCTCAACGAGTAACGAATTGGCACGTTCTGTTCACGTGACAAACCTGACTCATTGGCTGTGTCGGGTGGTGGCGGGTTTAGCGACACATTCATATTCACGCGATCTAACCCAAAAAAAACTCTTACGGAGTTGGTAACCTCGTTGGCGTCTGCCGTGTTGACCTCTTGCCCTCTGTTGACCCCACGGTTTCATTCGTCGTGATCACCGCTTGCCGTCTTTTTTCCGTCGCAGAGGGTGGAGGACTCGTGCCCGTCGCTGCCCCACGCGTGCTCCTGCTCCCAGGACAGCAAGGGGCCACCCGGCCCCCCGGGCCCCCTCGTAAGATTCCTTTCCCCCCTCCAAACCCCCCCACCCCCCTCGCCCACAGAGGCTCTCTCGAGCACCCTCGAGTTAGAGGCCCTTCCGGCAGTAGCGTCTTGAGCAAAGCAATTTGCAGGGCTGCGGCTTTACCTTGAAGGAAAAGCAAAACGAACCCATTCCTGCGCTAAACGTTGCTTTTTAGGTTTGCACCTCCGATCAGCACGGCTGGCTACGGTACGGTTCTGGAAGGTGTCCAACAAACACACATTCACCATCGTCTTGGCCATAATTCTCACGACGTTTCGGCCACAACGCAAGCAGCCGTCCTCAGCTGCTTGCGTTGTGGCCGAACGTCGTGAGAATTATTTTATAATGTTTAATTTTTATTATTTTATTATTTCTCTTCTACGTGACTTTACCGAAAGAACCAAGAAGATGTTCATGGACAATTCGGCGATGCGAGACGACCCCCGCAGTAATTTACGGCTCGCAGCTGCGCGCAGCGGAGTTGGTTGTCCGCTGTCGTGACGCGCGCGTTATGTAAGTGTTTATATATTTATTTATTACGCGATGCAACGCTTTGCGTGCAAACTCAGCTGGACGGCGCGCGACGTCCCAAGGAGTTTTGCGTTTGGGCCACGTTAAAGGAGTGAATTTGTAGCGGTAATGAAAAACACTTGCGTGTGACTTCTCTCTCTCTCTCTCTGTAAGCAAGCGACAGAGACCCCCCCCCCCCCCCCCCCCGTATAGCCTTCAGCACACTGTCGGGGCAAATGCTGTTGGAGAGTAGTACCTGATGAAGGCCGGCTATGGCACAAGAAGGGGGTGGGTGGCCATCACCACGCCGGACCGCCTTTGTCTCCCCAGTGGTGATGTTTACACACCGCACCAGGTACTCATTTGAGGCTGAGTCAACCTAGGAAGAGAGGCCCAGGACCGGTTCAGATAATCGTCACCGGTGTTGGCCGTGAGCGGAAATCGAACTCTGGTCGCCAGATTCGTAGTGAAGTGCGCTCACCAATAGATTTCTGCTCCGCCCACATGTATACCAAGATCCCCCTATAACCTTAACAGACTGTAGCGAGCGTCTTTGAAGGCCGACACGGCACACAAGACGGTGGGTGGCCAGCACCACGCCCGGCTAAGACACTGAAACCCACACCAACAATAACCTATGCAGGCTTAGGTGTACTTTACACACACATCTACATTTTACTATGAATTCCCTCGCAGCAGCGGTATGGTGTGGTACGCGACCACTGCCAAGTTTGGGTGGTTGTTATTTCGCTTCGCTGCCAAGTGTATAGAGCTCAGGCAGGTTACTCTCTTAAAGCCAATATACTGACTTCCTTCCTGACTGTGTGTGTAGGCGTGTGTGCGTGTGTGCGTGTGCGCGAGTGGCGCAGTTGGGGGGCGGTGGTGCAGCGGTTCGCGTGGTGCGTCGCGAACCCCGGGTCAACTAAGTTCGATCCTAGGCCAAGGTGGACAACATTCGTTGTAAATGTTTATACTCATCGTGGGCCTCGCCTGGGCTGACTCGGCCTTAAATGAGGACCTGTTGTGATGTGTAAACATTGGCATTGGGGAGACAAAGGTGGCTTTCCACCCTTAATAGGTGCTCGCTTACGGCACTTGCCTTAACAGACTGTTAAAGGATATACGGGGGATCTTTGTTTTTGTGTGTCTACATGTGCGTGCGTGTATGCATTTCTGTGAGTGTGTTGACGCGTGTGTGCACATCTGCGTGTGTGCAATGAGCATGCTGGTGTGTGCGTGTGTATGTATGCATGCATGCGTGCGTGAGCGTAATTGCATGTACAGCGTTAATCCGAGATGCACATGTTGGCAAATCCGATCGCATTAGCGACACGAACTCAGACTTTACACCATTCTTTTTTTTTTAAACACAAGAGTGTTTGGCTCTGCAAACGTTGCATTCATCGTCATCATCATCATCGCCACCCATGTTCCACCCACTGCTGGATGACAGTGATCACAAAGCCGTCTCCATCCCTCATCGTGTGCCCCCTGCGATGCCAAAATCCATAATTTTAAACTGTAAATAATTATTATGCTCTGGTAGTAATAATAAGAAGTCACCCCGTGGTGCACGGCAATGCAAACACGGCACAAACGGTGTGTTCAAAGACAACCTTGAGAAATGTTGAGGCATAGAAAAGTGTGCTTCAGAAACATGTTAACAATCACATGGGACTATCATTTTTAATGGAATAAGAACGGATAATACATTGTAACATGATAACAAATGTTATGTTAATAGCTTCAAAAAGTCAGAGTCTTCACTTGTTCGCCATCGTTGTCAACACGTGCCTAGAATCTTCTCCAGGTGGTCTCCAGAACACATTTCTCGTGGTGTTGCAAATTCTCAGAAGTGTTCAACATTTTTTGAAGCACCCTGTATAAACATATTATAGGAAATCGTCTTTATGAGATATATATTTATATATTCGTACAAAAGAACACAACTTATAGCGCTGGCAATCAAAATATTCAGACACGTCCTTAGACATGATTTCAAAACAATGTGAATGTCACATTAAACCTTTTACAGTAAGCAGTAGTGGAGCCAGTGAATAAAATCACTTGGGATATGCACCCCGCCTCATCAGATCACGCAAGCTAAGCAGGAGCTTTGAGCCTGGATCGTGCTCGATTGGCAGACCACCACGCGTTCCAGGTGTTATAGGTTGCGCCCATCTTCACCAACCCGCACAGGCCAGCGTGGTGAAGTATGGTCAAATAACCCCAACAACAAGCCAGGTGTAGGAGATGCCCTCGCGTGTACTATAGATAAGTCATCTACTAATGCCCTTTATGTACCTGGGTAAGCCTCAATGAGTCTCAAGACCCTATTAGTAAGAGGATCCTGCATTTGGGTGCCATGGTGGCGAGATGTTAACTCCCTCACCTGGTATGCAGGAGGTCGCGGGTTCGATGCCGACCCCGACGCCTGCTGTATATTTGAGATGTGCACGTTTTTTTCCCCGTTGTCATGTGGATTTTTCTCCAGGTCCTCCGCCTTTTCCTACCACATTTAGAAACATGCAATTCGAGTATTTGCTGCTAAAAATTTCCACATGGTGATGAGCCACTTCATCGAGCTATCATTTGTGGCCAGGTCGCTTCCAAATTGGGATATGTAGCTCAGTGGGCATTACTGGTAAAGTAAAAAGATGTTTTAGTTTGGCTTCTCCCATTGGGGGCTAAAAGGAGGCCCTGTTGGTGACCTCACCTTTGACCTTCGACGTGTGTGTGTGTGTGTGCAGGGCAGCCCTGGCCCAAAGGGACCCCGTGGGCACCCAGGGACCCCAGGAACTCAGGTGAGTGCCGAGGTCGAACAGAACGTTGCTCTCTCATTATAAAGGACGTTGCTCTCTCATTATAAAGGACTCTTCTCACCCTGGACACTCACTGTTTGAGCTGTTGCCATCAGGCAGACGATTCAGATCAGTCAAAACAAGGACAAACAGATTCAAACAGAGCTTTTATCCTACAGCGATCACCACACTCAATAATGCTAATTAATTATTAAGTAATAGTGTTTACAATTGATTGTGAAATAGAGATGTGCAATGACAAAATGTAACCTTATGTGGGTATGTGGGTATACTTGGGCTGTTTTTATATATAGTATAAATTGATTATCTTTCATTTAATTTAATTTTTATTTTCTTGTTTTATTTAATTTAAATTTATGAATGATGCCCTGACTGGTGAGCATTTTAAATTTCGTTGTACTGGTGACAATGACAATAAACGATCTATCTATCTCTGGTACATCACGAGGAAGTACGCGTGGCCGGTGAAGATATATTTATTTATGTATGTACGTATGTACGTTGAACTTCTTTCGCACCATACGTAGCCAACCGTGCTAATCGGAGGTGCGGGGGAAGGACAACAAACTAAAGACAATTCGTAGCCACCAGACTGGACACCGAGCAGAGAGGTTTAGATACGAGCAGTGCAAGAAGCTTCGTGCGGAACAGACTCCGGTGGGGGGGAACTTCACTCGTCATCCGGCACCATCATCCTGGAAGCTAACAGAAGGGATAGGAAACACGTGCAGCCGTGTGCTTTCAGGTGCTCAGGGGATGTAGCCGGTGATGTTGAGATTCTGGGCTCCCCTAGATCAACTGAGCCTTAAACGAGTTCCTGATACTGAGTACAAAACAACAGAACCTGGGAGGAAAATGCGTGGTGCTGGTGACCATACCCCATCCCCTCGTGTGCCACAGTGCCGGCCTTCAGTTCGCGAGCGGCACCTGTCCCAGCAGTCTGTGAAGGCTACACGGTCGATCTTTGCCCCTGTTGTGCGTGTCGCAGGGTGGAGCTGGGCTGCGTGGAGAGCAGGGGCCTAGGGGACCGCCCGGGCAGAGGGGACCCCAAGGGCCCAGCGGGGTCTCTATTCCTGGAACCCCTGTGAGCAGCACTCGCAACGCTCACTCAACGCACCGTACTCGCTCACCAGCTGCAGCGCTCGCTCACTCAATCACGGTCACCCAACGGCGAGTGCACTCATCTGTGCACTTGCTCAAATGCTCGCTCGCTCGCTCACTTAGCTGGTGACTCGCTCGCCTAACCGCACAATGACACACACTCAGACATTTACTCACTCATGAAACTGCTCGCTCACTCACTCACACAACCACTCCCCAAACCGTTCACTCATGTACATAGTCACCCAACGACTGACTGAATGAATCACGCCCTCACGATAACAGCTAGTTAAACCACGTGCCATTATCAGCTCTATTACACACTTGTAAAATATTCGCAATGCAGGCAGTTCTACTTAAGAGCTATGCTTACCTTGCGGGTGCAGTAACTGTCTGCGGTTTAACATCCAATTTAATCTGCTGTCCGTTTGATTTGAGCCGTGGCGAAACAACTCATGCACCTTCACCCCGCCCGCTAACCGACACGATTTCCCATTCTCTGCGTGACCCACTGACCTCACACTTGTGCTATTTTCCCATCCGTGCCAGGGTGGGGGCTGGGGTCTCGGTGGGGGGTGGTTGGGAAGGGCATTCCCAACCACCTGATGGTTGGGTTGTTTGACCGTAATTCGCCAGTGTTTCCGAGGTACCGGCGTCAAGGGCGAGTGTGAGCGGGCGGTGGTTAGACCGCGGTGACGATTCAATCAGCCAAGTCACCAAGGACTGCGCAAACCCCACGGGAAATGTTACATTGACTTTCGGACCTGCTTTGGATACATTCCAGCTCTGGGATAATCATCGGAGCAATGACAACATATATTGCTTTGCCTGTCACATGACGGTCAAAAACGATTGTGTAAGAGTTATTCCTCTCCGTGTTTCATAGCTTTCACGACAGGTACAACTTTTGGGTAAGTTTGCCTTGACTCGTAATTTTATTGTCGTCTTGTGTCATCTCGCACGTGGCTGAAGGCGCTTGTAGCTCCCGTTGCTTGTTTCCGCCGCGTGTCCGGCGAGTTCACCGATCCTCCCGTTTGTCTCTGCAGGGCGGTCCGGGAGACAAGGGCGAGAGGGGCCATCCTGGTCAACCAGGACCCCCGGTATCTCAACAGTGCCACCACCACCAGCACCACCAATTCCACCACCAGCACCACCAATACCACCACCAGAATGACCATCACCAGCAAGACCACATTCACCGCCAAACCACCATCACCGCCACCATCAGTACCACCACCCGCCGTTACAGCTGCTGCTGATGTTGCCACCGCCACCTCCACCACTGACATTACTACCATCACCACCCGCCATTTGCCACTAAGTGATGGTGACGTCACCACGACGCCTGTGCCAGGCCAGGTGCACGGCTACCAGCCCCACCCCCACCGCCAGCACCACCGCCACACACTGTCGCCGCACCGCCGCCCACGCCGCGCGACCTGCGTCGTGACGCTCACGCTTGCGCCGTCTCTTCGCAGGGTCCCGTGGGTCCAGTGGGGCCTTCTGGACGCGCAGGATCGGAGGGCCCGAGGGTAAGACTCATCGGCCGCCCTACTTCTCTCCCCGGCGCCAGAGGCAGCGAGCCACGGCGGGCGGCCGGTTTAAGGCCAACGGCCGGGCGCTGTTTTAGACGTGGAGAGTGACGCTGCTGATGTTTCGCCCAAGACGGCCTCGCAGCATCTCAAGGGCTGTTTTGAGGACGGCCTCGCTACCCCGGGATGCTTGCCCAGTTCATTATTTTTTCTCGGGATTCCTTGTGGCAGGAAGCCGGAGTGACCAGAGACAACCCAACATGCAAACGCGACAGGGTCATTACCGTTGGCTATGGGGGTCTACCAATTGTTGGATGAAGGCCTCGCTCAATCCCCATGGCAAATGTCCTCTCGGGCCAGTTTCGCTCCTTTGGCCGCCACTCTGTCGCTAGTCTTGACCACCGGCCATCGTTCGTCACTTGCCCAAGCCAACGCACTTTTCTTTGCGGTCAACAAGACGTCTCTTAAGCACATGTTCTAAGACACGTGTTCTAATACACGTGTTCTAATTCCTGATTGCACCTCTCCGTACTTTGCGGCCATCGTCGAAGTGTGTTTCACTTTAGTTATTCCCACCGCAACGAAATGCAATCCGGTGGGAAACACAACCACAATGCCAATTGCGGTGCGTTGTGCTAAGTGGTTCATGCTGCTCAGGGTTCAGGTTAGTTAAACGTTTGTTTAATAAATCCTCGGTGCGCTTTCCTCCCGTAACACAAAACCTAAGCTGACAAAAACTAGCACGCCAGGCCGTGGCACAGCGGGGTCGGCATGGGCCCCGGGACAAGCGACGAAATAGCCCTCAACAGCCCCCCACCCACCCAGCCCCCCACCCCCCGCCGCTCCTTTCTTAGCCCGGTGCCCGGGCCCCGCTCTGGCCTTTGGGCTGCGGTGTGCGATTGCACCGCCTGCGCACCCGCCAGATAGCTGCCGCCACTGGGCGCGCACGCCGCTTGGGTTCTTTTGTTCATTGTTCTTGTTCTTTTTTGGCGATGCGATGTGGCTAACCGTGTCTCGTGTTGACCGGGGCAGGGCCCACCAGGAAAAGACGGGGAGAGGGGGACGGCCGGACCCCCCGGCCTCATGGTGAGTGACGTACGCTCGGCATGTACATGCCGACATGCGCGCGTGTGTAGGTGTGCATGTTGAACTTCTTTCGCACCGTACGAAGCTACCGTGCGACACGCATAGCGATCACGTGTACGTACATCATCATCATCGTCGTCTTCGTTTTCATTATTTTCAACATCATTGTAAGCATCATCATTAGTAGCAGCAGCAGCAGCATTGTTCACTCCACTGCTGGATGAAGGCCTCCAAGCTATCGCCACCTGGCACGGTCCTGTGATGTAACAATTGACCTGGTTCTTGCAAAAACACATCTACTGCATATACACACACACACTATATATACACAGAGCTATATAGAGGTCCCAATACAACGTGGTAGCGCTGTAATACATGATCTAGCGTAATTGAGTAATCAAAGTCAAAGCATGGCTATGTGTATAGCTTCTAGTTACGTGTTCGTTCTAACTTTGATGTGTCTTTATAATGCGTGAAGTGACCTGGCCACATGTGATAGCTCAACAACGTGGCTTATCACGCGGAAAATTATAGGAGGCAAATATTCTGAAATGCACGTCGATTCAAAATGTGGAGGGGAAAAACCCGAGGACCTGATGGAAAAATCCACCCGACCACGGCGATAGAGACGCCGCAAACCCCAAATATACAGCAGGTCTCTGGGTCGGGATCGAACCCACGCACTCCTGCATACCAGGCGAGGTAGCTAACATCTCGCCACCGTTGCGAGAACTACAACAGCCCCAGGGTGTACCCCCGAAAACATAATCTGCATATGGGTAGAGCCACTGGCACCGCCCGGGGATTCACGGTCTCTCTCGCGTTCGTGTTTTGCCGTGACAGGGCCCTCAAGGGCCTGGCGGCGTGGACGGGATGATGGGGAAACCGGGCCCACGCGGACCATCGGGAGACCCGGTAAGAGCCAGGAGGGGCACGGCAAACGCGCGTGCCGGGGGGGGAGGATCGCTGCTCAATGCAATGCGCCCCGCCCGGTCACGGATGCTGGGATACACACACAGAATTTCAAAGCAGCCTCCATAGAAAAAACGATTTGGTCCGTGGCACACAAGTTTTTTTTTTACCTACGTGACTTTACCGAAAAAACCTAAGAATATGAATCCTTGCAGTCACGAAAGCTTCAAATCTAGAATTTGTGTGCTTAATTAGTTGTCCTTCCCACAGCACCCCCGATTAGCACGGTTGGCTACGTACGATGCCAAATAAGTTCAACGTACATACATCCATGAATACAGACGTACCTACAAAAAAAACAGAGACGTCAAATTCCGTTCCGCACTTCAATTGGCTAAATTCCAGCTCTGCTAATTAAAAATGTCAGCTTGAATGTGCGACGGACTTTACTCATGGTGACAGAGCGGGTGGAACGGCGCTGCTCCCCACTCCGCCCCTTACTCTGTGGACCACAGGTCACTTGAATACATATTCTTAGGTTTTTTCGGTAAAGTCACGTAGGTAAAAACATTAAAAAGTAAAATAAAATAAAAATCACGACGTTTCGGAGGCAACACAAGCTTCTGTCTTCAGGTGGTACCGTCACAGCCACGACGAGTGGTAGCTCCTACAATCTCTCATTTACTTGATACAGCCGTCGTGGCTGTGACGGTACCACCTGAAGACGGAAGCTTGTGTTGCCTCCGAAACGTCGTGATTTTTATTTTATTTTACTTTTTAATGTTTTTACCTACGTGACTTTACCGAAAAAACCTAAGAATATGAATCATTGCAGTCACGAAAGCTTCAAATCTAGAAACACTTGAATACATTTCGGAAGTAGCTCCGACATGTCCGCTTCGGTGGGCTGTTCTCTGACATGGGGTGTTGCATAGCTCTGCGAGAGTTTTCGAGTGGATTCTTTGTCCCGTGATACGATGCCGCGTCAACCCAGGGGAGTAATGGGCAAGTGATGCACACACTGCGCTGTTATCCCCGTAACCCAAGCTTGATTTCCGGCAATGAATGAAGCCAGCGGCAAGTTGTATCTGAATCTGTCGAGTATCACCTTCCCAGAAGTCAAAACAGCCTCCAATGAGTAGCTGGCGTGGTGTGTAAACACGAGTGCCGGGAAAGACAAAGGTGTCAATGCCTAATTCTGGCCGCTCCACCAGCCTCAATAGGTGCTCACTAACAGCACCCGATCTCAAGTCTGCAAGGCTAAATGACGGAGATCTTTAACTTTGTGTTAACCCATAACACAGTGGGGGTTTTTTTTTTGTCCACGACCTCCTGCCAACAAGTCTTCACCACTGGACGGGGCCTCAAAATTGCACCTAGCTTGGCAGAAGGTGGCTTGGTGATGTCACCGACACCCGCTGATGAACAGCAGCTGTTGTTGTGCGTGTACCTATGAGTGCGTTTCACTTTTCATTCTTTTATAGGGCTTGCAGGGTATCAAGGGAGAGCCAGGAGAGAGGGTGAGTCTCCTTGCCCATCGTGCTGTCATCATGGGTACCAGGTGGCTCGGGCTGGCCGGGATCAGCTCCGTCAAACCCATTCGGCAGCTCTCGCGTTCAAACAGAGCCTATACACAGCTTGGCTCGCCATCGAACAAAGACAGTCGCTCCATCGCGCAGTTTCAGATGCGCTCCTGCGGCCATCTGTGATGCTCTTCCTTCCGGTATAAGGAAGCCACTGGAGCTACGTACTTTTAAATCTGCATTGAAAAGTAATTTCTTTAGAACTGCTTTTTGTTTTAAGTTTGATGTCCTTCCCCAGAAAATTCGATTAGCATGGTTGGCTACGTACGATGCGACATACACACAGCAAACATTTGCTTCATTTGGCTGTGACCGTGTTGCGTGACTTCATCGCCAGTTGCAGCTTAAAGTTGCCCTCTTGCTTAAAGATGCCCTCTCCGAAGACCCCGGCAGCAAACGGGCGGATTAGGAGTGGCGAATGTAACGCGATGGTCAGGCGTTACCACGAGTGAGGCTGCGATTCTCACAAGCCCGGGCCCCCATCCCGCCTGCTCTGCTGTAGGGCAGGTGGATTGTCCTGCGTAGAACGGGCGGATTGCACAGCGGCAGCTTTGGCAGATTGTAAAACGGCAACAGCGGTGGCGGCAATAGAAAATCCGGTCCGCGAAGCCTTCACTGGCATCAGATTCGCCGTAGTCACATGTGGATAAACTTGGTATATAAGGCCGCAGGAAAAGCTCTAATGTAAGGTAACAGACTTTCAAGTTAAAGCTCTTCGAAGCCCGACTTGGCAAGGTAAAACTAAACTAAAACTATTTATTTTATTGTAGCAGGTCAAGCCCACTGAGCTTATGTAGCCCGTTTACAGAAGCGACCTGGACACTAATGATAGCTCAGCGAAGTGGCTTATCACGTGGACGTGTTATAGCAGCCAAATACTCTAAAACGCACGTTTCTAATGTGGAGGGAAAAACCAGGGGACCCTGGGAAAAAATCCACGCGACCACGGGCGAGAGAGGACGTGCAAATTCAAAATATACAGCAGGCGTCAGGATCGAATCCATGGCCCCCTGTATACCAGGCGAGGTAGTTAACATCTCACCACCGCGGAACCCGTAGACTGATCACACAGACGGGAGGTCCCCGCGAGCAGAGCAAAGGTGGTCGAGGGATGCAGTCGGTGAACCGGCGTCACCGTATTGGCGGACAGGGGCTGATGCGCAGTTATTCCCGGTAGTTCCCAATCGAGACGCATTCCTTCTCACGACACGATGTCCATTGCCTTTCAGAGTCAGAATCCGGAGTCTTCATTTCAATTGTGCTGCCATCAGCACGGCTGGAATATAAGCGCCACAAAGCAAGGGGGGGGGAAAATTTACGAATATCGACAGTTCACGACGCCGGGGGTATCCTGTGGCAGCGGCAGCATCAGCATCAATGTCATCAGCATCAGTGTCATCAGCATCATCATCAGCAGTCGTCACCCCCGTGGCTGCGATGATGAACGCTCGTGATGGAGAAGGTGGGGGGGGGGGGTGAGAGGCCGGGGAGGGGGTGGTGGCGGGGGGGGGGCTGCAGTGCTGGGGTCGCACGTGTTCCCGGATCGTGTTTTGGCGCTCGTGTCTGCGGGCCTGCGGAGATGTTGTGTTTTCTTCCTTCCTGTTGCCAGGGCGACACGCAAGGCCAGCAAGTTGTGCGCATGATCGCGCGGCAAGTTTGCGAGAACCTCCTCAACGGTGAGGAGGCGGTGGAGGGTTTGGGGGCGCTGGACGTGCGTCTGTGTGTGTCAGTGTGCGTCTGTGTGCGCGTCGGGGAGCGGTGGTGTCGTCGTGGTTGGCACGATGGGTTACGAACCCGGCGACCCGAGTTCGCGAATCCCGCTCCTGGGTAATACCAGCGGCGAATATCTGAACCGGTCCGGTGCCTCTCCTAGGTCGACTCAGCCTCAATTGAGTACCTGGAGCGATGTATAAAACATTCCCATTGGGGAGACAAAGGCGGCCGGGCGTGATGCTGGCCCACCCACCCATTCGTGTGCCGTGCCAGCCTTCATAGGTGCTCGCTTACAGCACTTGCCCCAACGGCCTGTTCAGGCTATCCGGGGGATCTTTGTCTTTGGATGTTTGCACTTAACACATGCATAATCGCCCTTCTTTCGGAGGCAGCCAAATGTCTGAAACATCGGTATTGTTTCCATAAATAGGCTCTCAGATTACACGATCATATCCCGTTGGGAATAACAGCACTTTGCCCCAACAGTCCGGGGATGTTTGACTGTTGTGTCGTTCACACAATTTTATCCAGCTGCGAGGGAGATTTTCTTTTTAAGCACGGTCGCCCAGTGACCGTGACGATCGTCGTCACTCTTGTGAAAGATTGATTCATTATACTGGTAGGAACCTCCTGGTTACACCAGCCCACAGGGGATTATTGTGTCCGTCGTGCAGGGAGGGGCTGGGTGGGGAGGGAGGGGCTGGGTGGGTGGAGGGGAGGGTGGGGAGGGGAGGGTGGGGAGGGGCTGGTCACCCCGTGGTGCCCTTATAAAACTCAATGTTTAACCTGCTCACGCCGGCTTGTACTCGCCCTCAAAGTCGGGCATATTTGCGGAATACACCACGCCGCCGTTGACCCTAGCCATTGACCGAACAACCCAACGTTCCTACCAGCTCCCTCCGCAGGAATGCGTTTATTATTGTTGTTGTTGTCCCGTTTGTTTACCCGGAGAGAGAGCATCGGCGAGTCTGGTGGCTCTCTTTGCAGGAGGGTTCCTGCCAAGCAACTGCAATGCACGCCGCAGTTGATTTCTGTGGCGTGCATTGTCAAATAAAATGGTCGCCGTGGCTGCCATTAGATCGGTCCTCCCATCACGACTTTTGTGTGTCACGTGACACTGCCACACTGCGGCTTGCAACCTTGTTGGGAATCATCAGCACAATGTAGTCAGAATGTCTTAAGGCAGAATCGGAAAGTGTGTTTTTATACTGGAGGAATCCGATAAGCTAATGAAGCTCTTTGTCACACGTGTCCAGTTGGGGTGGGTAAGAATATTAGAACAACGCACAGTACAACGACCAACAGTACAAACATATGATAGTATATGAAAGACAGCAGAAATAGCAGCAGCAGAGCAATGAGACACTTGTATACTGGTTTCATCCTTGTTACGAATCATCAGGGAAGTCTGGCCACCGTTGCCTGCAGCGGCCTTGTGCTTACCACCGTGGGGACCGATTGGCACTGCCTAAGGGCGACAAACCGGAAGACTTCTGGACAATTCTGCCAAAATCGCCTGATGAAGCTGGTTGCATTTACCGGCGACACGCGTACTCAAATTGTACATGTTGTGGGGCTACTCTCCAGCACACCAGTGTGATGAAGTAGTAACTCATTGGCTCTTTTTGATTACGTGACTAGATGGCCGCGTCAGGTGGTGGTGTGTTAACGACACATTTTTTTATGAACAATATTGGTCGCGAAAGCCCACTCCTGCGTGCTAAACGGACAACAACAACCCAATCCGAACCAATTTCTGCAAACGATGGGAAACCCATCGGGCAGAAAGATGCTCGCAGGCTGCAAACAAAATCAGCGTGACGACCGCTTGTACACGCAAAGCGCGGATCTCGCAACGGGCACGGAGAGAGCCCGTCAGTACGGTCCTCCCCCACCGCTCCCCCGTCATGCCTTACACGTTTATCTTTCCGTGTTCCCAGGCCATATGACCCGCATCAGCAGCATCATCAACCAGATGCCCAACAGCAACAACGGCGGTGGCCGCGGGACGCCTGGGCCACCCGGGGAGTCCGGCCGAGCTGGGGCGCGGGGCCCGCCCGGAGAGACGGGGCCCATGGGCCGGCCCGGCTTCCCTGGGCCGTCCGGCACGCCGGGCCTCCGCGGGGAGAGAGGTGCGCCGTCGGGGGACGAGGGAAGCGATCCGTTGGGCCGCCTAGGTGGACGAGATGTTAACTACCTCGCCTGGTATACAGGAGGTCGTGGGTTCGATCCTCGACCCTGATGCCTGCTGTATATTTGGAGTTTGCGTGTCTCTCCCCGTGGTCACGTGGATTTTTCTCTGGGTCCTCCGGTCTTTCCCTCCACATTTAGAATCAACATCGTGCGTTTAGAGTATTTGGCTGCTATACATTTCCACGTGATAAGCCGCTTCGTTGAGCTATCGTTTGTGGCCAGGACGCTTCTGAAAAATATCTAAATAGCTCAGTGCGCCTTCTTGCACCATGGTCCCTTATAAACAATCATGTCGCCTCATTACCAAAGCATTAATTCAAGAGGCTTATAGGTGTATGTATGTATGTTGAACTTCTTTCGCACCGTATGTAACCACAATAACAGCTCGATAGAAATACGTTTTCAATCGAGATTGAAAAGTGCATGGCTCCAGTGGCTTCCGATGTAGGCCAAGGCACCCGTAGGGTTCAAGTCAGCGGCGTAGCTGTGGAGCGTTCAGGCACGTGTGATGAACATGGGGTTGCGTGAGAGGGCAGAGGGGAGGGAATGGGTGCAGGAAGGGCTTAGAGGTTGGGGGGGGGCGATAGGTGGCCATATGGGGGGAGGTGAAACAGTGGAGAGGGTGGCAGAGTGAGTTGAACAGGTCTCGTTTAAGAGTGAGTAGGTCTACTTTGAGAAGTGAGCAGGTCAAAATCAATCATTTATTCACTCGGACCACGTCTCCTGGCTCCGAAACTTTGGACGTCGACAATGAAAATGGAAGCTGGAGCTTAAAGTGAGCACATAATCGTGGCGAGGTGCACGCTTGGAATTGCATTGAAAGGCCGAAAGAGGAGTGCAATGGATGATGGAGCGTAAACAGGTGAGGGACGTCCTATTGACCGTCATGAGAATTAAGTGGACTTGGGCAAGACATATCACTCGAAGACATGATGGCCATTGGTCAAGCCCAGGGCTCAGCAACCAAACCAACAAGAAGAACCATAAACAACAAAAAACCCTCAATATTTCAAGAGCTGCAATGCGCACTGAGTGGTGAATACAAGACGGTGGTCATTAATAAATAACGCGTCATGACCCTGTGCTTAGAGAGAGCCGCGCGCGGCTCTGGAACCGCAGGTTGCTCGAACCCCCTGGTCAAGACGAACGACGGAGTGAGTGGCAGCCAAAGCACGGAACACATCCCAGAGGCACGTCCACGCGAGACCGTGAGAACACGACTTTGTCCCAGCGGCCGATAGGCCAAGGCTAACAAGTAAAGACGATGAGGCCAAGAGTCCAGCGTGCATTATGGCGCTGACGTTCTGGAGCCCTGGTTTTGCCGTGATTGATGAAGAAGACTGCGGAGAGAAGAGAGGGCTTGAGATAGGGATTAGCCAGCAGGGAGAGCGAGGAGGCGATGATTTGCGAAGTGCCGACTCGGCTTAATGGGCAACACTGGCACCAAGCGGACTCTGTGAAGTATTTGCTGGCTCAGCGGGATGCTTTGGGTGCAGCACAAGTTGACAATGAGAGACGACTCTTTGACGAGCGGAGGAGGGTGACGGTGTCTCGTGCGGTCACGGCGCTTTGGGGGTGTTGCACTCGCAACCGGAGAGAGAGAACAACACAGAGAGAGCTGCTGGGGAGCTATCGATGTTCTCGTTTTGACAGGGGAGAAAGAAATGCATGCACACGCGTGGATTCTGTAACGATTTTACAACCGTGCCATTGTCCTCGGAAGTGTTTGATTGGTAATCACGACTTCGCCAGGGAGCATGTGACGTCGCGAGATCACATGATCCGCAGGGGATGCGCCAGCACTGCAGCCACCAGGGCACGAATACCAAAACACAGATCCTTTTAGGGCTGGTTGTTGTCTCCAAGTTATTGGCAACCCTATTGATCAATCTATCATGTTTTTCTCTTGTTATAGCGTAACTCCCTAATAGCAACTAAACTTTAGACGAAAGTCTCGTTCATATTGGATCATCCTTGCAATAGTCATCACTGCCCCACCCCCCACGTCCCCACCTTACAGACAAGACTAAATGGACGCGAGCCGCTGCATTATCGCTTTCAAACCTTTGCCGGGAAGCGGTAAAAACCCCTGAAATATGCGAACATCCTCAAGGTCGTGCGTGCAGGGGTAGAGAGGCCAATAAACCCACGGGGGGGGGAGGGGGGGGAAGTGAGCGCCAGAGCTCACAGCTGCAGCCAGAGTGTACGAAACCCTCGCAGCGATCCGCGCAAGCCCCCTGTGGCCACACGCAGGGCAATAATAAGAGAATGTATTTCTGCGCAGGGTTTCTGCACTGTTTGGTGTTGGGGGGTGGGTGGGTGGGTGGGAAGGTTTGGGGCGTTGCGGGTTGGTCGTGCGAGGCGGACCCGGGAGGGTTGTAGGGAGGAGAGCGGTCGTGCTGGGCCAGAGTCGAAGTAACATTTTTTAGCAGAGGCCATAGAAGCAGAGACCCTACATGCAGAGGTCCTAATACTTTAATTTTATATAGCGTCATTCACGCTAATAGCACCCCACAACGCTGTACATTAATTATTTACAGCTGCTACTAAGCAAATGAAATCCCTGCTACCAAGCAAACTCAAATATGAAACACAAATTAAGAAATGGCACCAAAACAAAAAGCCCAAACAACTCAAAAGTTATCGCAACAAAGAAATTACTCCATGAGGTCCCAACACGTCCAAGAGCAAAACATTACCAAGCTGCAGCGTGTACAAAATTATTTGGCACGTGTCGTGACGGGTACTGCAAGATCCCACCATGTCCGTCCAGTGCTCGCTGAGCTGCATTGGATTCCTGTTGCTGAACGTATTCATGAAAAGCTCACACTCGTTACGCACAAAGTGCTTGCCAAAAATGAACCACAATACCTCGCTGATCTCGTCAAGGAACATAAACCAGCACGGGAACTCCGGTTATCCTCACAGCGGCTTTTGGATAGTCGTCAAACAAAGACGGTCATCGCATTGCGCGTTTTCAGATCAATTTCTGCGGCCGTCTGGAACGCTCTTCCGACATTAGGAAGCCACTGGAGCTATGTACTTTTAAATCGAGATTGAAAACTCATTTCTTTAGAACAGTTTTTGGTGTTCAGCTTGTTGCTCTTCCCCTGCACCTCCGATTAGCAGTCGGTTGCATACTGTGCGAAAGCAGTTCAATACACACGAGTACACAGACCACAATCCCAACTTCCCAACCAAGCTAGGAAACCTTCACAAGAGGGGCAGTTGTGGAGTGGTAAAAAGTTACGACTCGTATCAATCAGTTTGCATGCCGGTATACTGGATGCGGTGTGCTGGGTGTGGCAATATTTGACGGGTCGTCGCCGGCGACGCAAAGGAACCCGGCTGGAACGCGAGCGCGCATATGACGGCCGTGCGCCATCGTCCCCCTTACTTGTCCACAGGTGTGCCCGGGGAGAAGGGGGAGAGGGGAAACCCTGGCACGGGAACACGTGGACCCCCAGGACCTCCCGGCCCGCCAGGTGAGAACGACGGCCCCGGACTTACTTCACCAGCGGATAGACCATGGCCAATTTATAACATTGAAATATTCGAGCGAACACATGACAGCATAGAAATAGCAGCAACACTTCATGTGCACATGCTCGTATTCCTGCCAGTAGACGAATCTTCTCCCCCATGCTCATGCCTCCCGATGACCCCTGAACCCTAACCCCTGTCCCTCGCCATTCCTTCCCTGCCCCCCCCCGTCCGACGGCCGCAGGTGTCGAGGGCATCGGCCGCGAGGGCAGCATGGGCCCGGTGGGGCCTTCCGGGCAGCGGGGCCGGGACGGAATGCCCGGCACGAGGGGTCAGTCGGGGCCGCCGGGCCCGCCCGGCTACTGCGACCCGTCACAGTGCGGCGGGGGCGGCGGCGGCGGCGGGGGCTACGGCGTGGCCGGTAAGATTAATTGCTGCCAGTGGTGGCGGAGGAGGCGGTGGTGGCCCCAACAGGACATCGTAGCTCATCGGATTCCTCCAGGCTAAATAAAAGATCGTGGCTCTGAGCCTGCCGTGCGTTGCTGCGCCGCCTGCTCTTCCGCTGCCTCTCCGGTAGAGGGAGAGAGTGGGTGAGGCTATTGGCGCTACCATGGCGGACTATTGTTTGCGCCGAAAAACACGTGGCTCATCGCCCTTCTTTTTGAAGCCAGCCAAGTTTCTGAAACATCGGTAGCGTCTCCATGAACGGGCTCTCAGTCGACACTATTATGTCCCGTTGGTAATATCAGATGTGGTGGGGGCAGAGGGGGGGCAAGATGGGGGGGAGGGGTAGACAGGTGACCAGATTTTATTCCTCACATCAGAGGCCATGCCAGCCACGCCACACCTCCACTGTGTAACGTACGCATGTAAATGTTTTAACTATTCGTGTGTATATTTGTCCCCGTGTACTAATCCTGCGTGCACAATTTATCGGTCCCGTGGGAGCGATCCTACCACTCGTCCAAGAGCGATTCGCGTCCCCTAAATCCTCCTCAAGAAGGTAAAGGCTCAGCCCTGCAGCTACCCCACTTACGCCGATGCTGGAGGGAAAGGCCTCCACTAGCGGGAGCCTTAGAGAGCCGCCCTCTACGGGAAACTGCTGCGGCGTAACGGTTCATGGCAGTTGACACAATGGGGAGGTTCCTTAAATCACCCCCCCCCCCACACATCGCCTGTCTGCCCAGCTGTATGAATGGGTTCACCGTGATTGCGCAATGGGCAGGTCGTGCAGAATGGGGTAAAGCGTGGGTGCTCCCACTCCTTCAGATACATCCGGCCAGCGTGAAAGAGTAGACCAAGATACCCTGTGAAGGTCGCTCTCCAAAGCTCCCCCCCCCCCTCATGGAGGGCCCATCTGCCACCAACGACTTGAGCAAAGCATTTACAGCGCTGCACCTTTATCACCACCGAACCCCACCCACCCATATTCCACAGGTGGATACGACCGACGGACGGAATCTGGGGAGCCAGAAGCCCCGGCGTTTCCCGTCACCGGCTACAACCCTTACAGCCCGTACGGCCAGCCAGAGCCCTACCAGCCGGAGCCGTATCAGCCGGAGTCGTACCAGCCGGAGTCGTACGGAGCCGACACATATGGCTCGCAGGCCTACAGTGAGTGACCCAGTTCGAGGTCCAAACCGCAGCGCGCAAAGCATTTCCCCAGAATTGCTTGGCCAGAGCACAAAGCTGCTGCAGTGTGCATCAGTTGTTTGCGCCACGGTGCCATGTGGAGGCGGAGGAAGAGGAGAAAATCTCGTGATCGAGGCAGTGAGGTTGATTATAAGCGTCGGGCAATCGCGTTAATATTGCCCTTGGTTCCGGCAACTTCTCTCGACACAGGGTGGCTGAGAAGCCTGGGTTCGAATCCACGTTTTGGCAGTCTGCGATTAAACAATGTGCTCCGGGGTTCGTGGGTTTGTCGTTTCAAGCTTGTCACCGACGGAAATAATCTCGTATGCCGGCGCTCGTCGACCGGCAGGTCGCGTGTGGTGGGGTAAAGCGTGGGTACCCCCGCCTCTTCCAAGACAGTCTGGCCAGCATGGAAGAGTAGGCCAAAACACCCCTCTTGTAGCCAGCAGCAGGCCCAGCTGCTCCCAGATGGGGGCCCAGTAGTGCTGATGGGGTTGGGAGGGGGGGGGGACACTGTTAGGGTGAGAAAATAAAACCGTGACGGAGGAGTGTGAGCTTGGATGGGTGGGGAGTGGGGGCGGCGAAGGGACATTTGGTAGTACAGGGCCCTCCCACCCACACCCCTGGGCGAGTAGTGGCATGAGCGATTGCGGGGGGCTAAACGTTCACCGGCTTAATCCGTTCACTCTCTCAACAGACAGCAGAGCGGTGGGTGGCGGCGGCGGCGGCGGCGGTGGTGGTGGCGGCGGTAGCAGCAGCAGCAGCAGCAGCCGCGTCACCAGCTTCACCCGAACGGACGGGTTCGAAGATGGCGATGGTGGCGGAGGTGGCGGTGGCAGCAGTAGCCGGGAGACGGTCATCTCGCGCACCGTGGTGCAGCCGCGCACCTACGTGTCGTCGAGCGTGCGCCGATTCCAGGTGCTCGAGGATGGCACTGAGGAGGAGCTGGAGGGAGACGAAGAGGAGGAGTTCTTCGAGGATTCGAGACCCCCCCGCGGTTGAGGAGTTGGGTGGGAAATTGGCGTCCGTGCTGTGCGGGGAGGATAGAGGAAAACCACAAGGGGAACCCGGAGTACAATGTGGCTTGGGAAGTTTGGAATCGGTGTTCATTTTGATGACAGAATTCGTGATGGAGATATTCAGCAATAAGTGTTATTTTTAGTTTGGCTACAAGTGGACAAAACGGGGCCCCAGCTGCCCAGCCAGAGACCTAAGCGTGACTACGATGAGATGGCATTGACTCGTTGGAATACAAATGCAGATTGAAATAATTCGGCATAGTTATTCGAGACTACAGTGGACTTGTTGGCTTACCTGCAATATCGTAGGGGGGTGATAAAATGAATGGCATGCTCATTTAAAATGGACAATACTTTTTTCAGAAGCGTGCGTTTAGAGTATTTGCCTGCTATACATTTCCACGTCATAAGCCACTCCGTTGAGCTATCGTTTGTGGCCAAGGTCGCTTTTGTAGAAGAGCTACATTGCTCAGTGGGGCCTTACCCGGCAAAACAAGAATTGTTTAGTAATAGCTTAGTTTTATTTTGACCACTGTAGTCAACTAAACTCGGAGAATGACTCGGCGAAGCCCGTCACCGTGTAACTAACGCTTCACCAAACTTCCACAGCTTGTCGTCGACTTGGCTAAGACTACGGTTGCAATATAAAACATGCCGACTAGATTAACGCGGGGCGGAATAGAGCGCGGGGGGGAAATGAATATAAATATATTTTTAGAAAAAATCCTAGGGGCCAACGCTTGTTGAGATTTCGTTCAGATGCAGGCATTGTTCGGTTTGTTTTTGCTTTCGAGGTCTTTAATTGAATGGCAATTAAAAGTGAACGATGGCAATTTAGCAACGCCTCTCCGATCCTCCGCACTGCCGCGAGATGCCTGTTTGCACGGTACATGGTTTCAACTTCACCGTTTCATTTCCTCGCCGTTTCCTCGTGGGATTGAGGATTTTTTTTGGGGGGGGAGGGGGGTGACGTAAGCGAAGGAAGTGAGATTTATTTAAAACAAAGGGTATTGCAAGGATATTTAACACGTCATAGATGAGTAGTTTTTCTACCTGCTAAAGCTGTAGTGGTTGTTGTCAGGTTTTGCCCCATAAGGGTATCGGTGTGAGCGGTGGTTTACTTAAGAGGGAATCTGATGGCGAGACACTTTGAGGACATATGATCGTGGCTTTAACTAACCAGGAGCCAACAGCTACGCTAATTGGCCTTTTTCAGTTTTGTGGATTTTATTTTTTATCTGTCTCGTCTCAAGCATGAGCAACTTTCCCTGCTGCCAGTATTTAACTAATGCAATCCTTAGCTAAGTTTCGACCCTGGGTTGTTTCATTTCGTTTGGCAGTTTCTGGACCGAAGACTTCATCCCAAACGTATGGATGCATTTAAGGCTTCACCACCACTTGAATATGGCTTTGTTATTCAATGTGCTTTCATCTTACTTTGCGCAGTTGGTTGGACGTATGTACACTCTCAAGCAGTCTTACTCACGACCTCTGATCAGCCTCGGGGGGGGGGGGGTGCCTGCATGTTCAGTTTTAGTGGCTTGCTCCTTGAAGTTCTCAACGCATTCGCCGCGTTCCCGGCCAGTTCCAAATGTTTATTGCACCCGCGCACGCAAGCTCAGCAACGCGACTTGTTTACAAAGATGCTAGAAATTCCTCCCCTCCCCTTTTGTACCGATGCAAAAACTTGGTATAATAAATCGTTAGTCACAAAGACTGCGTGCAAAATTTATTCCTGGGGTTGTCTCTCTCTCTCTCTCCGTCTCCTTTTAGCTGGAGGAAAATAAAAGTCCCTCAAAGTAATTCGGTGAATTGAAACTCTCTGTACCACACGTGGCATCGTAAGACGGGCTGGAGCGGGGGTATGGAGCGGCTGTGTAGCGGTTCACGCCACAGCGTTGTGAACACGGTAACAACCAACATTTGTTGTCGCGATTGTATTCGTCAATCCGCGTGACTTCCCACTGCGAAGCAGGCAAAAATTCTCCCGAAATGATCTTCCAGTCCTCCTTCCCCTCAGGTTGCTCACGTTCCCCAGTGACCTCCGAACTCCGTGATGTGCTCTTACTGCCGTCGCCTCTCCCCCCCCCCCCGTCTCCTTCGCTTGCCTCCGCTCGGTATTTTATTTTATCCATTGGTAGCGGGCAAATATCCGAGGACTTGCGGGGGCTACGTGGTGGGGGCAACAGTGGAGTGCAGAACAATAAATGGGCTGCACTCCTAAGCCGCCCCCCCCACCCCCCACCTTCACCAACCCACTGACCATCGTGGTGAAATATGGTCGAACAACCCTTATGACCGACTTGGCATGGGGAGGCCTTTATCCAGCAATGAATGCACGAAGGGCTGCACGTTAGGAGTATTATTGCTATCCCACTCCCTTTAAGCTCAAATTTAACAGCTGGATCCGAAGGTTGTATGTAGTTATTTTTTACCACGCATGTTAAATGTGTAAGGAAATACTGTGCAGGGTATACCGTCCATTTATATGTGCAACTTACAAAAACACGGCTCTGATTCAGCTGGCACCTGATGGTATATGGATATAATTAATACATACGTGACACACAAACCCTTTACGATTTAAGGGATATAATTCATGTTTTTTTTTAAGGATTATCTTTAAAAAAACACACATGAAGCCGCCATTAAACTCACATGCACACCGTTGTGACAATCTCCCTCAAGAATTGCAAAAACATTTTTTGGAGCAAAACCACTTTCTGGGGCACAGTGAGCGGGGGAGAGCAGGACAGAGAACAGGAGAGAGAGAGCAAATTCATCTTGAACTCATGAAGAAAAAATGCACTGATTAAACAGAAAGTGCCCCGCAACTCTTTGCCAACATGAACATTTCATCTGAGCTGTGGTCAACGAGATGGCAGAAGTGACAGATATACCGCATGGGCGCAACGGAAGGCGTTTGCGTGCGTGCGTGTCCGGTACTGGGGAGACAAAGGCGGTCGGGCGTGGTCCTGGCCACCCACCCCCTCGTGTGCTGTTCTGACCTTCATAGGTGCTTGCTAACACCACTTGCCCCGACAGTCTGTTGAAGCTATACGAGGGATGTTTGTCTTAGTTCCCAGCGGTTAGTCATCTGCTCTATGACCCTACAACCCAAATATGATTTGTAGCCAAGACTAATAAGTGGCGAGCGACATCTGAACCGGATACTGGGCCTCCCCTCGGACGACTCGCCTTCAAATGAGTACTTGGTGTGATGTGTAAACATTGGCATTGGGGAAACAAAGGTGGCCAGTCATCGTGATGGCCACACCATAACCCTCTTGTACGCCACGCTGGCCTCCATAGGCGTTCACTAACGGCACTTGCCCTATCATTGTTTTGTTTTTGTTGTGTGCGTGTGTGCACCCTTATGCGTGTGTGTGTGTACGAGTAACAGAATAAACAATCTGTTCAGCTAACGTGGGGGGTGGTGGGGGGGGGATCTTTGTCTTTGTGTGTAAGTGGGATTGACGGATTCGTCACACAGCCCAGCGTGTGCCTTGCTTCTGTACTTGAAGTCAACGTGGCCCGGAACTTGCATCTCCCAGTTTACTTCCACAAAAAGTCCTTCGGCCTTGAACGATAAAAAAAAAGACAGCAAAAAACAACCCAGAAATGTTAGAAATTAAACAGAACATTTCGTACTCTGGGCTATAAGTCACCACCGGAACGTGCAAGCATTCTTCTGCCTTTATATCGCAATGCCAGGCACGTCCAGATGAGCAATGCACACCCAGGCAGTCTAATGAACATGGCTATCCGCAGTGCTATCACGCCGTGCCCCAATTTGTGCTACTGTGCCATCGGCGTATTGTCACGAGTCAAGGAAATTTCCATTTGGAACTCCGCAGCTAGCGGTGGATGCCCCTGTGTCACCGTTAGAGAACGGCACGGAGAGATGGCATTACAGAACTACTTCTGACGTCACTTCAATCAGGCCTCTCTATCCACACTAAAACCCACTTTGAGTGCTAGATTTGTGCCAAAAAGGTGCCATGTGTTAACAAAAAATTACGAACTTGACTTAACTATACCCTGCAGCGAGCATTGATTGCATCTCAAATTTCAACGAGAGCTGGAATTTGAGCAAATTACATGAAACCCAAATTTCATGTGATGCTTCCTCCATGTCGTCATCGGTGACTGGGAATTACAATTTCCTCCCACATGACACTCAACAAGGAACTGGCCAAACATTCCCATGCAAGATTCCCCTGAAGCAGTCTTGAGACTCGGTCAGGGTCAGGATCCCCCTTGGTACAGTGCATTAAGCAGAAACAACACATCGAACTTTAAAGGTATTATGATGAGCGAACAAAGAGACGGTGACATCAACGCGTGGCGATAGCCGCTCCACCTGTGCTGCTGCTTACGGGGTCCAGACGCGTGGGAAAGCCTCGACGTCCTCCTTGCTGTACTGCCTGAGCGTGCGCGGAGGCACCCGCGGCTGCTCCAGCTCCTGCACCAGGTTCTTGCGGATGTCCTCGGGAATGTCCTGCAGCAACCAAAACAAAGATGCCACGTGTAGCCTACACAGCCTGCTGGGGTCAAGTGCTGTTAGCGAGCACAATGTTAAGACCAGAACGGCGCGCGACGGGCGGTGTGCTGCCAACACAACGCCCGACCGGCCGACAGCCTTTGTTTCTCCAGCACTGATGTTTACGCCTCACACCAGGTACTTGTTTTAAAGCTGAATCAACCTCGGGGTGGCCCAGGACCGGTTCAGGCAACCATTAAGTAAAAACATTTCAGAGCGCAGAACACAAATCAGAAATGGGAGACATTGGGACCTATGTTAGTCATGGTTGGGAATCGAACTCGGGTCGCCGGGTTTACAGAGCATTGCACGAGCCGCTGCACCACTGCGCTTCCCACCATCTTTGTCCTGCAACATAGACAAAGATCCCCCGTGTAGCCTTAACAGACTGTTGGGGCAAGTGCTGTTAACGAGCACCTAGAAAGGCTGGAATGGCACACGAGGGGGTTGGTGGCCAGCACCACGTCCGGCCGCCTTGATCTCCGTAGTGGCAATGTTTACACAGCGCATCAGGTACTCATTTGAGGCCGAGTCGACCTGGGGAGGCCCAGGACTAGCTCAGATAATCGTCACCGGTGTTGGCCATGAGCGGGAATCGAACTCGGGTTGCCGGGTTCGTAGCGCAGCGTGCTAGCCTCTACTACACTACCGCTCTCCACCGTCTTTGTCCTGAAACAGAAGCCATGTTTGCGCACACGATCACGCACACCTGTTAACGAGTGGGCTCCGATGATGTGTTGGCTACAACCAAACCTCACTCGACCGGCTGCATTGAACACATTTTATTTATATGTGTATTAAAAAAATTGCACCAAGTATGTCACTTAAAGGAGGTTTTTAACACCAAGGGTGGAGCACGCATGGTAGTAGCAGTAAACGAGTGACGAGGAAGCGACAACGTTGGTGAGGGTGAGTGGCGTAAGTGGCCGGAGTCGTAGGACTCGGTCAAGCGGAGTAAGACAGGGGCCCCCACCGCGGGACTAACAAAACTGTTCCAAGCTTAACCGAGTTAAAATTACTTTAAGGAGATTTACACAGCAGGACGTAGATTTATCGCATTACCCGCAAGGATTGGGAACATTTATTTCGTTTGGGAATATGATTTTAGAATGCGTGCTCTTCACGCAGCTGTTCATGTCCCTTGCCGAAACACATATTTATGGGTCCCTTAATGACCTTCGCTTCAACGCTCAATGCTGTTTGTCCTTTAAAATGAATGGCATCCAAGCCACTTGCATCTCCTTTCAAGATTCGATTTAAATTCACGGCATTATTGAAGGAAGATGCAAACCAAACGAGCAACTACCTTGTAGCTACACAGATAGGCTGTGCGTCCCAGGCTGTGCCACGAGTTTGAAGTTCGATTCATGAGAAAGGAACATAAAAAGTTCAAAGTAACTCTGGGGAACTCCAGGTGATGTCACTGGTGTGACTGCGATATTTTTTAATAATTCACTGCATTGTGCAGGTCACTAAAGTGCAAATGAAAGTCACTTTTAAAAGTGTTCATTCTCATTCACGATGCCTCCAATGTATCAGAGAGCCTGGGGCACCACAGGCTAGGTACGTATCTACATGTTATTTTATTTGAGTTGCACCTTCCTAGAAGAGACAAGCGAGCTTTGGGGTTCTTAAACGCCAGTCCCATGTGCCCTTCCTCCTCTACAGTCTGTCGTGTTATGTTAACTCATTTTCTCCCGTCAAATGGAAACCAAATGTGTAAATATTGCATGAATACAACACCCTAATGATTATCACCAGCCTTGACCTGTTAATTGCTGGGCAAAGGCCTCCCGAAGACATCGCCATCTCGTGGTCTAGTGTTGCCCACTCACTTGAAGTTCTTACAACGCATTTTTTTTATTCGGATCGTGCCCACGCGATGAAGCGTCCTGACTGGAAACTCTCGCAGAGCGGGGCATCACCACACAAGTTCGAGAACGTCCCGCGGAAGAAAGACATCGATGCACCCAGGGGACTTCCGCGGCACCGGCCGTGCTTTGAAAGATTGTGGCGATAGTGACCAGGCCATCGACGACACCGTATGTATGTTGAATTTCTTTCGCACAGGACATAACCGACCGTGCTAATCGGAGGTGTGTTGTGATGAACCGCTGTGAAATACACAAATAATGAATCTGTGCAGGGACATTTGCTGCTTCACATCCAGCCGCAAAGGAAGAGCGAGCCAGCAGAGCCAGCACAGTGGGCAAAATTCGACCCACGTCCACGCCGCCTCGTTTATCAAGAAAGGAAATCCCGTTCGCGGCACTCACGGCGTCCGGGAAGAGATGGATCCTCATCATCTGGGTCTTCCGGAGCAAGTTACTGGGCAGCATTCCATACACAGCCAGCCGTACAATCTGCAAGTAAAAGAAAGCGTTACAACTGGGGAAAAACCTGAGGCTTTACCGCCTCATTTGGAAGTGGCCCAATCGGGAACAAAATAGCGTGTAAAATACCCCCAGATTCTGCCTTAGGAGACCGGGTGATGTAGTCGCACGTTTGATACGTACTGCAGTCGGGTCCTTCTTGTGGAGGTCTTTTGCAATCACTTGTTTGAATCCACCGGCATACCTGTTCATTAAACCAACACAAGTGGTTATTATCGTCCGACACGCTCAATCCACTGCTGGATGAAGGTCTACCCAACCCCGCCCCCAGCCACCGACACCTGCCATGGTCTCACGATGAAACGATCCACTCAAGACCTGCACAAAAGCAGATTTTCGTTGCTCCATCTCTGCGTTGGACGTGCTGTCACGCTCGTTCCCATAGTTATAATCGACCACCAACCAACGGCGTGAATGATATCTTTAACTCGTGTATGTTATCTCTAATCCGTGCGTTCTTCTGTCTCGCAATGTAACAAGTGGGTATGGTGTTTGATTTAACAGCCATTGTATTGCTGTTTGAGGTAGGTGACTACAATCAATGAGAGTCTATAGTTTGTCATGTTTAAAATGGTAATAAGGAATATTAATCCGGAATGGCCCATAAGCCGGTTGATTCAAAGTTACTTGCTGTCAGCTACTTAAAAACGTTGCGTGTTTTTTTTTTTTCTGAGCCAGCAAGGCGGCCGTGTATACAGGAGCTCATCCCAGGATCAACTTTCAGTCCTCAAAGTAGAAGGCGGAATGTTCCTGCCCTCTCTCCAAGTCAGGTCACGCACTCTCCGAAAAAAAAGAAAACTCCCGCTTTGGAAAGAAAAGAAGATTTTTGTTGAAGATTTTTTTTTTTTACGACGCATAACTCACCCCGCTGTACGGCATTTGGTGCTTGAGTTATCAACGGAATAACAAACATATTTCTTTTAAACCAGTAAAATATATAGTGAAGTGCCCAAACTGGACTTTATTGAGGAGGAAAGAATGAAGTCATACGGCTGAGGGTGGGACAATCGGTCCTCGTAAATTCCACCTGCTACTCGGCAGTAGGACAGAGATGGGGAACATTTGGGATCAGAAAAGGACAAATACCGATGGCGAGCTACCAAACGTGAAAGCACACAACTTGGCGCTATACAATAATGACGTGCAAAACAACATGCGTGAGCGTAAAGAAGGGGCTCTTGCTGGGAGAGAAGTGACTGAGCGCACACAAATATTCCACCACCCCCCCCCCCCCCCCCCCCCGAGTACCCGATCAGTGGCAGCCAAGATGCTCACAGAGACAAATTACGAGTAACCTGCTGGTTCGTATTGTAGTAGCCCAACTTCATATGGCCGCGGACCAAATTAAATCAAGTCACGGGCCGTAGATTCCCCACCCCTGGCGTGGCGACCTCGCCCAAAGCAACGGCACGTCCCGTTGAAGAGAATGCGAGGCAACCTCCTCTAGCTCCTACCCCGGCGCTCCTCACCGTACCCGGAGTGGCTGCTGTACACCTTCTGGTCCCATTTGTTGCCGGAGAATGCGATGTGCCTCGTGTTGATCACCACCACATGGTCCCCACAGTCATCTTTTGGGGGGTGGGAAGGGGGTGGGGGGGTGACGAGGGGGGGGGGAGCAAAGCACCGATAGCTCAGTCAACAAGGGGGATTGGACGTCCAGGTTGAGTTGCGTAACGTGGGCAGGTATGTGCCCGTTAACTTCCCTCTTCGTTGAGCCACACGCAAGAGAAGCCGGCCTATTATCCGTATGGCAACAACACATTGGATTAAGTGCCACAATTTTAGTGACTGGTTTTTAGGACCATGTCATTCACCTAGGGTTGTTAATCGATCGGCAATTTTTCTACAATGACTTTTGGAATTATCGATTCCAATAGCCAGCGATGGAAATCAATATTCACAAACCAGTTTAATATCAATGAATGGTTGAGCCGATTGGCAAGACAGCGGCGGTCATCGTAAGGCACCAGCGGCAGGGCTCGTCGGACACGGCGTGATGAGTTCACACCGACTCAAATTATGCACAAAGATCGAGACAAACATCTCCCCCATATAACCTTAACCGACTGTTCGGGCAAGTGCACGCACACATAGCCACACCAAGGGCTGAAGTAACATTTAGAGTTCGATGTGTGGCATGCAACGAATACTCACGCCAAAAAAAAACTGAAATTAACAACCCTCGTGTAATCTACACCATGTTCAACAACCCATATCACAGGACGCAACATTTCTCTTCCTTCATTTTTTCCTCGCACTGTTTGACTTGGAAGCTCCCTCCCACAGTCTCATTTACTAGGTTCTTGTAACTCTTCCCGTCATTCAAGAAACATGTTCGTTCTTATACATATATATTTTTAATCACTAATGCCCTTAAGTTTCTAGCTGCTTTACATTATAGGCCTTTGGTTATGTGTTGGGAGATCGTGATTAAACCAAAAGAATTGGAGTGTAAACTATGGTCGGCAAAACACTATGATGATAAATACATTATATCTCAGTTTATAACCAGAGTGATGGAACCAGTGATAAATTTAAAAAGTTAAAAATCTTTGCGTTTAAAATAGGCTTTACAATGTTATACTAACATATCAAATAGTAAAATGTATAACCTAAACAGGCTTCACTTTGGCAGCGAATGGAAAAAATCCACCTACCGCTCCCTTTGAAAAAAAATAAACTGGCTCCACTCTCTTAAATAAAACATTCTGCTGGAGCAATTTTTTTGTAATCTAGACCATGTGTTGGACTGAAGCCAGTGGCAAGAGAGAGAAAAACACAAGGACCCTTCCATACGCAATCAAGCCTGGCAAGGCTTAGCGAGCAGTCATACGTTTTCAAAAATTATTCATGCCTTGGGAAAGACGTAAAAGCGTGTTAACGCCAGAAACGAATCAGTCCCCGCCCACCTAACCGCCCCCCCCCCCCCCCCCCAAAAAAATAGTCGTTTAAAGCTACGAGCCTTCTCTTTTTCACATGTCCCAGAATGACATTATTTTATGATTGCGCTCACAACTTTGGCGAGCTTTTGCACGGACCGAGGACGCCACCTTGCGTCTCGAAGTAAAATCGCAACAACTGCGGCTTATTGAGGAGCACAATAACGTGTTACACGCCATCGATTCATCCGATTGACGTCTATTCTTTTACCTCGCGATACTTGTATCACGCGTGTAAGATGGGCATGTTAAAGGTAATGGTTTTACGTGTTCCCTTGCAGCCTCTAGAGGCCGCTACATTCGTACATATGTTGAACTTCTTCTTCACCATACGTAGCCAACCGTGCTAATCGGAGGTGCGACCCATAATGGTGACGATTCATCTAATTGCGGAGGGGATGAATCATTATACCCATACTGTGTGCACCGGACCGTGATTTTAAAGTCTATTTCCATTCATGTGCTTTTAAATGTATGTTGTACAGGCCGGGGCACACAACCTAGGTGCGTTGCAACAAGGGATATTTTTTGTGGATTGCGTCGCTCTTCAAACGCTCAGCTTGATGATGAGTCGTGGTCACTTCACTGTGTTCCTACTACAAGCAGGAAATTATTCCATGTGCACCAACGGAGATGGAGCGGAGGCCAGAGGTCGCAAATGGGTTTTGATTCCTTACCTGTACCCGGCCGCACCAGGGTCGCAAATGGGTACCCGTACCCGCACCTGGCCAGGTACGGGTACCCGTTCCCTACCCGTACCCTACCCGAAATGAGTGACAAACGGTTACTCACCAGTGACTCACGGCCTACCCGTACCCGGCCGCACCAGGGTCGCAAACGGGTACCCGTACCTGTACCCGGCCGGGTACGGGTAGCCGGGTATCGGGTAGGGTACGGGTATCGGGTACCCGGTTGCGACCTCTGGCGGAGGCGCAGCGACCCGCGCAGCGCACAACGAATCTGCTCGATTCCCAGCCGCGTTTAACATCGGTACGTAGTGACATCGGAACACGCGCTGCAGAGCCCTTCCGTCCACCATCCGCACACTGAACAGCGTGGTAAAATACATAACAAAGGCTCAGTCCTTTGTTATGTAGACTAGCCGTAGTTTCAGCCGCACCAACCTTACCATGATAATAAAAATGGGGCCTGTCCTGACTCCTCCCCCCTCAACCAGTATATATACGGGGTTGGATCTCTTGGAATTTCTCTCATTTACTTGATACAGCAAGTGTGCTGTGACGGTTCCACCTGAAGACGGAAGCTTGTGTTGCCTCCGAAACGTCGTGATTTTTATTTTATTTTTATTTTACTTTTATTAATTTACATTTTTTACCTACGTGACTTTACCGAAAAAACCCAAGACTAGAGTCAAGCAACTGCCAAGACTAACACCATGCGGTGGGAGGCCCTCATCGAGCAGTGGATTTACAGAACGGGCCGTACATGTGCATGGCTTTTGAGGGGCTGCGAGTCTTACTCAAGGCATGGTAGATGGGCTTGTTTTGTCCCTTGAGGTGCATGGCACACAGCTTGGCCACTTTGCCCGGCGGCTGGAGACGGGCGTCCAGCAGATACCACATCCGCGAAAACGTGCCCCATTGCTACAGCGGCGGCAGCAGCAGCAGCAGAATAGACAAGGTGGACCGAACAGAGGAGGCATGGGGCAGAGCGAACCCAAGACAAGGGGTCAGGGAGACAGGGAAGGGGGCAAGGGGATGGGGGAACAAGGATACACGGGAACGAGGAGACGGGGCGATGAGAAAATAGAAAATGAGAGGGCAAAAAAAATGAAAAGGATGAGGAGGCAAGGAGATGTGGACAGATGGGGTGAAGGGAGAGGGAAAAAGAGACAGCGGGACAAGGAGACAAGAGGGTAAAAGGCACAAATACACCATGGTTAGCACGGATGCAAGGTTACCATACCCAATAAGTAGGTAAGTTGACATAAATGCGTGCATTGTAATTCATGACAAACTGACGTTCATATCTCAATGACATAACACCGAGTTGGGGAATCGAAAGAGGTTCAAACTTGCGTTGGGCAAGCGCAGGGCACGCAGCCTCGGCAAGTATCGACATGACGTGAGATATTAGTTTTCCGTGTTACATCTACCTTTCGCATTTTGCTCCTCCTCTGCCAGCTGAGTGCATTGGACATCGTCATTATACTGGTAGGAACCTCCTGGTTACACCAGCCCACATGGGATTATTGTGTCCGTCGTGCAGGGAGGGGCTGGGTGGGGCTGGGTGGGGAGGGGCTGGGTGGGGAGGTTGGGGGTGGGAGGGGTGGGGCTGGGTGGGGAGGGGCTGGTCACCCCGTGGTGCCCTTATACAACTCAACGTTTAACCTACTCACGCCGGCTTGTGCCCGCCCTCACAGTCGGCCATATTTGCGGAATACACCACGCCGCCGTTGACCCTGGCCATTGACCGAGCAACCCAACGTTCCTACCAGCTCCATACGCAGGAATGTGTTTCGCCACGGCCGTGGAAGGTTGCCTTCATCCAGCAGTGGATCGCGCATGGTCACGGCGGCCAGGCAAGGACGTCCGCACGATGTAGAACCCCCGTAATGTTCTTGTACAGGGAAATTGAGCTATAAGGTCCATGCGGCGTAGCAGCCTTTTCAATAGGGGCAACAACAAAACCACGTGTGTCTATTTGTCTGCGTTTCTCCCTTGTGACGGGACATTGCCGGACGAACGTTGAGCTTTACAAGGGCAACCGATGAGGTCTGAATCGCTCCGTAATAAGGTAGGGGTGCACTGATAAGAGGGTTGAACAGGTATGTACGTAGATCGGAGGTTTGCTGGGTCAATCCAATAATAATGATCGCATTTACACTATGAGACCTCCTTTACCAGTGGCAAAATATAGTAGTAGGTTTTTACCCTTTAAACTGGTACAAAACTGACACCTTTATACAAGGCATCATGTTTGCAATAACCACAACACAAGTAGTCAAAATGCAAACAAAAAGAAACAACTCTGATGATAATAATATGCACTGTCCTTGAAGTTGATTGGTCCACACCCGAGACAGCTTTTCTTAGAGCCTAGTCTCCATTGGTGTTGGACCAGATGACACCAAAAGGCGTACAACTCATTCCCTCTCACCTGCGCTACGCGGCTGCAAGTCGACATCCTTGGAGGCGTTTATCCGCGCGTTGTAGGGGGGTGTCTCCGGTGGCCGAGTCAGGAGGAGGTCAAAGCGCAAACGAACGCTCGGGAAAGAAAAAACACTCGCAAGTTCCCTCGTGAGCCCGCTTGTAACTGTTGTGGATTCGCTCTCCAAACACAACAACCGGCGTTGCTGTACGATAGGCAACGTCCTGTTTACGTGGCAAACCCCTAATGATATTTACGCGATCTAACCGCCCCCCCCAAACAAGAGAGAACCTGTGCTATGGGTGATATTGGTCGCGAAAGCCGAAACGAAATGTGTTAAACTGCTGCCCTCAAAGATCCACAAAGTCACAGCGGCGCACGTGGCTTTCATTCCACAGAGCGGATAAGCGGCGGCGGAGCTAACGCCGCGCTCTGATTGGTCGACGGTGGCGACGCTTTAAAAAAAATGCGATCACGTGCTCGAGTAGACCAATCGTAGTGCGGGGATTGGAGTCGTGCTCTATCCGAGTTGTGAAATGTAATGCAGAGGTGACGGCGAGCTGCGTTATTTTATTGTGGCTGCACGAAGGTGGGGGGGAGAATGAAATCTTAATATTTGCACTGTTAGATCGGAATATAAACAATGTACAACCGCTTGTTGAATAAGTGTCGCGGGAGAATAAACCGATTGATAACTACGTGTTCGTCTTCACAAAACGTCTGCTCGTTTCACAAAGCGTATGATGATAATTTCGTTGCGAAGAGCAACTTGCAGCATTGGCGATTCGGTTGTCGCGTATTCAGCCATTAAACTTGATCTCGTCTGTTGCGCCACTGGCCGAGAATGTTGTCAGCCGCGTCGATTCCAACGCGCGCGTGCGACTCGGCGGCCATCTTTGTAAAGGAGAGAACTGCCGCCGTTGAGCGAGAACCGCATGCGCGACGTCATCACGGCGCGCTTCCGGTTCCGTTGAAAACCGACGGCGACTTCTCCCTTAGCAAGATGGCCACCCGGTGGTGGGGGGGGGGGTGAGAGAGACGACTACGGGTACCGGACTGGTCGAGACTGGCTGGTGGGGGAGGGGGTCAAACGCCGGGAATAAAAAATCGCGTTTCCTCCGCGCTGCTCGTCGGGAGAGCGGCTTTTCGTGGTGGCGCGGGGCCGCACACAAGAGGTGCACTGCGGGCCCCGAACTCGCTCTCCCCTCTCGGCTTTTTTGTTGGAAACCCTCGCTGCGTTGTCCCTCTCGTCCCCCTCCCCGCGTGTGGGTGGTGTCCGTGCGAGAGGCCGGTGCCGTGGTCGGGAACATTGCGACGCGATGGTGGGGGAGGAAGGGGGAGGCAACGAGACTTTTCGGCCCAACCATGGCCGCTCGAGTTTGGTGGTAGTGGTGGTGGTGGCCGTAGACATTTATTTGTTGTTGCGTGTCCAAGCAGCGTGCGTCTCGTATTATTCGATGACTCGGCTTGTTTATTTAAGGAGCGGGCATGATGTGTGTGTTTGTGGATTGTTACGGCGGCCGCTGAATTGGTCGACGGCGCGTTTGACGCTGCCTCGAGAGAGAGAGAGAAGAGGGCCTTTGTGTGTTCGCGTGAAGCCACAGGCCGGCGGCTGGAACAGTGAGGCCGCATTCGCTTGCGTCGAGGCGATGATGTGGTATTAAGACCACCTATTGTGGGGCACGGGTGGCATTCCTTGCTGGTGCAACGTGAAACGACTTCGCTGATCGTCCTTCACAAAAAAAAAAACTCTGCAACTCATTGTAGCCGCAACCTCTGCCGAAGTATGAATTTCAAGTGCCTCGCTACTACGAGCAGATATATGATATACGTTGATGGTGGCGAGGTTAAAGTATAGGTATGTCATCGATGTATCATTTGTGATCACGCCTGGCAAAACAAAGGATACCTAAAGACGCGAGACTCAAAGTCTCGTTTTCAATGGAGACATGATGGGTTCCAAACTAACATGTGTACGTATACAGTATATGTACAAATCAAATGCTGATGAGGGCCTTACCATGGCGTGTGAGTGTTGAGGGTTGGGATGATATTTGACCATGTTTTACCAACCCTGATCAGTGCGGGTTGGACAAAGACGGGAGAGCATAGACGTACAGGCCAACAACTGATGATGTTGCACTGTCCACTGTTGTCCACCACTTAGCCTCGAATGGCCTTTTGACAATCTGTTAATCGCGGTGGTAACCCAGTTAAGTTCTAGCCAGGCCCCATCCTGCTTGGACAAAGGAAACTACGTGGAAAAATGAGCAAGTGCACAGGAAGTTTCGACCTCTCGTCAGAAACGTTCAATAAACAAAAATATCCAATCAAACGAATAGATAAGGGCCAAAGGTTGGCTCATTGTTTGCCTTGATGCAACCATGACAACCAACTGAGGTTTAGGCACTTGGTCGATTGGACTTGGACACGGAGCCAACTTAGAGGCTTTGGGTGTTGTGATTGCACAGGATTGAAACGGCAGTCGATGGTTAAGATGTTCAGCCGAGACTGCTATAACAATACTTGTATTCACTTTATGATGTCAATTTGTTCTTGTTAAGCACAACATTTAAAGTTGTGCCGCCTGTAATGGTTGGTGTCGTTTAGAAGGTGTATATTGAGCTGCGGTACAGTATGTAACTTAATAGCACCATTTAAAAAAAGATGCGTGCCCCTGCCAAAAATCAAATAGCATTTAAGCCCATCAAACACTCAACCACTTGGATCAATGTTTTCCAGAATTGTCAACGGCTTCAACTTCTCGGTGCATCATCAGCAGATCTTGGTCCCATTTAGATGCTGTCTGGTAGCCTGATGCTTGTTATACAGCGACTGACAGTTTTGCTTTGAGTAGCGTGCTTTCACTTCATGTCCACGATCGGTGTACTGCTTGCAGTTTGTTTGAGAAGCTCGGTGGCCCTAACGAGATGTTTGTCCTCGGCAGGTGACAGTACTCTGGCTGGGGAGCAGCATCTTCACCGTTAAAAATGGCACACAGGGAACGAGGTGGGTGAGACGACACTGGAGCTGCGTGCACGTCACAGTAAAACACAGGCAGAGCAGTGTTTAAAAGTTAAGATTTGTTTTCAAGGAGGCCAGACGGGTGCGGGGAAGAGGTCAGACCAGTGCTGAGCCGTCGCCACTGAGATTCCTGGGTTTGAGCCCACTTAATAAACTTTGGTTCTTCGTTGTAGTGAGTTAATGGTCTCTGCACGAGAAAAACATCGCAAAAATTGTTGTACTGCACTTAATTTGTCTATAATTCCAGCTTGGAAAAATGTGCATCATGCACGGCAGGTGGGAAAATACTGCTACCTACTGTGGGAACGTTAGGTCACTTTAAGGGGCTCTCAGGGGTAGTTCTGATGATCTCCACATCCCTTGGGCATTATCTAACGTGAAGGGTTGCACTGCTTGCGTGAAATCATGCTTCGTCTCATGATGGGATACCAAACACAATACGAGAAAACATCTACTGTATACCTTTGTTTATTTTATTCCACGACCTGGCTTTATCTTCCCCTGGTTTACCAATGTCGAGATATGATTCCAATATCTCGGTCACATGTTCTCATGAGTCCCATCCATCGCCATCAAAATATTTTCTTGATGACACATCGAACACTTTGTTGCCATAAACATCCTTACATTTGCCTGTATAAAAGGTTTAGTTGTTGATCTACTTTTTTCCAGATGTAGGCGACCGAGTCCATCCCATTGTGAGGGTGACTTCACTAATGTCGACCTTGGCATAGAATAGCGGTTGGCAATACACCAAGCACTGTGATGAACATTTTTTTCTGGATCTCAATGGGATCCGCAATCCACCATGAAGCTGACCAACAATTACCTGGATTTAACCTTGTCATGCCGAAGCATGAATTATTAAATGAGCAAAAGCTGGTTTATGTAATTAGATTACGTTTCTTATACAAACATTTTTTTTTCCTCTGTCCGGCCGCAATGTACTGCATATGTATACACATTGAATGGGAGGCTGTGTTTTGAAGTGGTGGCTAAATATTGTCATATTTGCTCCAGACTAATATAGCTGTATACAATACATTCAGATAACTATTAAAACAAAGCAAGCAGAGTTATAAAACGTAACAAACGCACAATTAAAGCATATATATTTGGTACTAGCCAAGCGACCTTAATGCTCGTCAATGTGACTATTTCCATCCGTACTACTTTGGCACCGTACGTACGTAGCCAACCACACTAAATACAAAAAGTTACTCTAAAGAAATGGTTATTGGCAGTAAAACACAATTAATTTCGTGAAACGCATTTCTTTAACTCGGTCATGGCTGTTTTTATCTTTTCTTGCCGAGTGGCTAGCTGTTGTTTTAAAAAGGCAATTTTTACAGCCCTTTTAGCAAAGCCCGATGGAAATTTACCTGTGAAATCAACATTGTGAGTGGTGATATGACGTTTCGGATTACCTGCATGAGCAGCCCCCAAATTAGTTACACAGTACATGGAAAGGCCTGTCATTCCGTTGGATAAGCACACATTCCTGCTCCCACTCTTAATTTAAGTTTCACTTCAGTGCCAGTCTTACCTTGGAAACTTTGGATATTTTCATCTATGTTACTGGACGACGCAAAAAGGCTGTGCCCCATTTTTTGAAACTCGTACCACAATATCCATTGACACGTCAGCACAAACTGAACCGTACACTAGCAACTTTTGGCGAAACTTTGCTAGAGTCGTGGTCGGTGAAACTAAGTAATAAAGTATAAACATAAAATACTTTTGTTATCTGTTGGTAGAAACATTTTTTAAAATCTGCATACTGGGCCGTGCTGTGTGACAGATGGCGAAGAGAAGATCTATGGTGGCTGTGAAGGTCCAGATGCTATGTACGTGAAGCTGGTTTCTTCTGACGGCCACGAGTTCATTGTGAAGAGAGATCACGCACTAACTTCCGGCACAATTAAAGCCATGCTGAGTGGCCCTGGTAAGTTACATAAGTCGCGTAAAATAGACATTTTACGTGACTAAAATGTATACATGCGACCGAGTTCAAAGATGCTTTGCAACTCGGGGAAATATGCCTATATGAAGCGTTTGAAGGGGTAGTTGTGTGTGTTTTTGTTCGAGCAAGAAAATTAGGGTAGATTTATGCAGGACTCATCCCACTTTTGTCCCCTCTGTTCACTACTTCAGCGACCGCAGATATTTCTCAAAGCCCCCCAGTAAAGTCACGTAGTTAGAAATACACTAAAACAAATCCCGACGTTTTGATCGCAACACAAGCGGTTGTCGTCAGACCTGATGACGACCGCTTGTGTTGCGATCGAAGCGTCGTGTTTTATTTCTAACTACGCGACGTTATCGAAAGTACCAAAGAGTATGGATTCCTGCAGTCACGAAAGCTTCAAATCAAGATTCCCCCCCAGTAAACCTTTGCTCAGTTGGAGGTCACTCAGTCTCCTCTGCTGCCCCTAAAGTGTGGAACTGCCTTCCCCTAGTGGTCCATGTTGGCTCCCTGTTATTATCCAAGCAAGACCTCTGCCCATAACTGACTGCCTCTATAATGTTAGTGTGCCTACTTTCCATACAGCATCTTGAGATACAGTAGCAAGTAGTCTAAATTTATGACTGAGACGACATAATGGTAGTAGTCCACTGCATGCATTTGGGGATTAACAAAGAGCTGTACGGAGAAGATGATGACACTTCATTGAAAGAGACTGATGCAGAAGTGAAGTAGGGAAGTCTTGAGCCTAGACTTGAGGGTTTCCATGGTTTCCACAGCTAAACGGAGGAAATATGTATCACAAAATATTTCTTAGGCATTCACTCTTCTGCTGTTTAGCTCTGATATTTTCAGGTTGTACCATGCATTCTTTGGCACATCCGAGAGTTCGTTGCACGTGCTTGGAACTCATTTCCTTAAGAAGCTCCCAGCACGTGGACCGAAACGTCAGACATGATTGATGCCAAACAACACGCTTTCCAACGTGAAAACGTGTTTAGAGACCTTTGCGTTTGCCGTGTTTGCTGTTGAAGATCACTTGATCAATACAATGCCAGCAACGTAATGTTCCGTAGGCGTGCGTCATTAATCTTTGCCTGTTTTGTTTGTTATCCGCGGTAGGCCAGTTCGCAGAGAACGAAACAAACGAGGTGAACTTCCGCGAGATCCCCTCGCACGTCCTCTCCAAAGTATGCATGTATTTCACTTACAAGGTGCGCTACACAAACAGCTCGACGGAGATACCCGAGTTCCCCATCGCTCCCGAGATCGCTCTGGAGCTGCTGATGGCCGCCAACTTCTTGGATTGCTAGACGCGCTTTGACCCGCACGGGGCGCTGTCCGTCGCTCCATCGCTACGGCGCCGGTTTAATTTTTTGTTGTGTTTACCACAGGATTGTTTTTCACTGCAGTATTTAACCTCCACACTGGGTTTTTGTTTGTATCTGTTATTAATCTGGCAGTGGCAGCGTGGAATTGAGCTGCGTATATAATACAGTTGTTGTGAAAACCAAACTTTGAAATGTCTTCTCCTGGCACATTTCAGCACTGTAGTTACTCGGGTAACATACGACACATTTAATGTCATTTTAAAACATTTAGCATCGCAAGTAATGTCACGTGCATTTGAGTTTATCAGTTTAGGAGATGGCTGTTGATTTTTTTCAGTCATGGTAGGAGTGGCACAGAATGTTATTTATAATAGATTGAAATATATATTAAAATGTAAAAAAACATTGCGTGTGGGTGTAGCTATGAAAATTTCAAAGTTTGGTGATAAGAACAACTGTTTTTATTTAGTTTTGCCTTCAGTCAAGCAATAGTTATCTCCTGAAAGGAACTGATTTAATTTTTAGTTTCAGTGGTTAAAGAGTTTTCTTTAGGTCATTGTTGATTTTTTTTCCACTAGGTCGTTGAAGCTCATTGTTTTATAATCGCTTTGTAATTCTGGAGTCAATGTGTACACAACAAAGTCCCCCGCTTTGCCTAGTTTAAAATTACTGAGGAATGCATGAACGTGTAACAACTGGACGCGATCGCCTCACTGACCCTGCTAATAAAAGCACTCGGTTAAAATTTGTGACAGATCCCCTTTCCCGCTGCACGCCAGATGGGCACGCGCATCTCGTGTTTGCCTGAGACCGCAACCGAATTTGATATAGGCACTTGTATGCACCCAAAGAAATCCTCTGGATTTCTGAGAAATCCTGATGCTTTGGTATGTTTTTGGGAAAAGTCTTGTGGGAAGAAACCTGAGCACCCAGAGACAATCCTCCCAATATGAAGGGATCAGGTCAAATGTCAGTTATCTCACATGAAATGGGTGTTGGCAGCGCGCTCATGTTGTGTACACGCCTGAGCCGGTGGTGAACATTTTGCATGTCTATGGTGAGGGGGGAAATATATCCGTGAAAGAAAAGGGGTAACGTTCTGATGCCTGTTGGGTACCACTTTGTTTCCCACTTTTCCCTGTAGGTGGAAGTCTTGTGCACATAATTGCCAATGACCTATCCACCAAGCCTGTCTCATATTAAAGTGCTGCATTATAGGAACATTTCACATCCAACATTGCCAAAGTGTGCAAATAGGAAGGGCCTATGTATATTTGGCAGACTTTATTGGGAACAAGTCTGGCAATGCCCAAACATGCATCTCAATGTAAATTGCAGTTTTCTGATACTGCATTGGCAGTAGGGCATATACACACATGCATCAATAACACTTCCCGGAAGCAGAAAAGTTCTAAAAAGTTGACATTTTGAGCAATGATCCTTTTCTGCTGTGAAGAAGGGAGCATTCCCCAAAACGGCATATGTTGTATAATTTTTCCTCTTTCGGTGAGTGCTATTGAGGAATTTTAATGTAATGTGCTTTTTGCGCATCATAAAAGCAGTCTTGTTCCCGGATTGCACCACAGGAATGAGAGTGAATTAAAATGTGCGCAACAAGGGTCAAAGCGATGGAAGTTTGTGGTCACATTTTTTTGGGCTCCGTGCACAACACTTGCCATTTAAGTATGGGGCCACCCATTTAGTACGTACGCATGGAGGGGGGGGTCTACTGACAAGGGAACGCACGCATAGGAAGGGGGGGGGGGGTGAAGCCTCGATAATGTGTCTACATTGGTCTTCAAATGAGCTACAGTTCAGTTTCTTCAGCTGTCAGACCAGTACTACCGGGAGAAGTGGGACTGGGAGAGATGTCACTTGTATGTCACCGTGCCCCTGACTGCAGCTATCACGCAGCTCCGTAAAATGTGGCCAAGGTACGCATCTTCATTCTTTAATGCAGCCGGCGGTGGACTATCTGTTTGCTTAAACACGTTAATATTATAATCCTTGATCGTTTCTGCGTGGATTAAATATCGGCCGGTGTCTAGAATTGGGGGGGCGGGGGGTAAAAAGTATGCGTGCGTGCAGGGAGGGGGGTCAAGTTGTTACAGATTCTTGCCGACATACTGAATGGATGGCCCCTGCGTTTGTCTGATTAGGGGTGAAGAGATACATCGGTCCATCGAATAATGAATCTTCAGCTCAATACGTACATCGGTGTTTTTACTTGGTATATTATAAATGGGTTCACATCACCCCTACATCCGCTGGAGACACTGCTATTGACTAATTAAAAATAACGATCATAGAATCGCATCCCTAATCAAATTACACGTGGCGTCATGTTGACAATGGCACCTCGAGTGCTCTTAGCAGCGCAAAAACAAGACAGAAACCTGTAAAATGACAGGGCGCTTTCATGTTAGTGAATGCCAGTTAAGCAACACGAGGCTTGGCAGCAAAGCCTGTAATCCATTGGCTAAGCCTGTTTTTGTCCCAATCATTTGTGTTCGGACATTTACTCACACAAGCATGCTTGACACTGGCAACGTAAAAAGTGTGTTTAAGAAACTCCACTTAGCCTTGATTGGCAACAGCAAAATTTAACACTTGGAGTGAATGAATGCAGTGATCTGCTTAATGCTGATAGCCGTTGTCACACTCGTAAATTATATTTTCTCGAGACTCACACAAGGCTATAATTGATCCAATCTTGTTAAGGACGAGGTCTAACACACTGACCGTTTCGTCTCATCCATACTGTGTTCCACCACCACACTGCAGGTCAAATGACTTCTGCTTATTCCCTCCCATCGTCACTTATTACATTCTTCGAAAACCTTTCACGATTTCAAGAAACGTACTTTCAGTTTTTTTCGGTAAGTCACGTATGTAAAAATAAAAATAATTAATAAAAATTATAGAAATATTAATAGAAGTAAAATAATAAATCACGACATTTCGGAGGCAACACAAGCTAAACGTCTCCGAAACGTGATTTATTATTTCATTTATATTATTATTTATATTATTTTTACCTACGTCACTTTACCGAAAAAACCTAAGAGTATGAATCCTTGCAGTCACGAAAGCTTCAAATCTAGAATTCAAGAAACGTGTCAACTGGTGTCTATTTCAACTTATTTGCTGCCGACAGCTTGGTGTTTTGGGCCTTTCATAATACTAAGAAACTCATTCTATGAATCTAGATTTGAATAATAATTACATGATAATGTTGGTAAAGTCACGTAGATAGAATAAAAAATAATAACAATACAATAGCCCTGCCCACATCGCTTATGACCCTTGGGCTACACCCATCTCAAACCTCTAACATCCTGCCTCATCAGCTCTCGCTATTTTTTCACCTATGACCCTTGGGCTACACCCATCTCAAACCTCTATAACATCCTGCCTCATCAGCTCTCGCTATTTTTTCACCTGATGACTATTGCTTCTGTTGCAATCGAAACGTCGTGATTTTTTTTTTCTATCTACGTGGCTTTCCCAAAAGACCCAAAGAATATGAAAATAAAGTGAATAAAAATATCACGACGTTTCGATCGCAACACAAGCGGTCATCATCAGGAACAGGGAGGTTAGCCTCTGAAGGCAAGCTGTTTATAAAGGTTTAAAGATGGTTGGGGCAGCTAATGTTAATGGAGGAGAGGGCTCCGACACCAGCAGTAGGTCTACACCAATCAAAGCATTGCTCCTCGCTCCACACACCCACACTGCTGACGGTTGAGGTTGACAAGCAAACAAATCAAGTCATGACCCACAAGGTGCAATACTTTGATTGGTGTAGACCTGCTAGTGTCGGAGCCCTCTCCTACATTAAGATTAGCTGCCCTGCCCATCTCTAAACCTTTATAAGCAGCTTGCCCTCAGAGGCTAACCTCCCTGTTCCTGATGACGACCGCTTGTGTTGCGATCGAAACGTCGTGATATTTTTATTCACTTTATTTTTCTTATTTTTTTGATATTTTTTCTATCTACGTGACTTTACCGAAAGAACCGTAGAATATGAATTTTTAAGTAAACTAATAAACTCAGTTTTATAAAGCGCCTTTAAAATCGGTAATCTCAAAGCGCTTTTATTCTGTCCTCAGCAACCAATATATATAAAACTATTTGAGCCCAGCATCGTGAGTAAATGTATTCAAAAAAATTCCAGAAACATTTGTTGGGAAACGTTTTCAATCAGCATGTGCGTGATCACATGATTGATGCCTTGGGCTCGTGGGAGTTTCTCGATCCTGATTGGCCGAAAACCAAATGTTTCTCGATGGAGAAATATAATTAAACATGAAAACGGATTTCCCCATGTATGCTAGGCATTATAATACACTGTTCGAGTGGCAAGATGTTTAAACGCTATGCAACTTCATATCATGTGCCCAAACTCAATGCGTCTCGATTAAGTGTGACATTATTTGGCCCGCCTCGCTATTTGATGAATTTTTATAATTCGTTTGTGGCTCCATGGTTTACATGAACGCATTGCATAAAACATGCACGTGTCAAAAATGTATTCTCATATATTTCAATGCATGTTTTGTGAGTATTGTACAATAATTGGTTCATCATTCCATGCCGTATCCACACGTTCCCCACACCGAATGATTTCACAAACCCTGAGTGACCAGACCACCCAGACTTCCCGCATGCAGGACCATACGGGTCTCCACCACACCACATGGTGTATCTACACTGGGGTGCCACCGTAGCAAGATGTTAACTACCTCACCTGGTATACAGGAGGTTGTGAGTTTGATCCCAACCCTGATGTTTGCTGTATATTTAGAGTTTGCATGTTCTTCCCGTGGTCACGTAGATTTTTCTCCGGGTCCTCTGGTTTCTCGCTCCACATTTAGAATCATGCGTTTATAGAGTATTTAATTGCTATAAACTTCCACTTGATAAGCCACTTCGTTGAGCTATAATGTGTGACCAAGTCGCTCCTAAAAAAGAGCTATATAGCTCAGTGGGCCTAAACTAAAAAAAATAAGTTTCCTACACTGCGTAGTGGTACCAACCAGGGGAAGTGTGGTTGGCATGCGCCCTGGTGTAAGAAATATAATTTGCCGCCTCTATAGCCTGGGCCCCCTATGGTCTGTGGTAACTTGTGCAAGTGGCACCGTCTGCACATTGAGTCACGCCACCGTCTCCCAACACCCAAGGCTTCTTGGTTTCCAACGATCAAAACAAGCGTGAGAACGATTGTGAAGTTGAGGGAACAGCAGCTTTGGGAACCTTTGAGTAGCCGAGGAGAACCATGACACGAATTGAGGCACATCGGCAGCTTTTTAAAGTTGGGGTATGAGGAGAACAGTCCTTTATTCCAACGAACACTTTACCCATGTGTCTCCCAAAGTTAACCTCGTGGATTCCCCCTTGGGGGTAAACGATTGACCCCCCCCTGCCCCACTCTCAAGCTGTGATAAATTGTCGTTATTCGGGGTCACAATTAAATTCGCTCGTTATGTATTACTTTAGCAGACGTGTGTGTAGAATCTATCGTGGTGTAAAAGGTCCAGTTCGTTAGATCGGCGTGGCCAATGCTGTTGATACGACCCACACCTCAACATCAGTTCCTGCTGCTCAGTGATTGTAGATTTAAAGTCGATGACATTAGACCTTCGAGGTAATCTCTTGCAGTATCCTACCGTCGTGTAGGTACACGTGCAAGCCTTTTGTTGGGCCACTACTCGATGAGGGAGGGCCTCTACGCAGTTGCAGGTCGTGAGGGTTATTTGACCTTACCGCACCACACTGACCTGTGCAGGTCGTGAGGGTTATTTGACCTTACCGCACCACGCTGATCTGTGCAGGTCGTGAGGGTTATTTGACCTTACCGCACCACACTGACCTGTGCAGGTCGTGAGGGTTATTTGACCTTACTGCACCACGCTGATCTGTGCAGCTCGTGAGGGTTATTTGACCTTACCGCACCACGCTGACATGTGCAGGTCGTGAGGGTTATTTGACCTTAACGCACCATGCTGACCTGTGCAGGTCGTGAGGGTTATTTGACCTTACCGCACCACGCTGATCTGTGCAGCTCGTGAGGGTTATTTGACCTCACCGCACCACGCTGATCTATGCAGGTCGTGAGGGTTATTTGACCTTACCGCACCACACTGATCTATGCAGGTCGTGAGGGTTATTTGACCTCACCGCACCACGCTGATCTATGCAGGTCGTGAGGGTTATTTGACCTTACCGCACCACACTGATCTGTGCAGCTCGTGAGGGTTATTTGACCTCACCGCACCACGCTGATCTATGCAGGTCGTGAGGGTTATTTGACCTTACCGCACCACGCTGATGGGGGGTACCTACCGCACCACACTGATCTATGCAGGTCCGTGAGGGTTATTTTGACCTTACCGCACCACGCTGATCTGTGCAGCTCGTGAGGGGTTATTGACCTCACCGCACCCACGCTGAGTCTGTGCAGCTCGTGCAGGGTTATTTGACTCACCAGCACCACGCCTGATCTATGCAGGTCGTGAGGGTTATTGACCTCTAACCGGACCACACTGATCTGTGCAGCTCGTGGGGTATTTGACCTGTACCGCACCACACTGATCTGTGCAGCTCGTTGAGGGTTATCTTGACCTCACCAGCACCACGCTGATCTATGCAGGTCGTGAGGGTTATTTGACCTCCCGCACCACACTGATCTGTGCAGCTCGTGAGGGTTATTGACCTTACCGCACCACGCTGATCTGTGCAGCTCGTGAGGGTTATTTGACCTTACCGCACCACACTGATCTATGCAGGTCGTGAGGGTTATTTGACCTTACCGCACCACGCTGATCTGTGCAGCTCGTGAGGGTTATTTGACCTCACCGCACCACGCTGATCTGTGCAGGTCGTGAGGGTTATTTGACCTTACCGCACCACGCTGATCTGTGCAGGTCGTGAGGGTTATTTGACCTCACCGCACCACGCTGACCTGTGCAGGTGGGGTATGATCGTAAAAGAGGAACAATGGATATTGTTTGACGTCTCTCTGCTGCCTGTATCTAACTGTTGTACATTGTTTGACAGCCATACAAACTCTATCCAGGCCCAGAACTGCTTAGCTCCCATCAGCTGATGAGATCGGGCGCATTCCGGCTTATTTATCCATTGAACTCTCGTGGTTTCAAAGGTATAAACAAGTTAATAAGTACGGCAATGCATTTGTACGTGTATTGTTTGAGGCGTGTATCGTGAAACAATCTGAAATTAAAAGGTCTGACTTTCCTGCACACAACTTTTTCGAATTCTTGAAGTGTTGCTCAACATCGGACGTTGCATAATGCATCATCTTAGCTTGTTTTGGGACGCGGTTACAAATTAACCATCCACTTACACTCCGTAGTCGCGCAGGCTGTGAAGGGCCCGCCCCCCATACCCACCCTCACCTGTTGCCTAGTTGGCCAGCCCAAGGACCCAGACAAAATAAGGCAAAACAAATCTTGGCACGAGGATGCATTTGGCCCTGCCTATAAATGAAAACAAATTAGGCTTCGCAAGAAAAAATATCAATAAATACAAGGAATAAAAACCTAGGTCTGTTGCTTTACATTTTATATATACATAAAAAAACGTGAAAGCCGATTCAATATTTAAATGAATTTTAAACCGAGGTCTCAACATGTTGAATCATCCTTGGCACCGCCAAGTTCAAGTTGATGTATTAGGTATAGCCCTGTGAGTCATTCGGCTCTTGTATCGGGTGCAACCACAACAAACAAAAAACAAAAACATGAACAAGAAAACATCTTGGAGTGACGATGTGACTAAGTGCAAACAGAAAATCCAAGAAAAGACAGCAAAACATTGCAGAAAAAGCGCCGTACACCACTGTGTGCAAAATCCCAGTTGAATGCAAGTCAAACAACAACAACAACCACAAGACAATTTAGATTAAGGCCATCAGTCTAACTCTGTACGACAACAAACAAACATGGCCAAACCAAAAAACTTTTCGAAAATCAACAAAATAATGACCCATACCGTCAAATCATGCTGCCGTTGTTGCAACGAGAACTAAATATAACCTCGCGTCAACTATTTTTGTTTATTTTAAGAGGCGCCCACTTCTCTTGTCACCCAATTCTCTTGAAAGGGTAAAAACCTATCATATTATCATGGGACCTCCTTTGCCAGTACCAAAATATACTAATAGGAGTTTTCCCCTTTTTCTGGCAACAAAACTGACACCTTTTGCAAGGAATCATGCTTACATTAACTACAATACTTGCAGTCAAATGCAAACAAAAAACAATACTCTGATAATTTATGCATTGTCCTTGAAACTGATTGGTCCACACCAGAGACAGATTTCTTTAGAGCCTAGTCTCATATGGTGTTTCACCAGATGACGCCAATGCATAAATTATCAGAGTATTGTTTTTTGTTTACATTTGACTGCAAGTATTGTGGTTAATGTAAGCATGATTCCTTGCAAAAGGTGTTAGTTTTGTTGCCAGAAGAAAGGGGAAAACCCCTATTAGAACCTATCACTATATTTTGCCACTGGTAAAGGAGGTCTCATAGTGTAAATGCTTACCCCGAGCTCTCACTACTCTGATAGTGCGCTGTCTTTGAGTTGTACGCCTTTTGGCGTCATCTGGTCCAACACCAATGGAGACTAGGCTCTAAGAAAAGCTGTCTCGGGTGTGGACCAATCAACTTCAAGGACAGTGCATATCATTATCATCATCAGAGTTGTTTATTTTTGTTTGCATTTTGACTGCTTGTGTTGTGGTTATTGCAAACATGATGCCTTGTATAAAGGTGTCAGTTTTTTTGTACCAGTTGAAAGCAAAGTTTGTGGGTAATAATAGCCATTTTCTGTACTTTTGAAGCATAAGGAATTAGGAAATAACACTACCCAGTGTAATCGGAAAACGTGAACTATTGTGTGTGCGTGTGTGCGCATTCAATTCCCAACATCGCAGTCCGTTTACGTTGGTCCCATGAACCACGGGTCACAACCCCTTTGACCGCTGCACCGCGGTTCATGTACAAAAACTCAACTGTATTTAAAAAGTAAATTTCTAAACGTTGCTTGCGAATCTTGACAAAGTTTTCGTGACTGCGGAAATGCATATTCTTGGGTCTTTCGGTAGAGTCACGTAGATAGGTAAAAAAAATAACACTAAAAACAAAAAAGTCGTAGTTTTTAGTGTTATTTTTTAATTTTCTTTGAACCTATCTACGTGACTTTACCGAAACACCTAAGAATATTGACCCACATATAATGTGAAAGGTCAGTTGAGTGGCGGGGTGGGGGTTGGTTAGGGGGGGGTGGTAGGTGGGGGGGGGTGGTAGGTGGGGGGGGGGTGGTAGGTGGGGGGGGGGGGTGGTAGGTGGGGGGAGTGGTAGGTGGGGGGGGTGGTAGGTGGGGGGGGGGTGGTAGGTGGGGGGGGTGGGTAGGTGGGGGGGGGTGGTAGGTGGGGGGGGGGTGGTAGGTGGGGGGGGTGGTAGGTGGGGGGGGGTGGTAGGTGGGGGGGGGTGGTAGGTGGGGGGGGGTGGTAGGTGGGGGGGGTGGTAGGTGGGGGGAGTGGTAGGTGGGGGGGTGGTAGGTGGGGGGGGTGGTAGGTGGGGGGGGAGTGGTAGGTGGGGGGGGAGTGGTAGGTGGGGGGGAGTGGTAGGTGGGGGGGGGAGTGGTAGGTGGGGGGGTGGTAGGTGGGGGGGTGGCGAGACGGTGACGTATGTCAGGAAACGGGAAGGGGGACTAACGTCGCTCACGTGACCCGCGCTCCCATAATGCAGCGCGGCTTGGGAAGATGGCGTCCATGCAGGTGAGACCGGCTGCGGCTCCGTCTGGTTGGTGGTGGAGGTGCTGGGTAGGGGAAGTGGCACTTTAACTTGGTGGCCGCGGACTCGGCTGGCCCCCCTTGCAACGCGTGGCGCACTCGCCCCCTCGCTCGATCATCTCTTCGAACGGCGGGGCCGCAAAAAGCGACGGAAGTTTAATGGGGGGCGCAGTGGCCGCGGCCGCGGCGAGCCGGAGTCGGCGGTGAAACCAGGCGAGCAGCGCCTCACCCGGGGGAGGGGGGCGGACTAGGCCGCAGTGGTGGTTGTTGTTGTTTGGTGGTTGTTGTTGTTGTTTGGTTTCATTCGACTTCACTGGTGTTGATGGTGGTTGCCGCTGTCACTGCCGTAGTGGTTGTTCGCAGCTGCTGGTGTTGTGGGACTAAAGGACCAGCGTGTTTTTGTTCCGTTCCCGTAGCGATGGTAACGCCCCATTGGAACCGTCTTTGTTTGGGTAACGGTGGTTGTATTAATCATTGTAAGGTCGTTAATTTTAGTAAGTGTTAAAAGTAGATAGTTGCTTGAACGTCTGTTGTGATATAACACGCAATGTTGAAAATAATGACGTTCAATAGTGACGATGAAATCATTACTCCAAGCACCATTTCGTACAACTGGTGGTGACAATATAACGTTTATTATAATCGCAGTGGTACTATAATCAACATACCTCGTGATGTTAATATATTAATACAACAAAAATAGTTGCGAGCTATTTAATGGCATCACGATAACATTTACGGAGATGCGTTATCCTATACTGAGCAATGTGCTATAGTGCCGTGAAACACCAATGGTCGACAGGGAACAGTCTATGCAATCGTGGCTTGATAAAGGGAAATACACCATTTTTTTCGTACAAGAATGTGTCGCTATACACTGAAATGCATTGTTCTTAAGACATGGTGTAAGGAAACTGGACTACGTAAATGAAGTGGTGCATGTGAGTGGATAATGCCAAAAGGCTACCAGAACCCATTAACTGCCCTGGTATCTAAGTCGCTTCAAAACCCCAGCAAGTTTGGTAGTTTTGACAAATCTCTCCGTGAGTCCAACCAACGCAAGCGTGCGCTAACCACACCCTCGTGTCAATGTCATTTCCCGATGCTCAAACAAGATTGTAGCCTGTAATTACATCACTTTATGAAACGGTTTAAAATGTTTACAATAACACTCATATGGGTAGGCGGAGTCTTCCCCCCCCCGTCATAATAATGTCGAGTTTCCACACAATCCCTCTCCACCATAGTGGAATCTAGATATGACTAAGGGCCCCAAATAGAACCAATTGTTGCCCCATGTTCCTTTTTGGTAGTGAGAACCATTTATTTGAGTAATGATTCATCATCAGTCATTATAAATTCACTGCTGAACACACCTCCCCCAAGCCACTGCCATCTGTCGCCTTGCTACGATATAATCCAGATAGCACCTGCACATGAGCAGATTTCACCACGTCATATACTTGGGTGTCGTACTCCCGACGTATAATTTCTTGGCTGCCACTCATTGTTGATAATCTGCCAACATCATACCTTCCAGCTACGTTCCCTGTCTAAGTCCACTTTTCTTTACCTGCATATGTTCTTTGATCCACGTGTTTTTCTATATTTCTCAGTGTAATTTAATGTCCTGTAAAAATGAAGTTGATATTTGACAACACAGACATAAAAATGACATTTATATCTCTGAAAAAATTCTGACAAGTCACAAGGTTCTTTGTTTATGATGTTTGTCCAATTCCTTATATTTTTTTACGTGGTAGAGAATGTGAATTATCAAGGAAAACACACCGTTTCTACAAAGGAGAACCAGTAAAAATATGCTTTCTGTATTAGAAACCCAGTTGGTTTACCGTATTTCTGTGGCTGCCTCTTAGCCCTGCAGATTTGAATCTGTGAATGGTTTGTTTGAAAATTAAGTTTTCTTCTTCATTGGTTTATTAAGCGGGGGGGGGGGGGTCATGATGTTTTAAATCAAGTTTGAGTTATGCACAGCATGTGGTGCGCAACTCTCGCTGTTGCAGAAGAGGTTACAGAAAGAGCTGATGGCCCTCCAGAAAGATCCGCCCCCTGGAATGAAGGTTGATGAGAAGAGTATTCAGTCCTCCCTGACACAGTGAGTACGAACGGCACGCCGGGCCCATCTCACTGGACTGAACTGTGCCCCCCCCCCCCCCACCAGCTGATCGTACATCCCAAGCACTCCTTGTAGGGGCACAGTTAACAATTTCGTTTATTTTGAGCACTCGGTTATTAAGTCGTGAGGCCACAAGTCATAACGTGGCCTTAATTATTCCCTCCCAACTTCCTATATTTTCCATTGTGCAGTTTGAAATTTTGGATTTTAACTATCGTTTTATTTGTAGCAGCTAAAATGTCAGAACCCCATTATCATTAAACTCTTAATGTCGCCTTGAAAGGAGAAGGAGATGATATGCTTAAGGCAATGGCTCTTCTTCATAGCACACAAATAGAGGGGTCAGAGAAATTGTGGATAATATTTCTGACTGCACATCACATCGTGGGAGCTTGATATGAATTACATTTAAAAATGGTTGTTAATGAGCAGATTTTAAATTGACGTGGATTAGTTATCATTATCAATAAAGCAACTCTTATTACCATGAAACTCCATTATCATTACCCAGATGTTATGATGACAGTGTCACAATAACAGTGCCACGCCTGTGTGTACGATTGCCAGACATGGGCCTTATTTACACAGTCATATCCACCGCTGCTTAAAAAACCTTGTCAATATGTTCCTACGTAGGAATGCAAACATTTTAACAACAAAGTCCTGGTTCAGTGTCAAATAATTTGCGTATTGGCGATCCGCGATAACTATAACAACCAATCATGTTATTTGAGATAGCAACGAGAGTTTCATGTTTCCCAGTAACATTGATAAAAGTTACGTTTTTCATGCTGTCGCCAGCTGAAAAGTCACTGAATGCCGATGACGATATTACTTTACTCTCGTTTAGAATTTAAGTTCTTCAAACATTTTGTCTATATCTTACACTTCATGGCTTGTTCAAACACGTTTTGTAATTATCTTTAACTTCTATTTATTTAATAGCCTTAACATTAGCTGGCAACTATTCAATGTGCTCTTGGAACTTAATATGCTATGTTTTTTTTTACTATTTTAAATGTATTTTACAATGAATTTTCAATATTTTAAGTGTACAACAATTAACCAGTCTGAGTGAATATTTGTATCACCTGTCACAAACGTTTTAGCTGTCTGATTCAGCAAAGCGTGATGTTGACTTTGTGCAGACTTTTTTTTAAACCAAAACTTAATTACTGTGTTACAGTTAACGGGCTTCATTGTAAATCTAAACTACGTATGTTCACATTGCTGTTTTCATTCCGTTATGTTCTCGTTGGTTGGCTTCAGGTGGCACACATGAAATAGATTAATTTGTTTTATATTTCGAACGTTTATCAGTGGTTCTACCGTTTATTATAGCAGATCAGTCTTATACAATATTTCTCTCTAATGCTCCGACTCCTTTTACAGATTTAAGTGCATTATAAACGATAAAATTACGATGACGGTGACATACCTTGTTTCCGTATCCATACTGCAAACTTAATGCTCTGTAATTCGGTCTTTGCACGGTGTCCTGTTTTTATTGTTGTTTATTGAGCACAGACTGATAATGGGAGAGTGATTGTACATTACATTACAGGTGGATTGTTGACATGGAGGGAGCATCTGGCACTCTGTATGAAGGAGAGAAATTTCAACTTCTCTTTAAATTCAGCAGTCGCTACCCATTTGACTCACCACAGGTGAGGTGCTACAGGCTTCCTTTTCAGGGTACCGGTTATTTAATTGCAGAAATGTTTTTCTCACTTTGTGCTGGTCAGGTATACTGGGTTCCCGTTCAGTAGAAGTTGATGTAACTCCTCGTATTAAAATCACAATGTTGGTGTTATATGAATGGCGTAACTTTCTGTTTTCTATCTAAATAGAATTGCTGCTTTGTTGCGGTCAGAACGTGTCGGTATTATGTGATATTATGCGTTGTATTAACTTTACCTGTATGGTAATCTTTTTGGGCATTGGATCCTCAATGCATTGCATGATATAAAAGATATATAAATACAATAGCAGTCTTGAAGAGGATATGCGTTTTTGAGTGATGTATACGTTTTTATCTGACCTATCACTTTTCCAAACACTTTTCAATTGAATATAAATGGCACTTATTAAAATTAGAGTTAAGTTTTCACCTGGTAATTTTCAGAAGTGTGTAATGGTTATCACTTCATTATCCTGGAAACAAGGGTTCAATTCCCTGTCGTGGATAACATCACTGGGCCTTTCCTCTTGGTTGTCGTGTCCTTCAGTGGTTACCTGGTGAAATGGGGAGCTGAGCTCTGGGGAGATTGATGTCTGCGTGTGCATGCAAGCTACACCACTTGTTTTTTGTGTGCCTCGCCAGACTCAATAGTCGCTCGCTAACAGCAATTTCCTTAGTGATCTTTTAAGACGAAATGAAATATATTTGTCTGCGTGAGTCCGAGAGCTGCAGCATAATAGTTGATGTGCTGCACCAAGATCCGAGAGACCTGGATTTGATTCCTAGCCACAGATAACGTCACAATAAGTATCTTGAGTGCGTGTGTGGACGTCAGCACTGGGGAGATAAAGGCGGCCAAGCGTGATGCTGTTGACACCTTTGCATGTGCTTTGCTTGGCCATACTTGATGCTAGCTTTTAACAGCACTTGTCTCGAACGTTTAGGACTAAATGTTGATTTTTTTATCCCCGCCGTCTGCGCACACTCGTTCTCACGTGATGCAGGTCGTCTTCATCGGCGAGAACATCCCCGTGCATCCCCACGTGTACAGCAACGGCCACATCTGCCTGTCCATCCTCACAGAGGATTGGTCCCCGGCGCTCTCCGTTCAGTCCGTCTGCCTTAGCATCATCAGCATGCTGTCCAGCTCCAAGGAGAAGGTGTTGTGCATTTGTAGTTCGCTCGCGCGCACACGTTGTACTCAAAAGATGGGTTTCGTAAATCATGGCCGAGGTGCCTTAAACGTGTTATTAATTCGTTATCAGTGGTGGATCGGAGGCGTTGCTGAAGGTCAAATTGCACAAGTGCAGCCCTTCTACCAGTCCACTGCTGGGTGAGGTTTCCCCCACGCCGTACGTGTCATTGGGGTTTTGGCTTTATGCCTTCTGCTGCCCCGCATGTAAACTTGCAAGACCTATGACAAACCTGTTTGCTGCATGGCGATCACTCATCCGGTCACCCAGGTCACTTGCAAACAAGACCATTGCGTGTGGTCTCTTGGTTTTATCACTGGCTTAAATACATTTGACTTGTCTGTGAAGCCTGCTTATTTTCCACGATCTTGACGAGGAATGGAACATTGCAGGCGATTTCTTAATCGGCCAATTCCTGATGAGTAATGTTATATGAATGAGTTTTGCAAATCGCTTGGTAACGTGCCTCTGAAAAAAAAATCTTTGTCTAGATCACTTATTTTTTTCGCAGAAACGGCCTCCAGACAATGCACTTTACGTCAGAACGTGTGACAAGAACCCAAAGAAAACGAAATGGTGGTATCACGGTGTGTATCTGCTCTTGTGTGCCACCGCCACCACTGCCGTCGTCCATGTGTCTTACAAATATTTCACGTGCATATTGAGTTTTTTTTTATTTTCAACGATTGGCGGTTGAGCTGAAAACGTAGCCCCAAAAAAGAACACTTTTATAAACACGCACCGACGTTCCAAACGTCGTACTCAAATGATACATTTTGTGGGTTTACTCTCCAACACACCAGTGTGCTGAAGTAGTTACTAATTGGCACGTTTATTTACAGGACAAACCTTAACAATTGGCTATGTCGGGTGGTGTTGGGTTAACAACACATTTATATTCGTACGATCTAACCCCAAAAAACCTTTATTATGAGGTCCGACATATTTGAAATTTCATGAATGAGAAGAATTTCTATTCACAAATTGAAAGGCCAACCATAATGTCTTTAATGTACATTTGACATTTTCGGTTGTGCACTTTAGTCATTTCCAAAGATTGCAAGTCTTTGAGGTTATGGTCATACATTCTCTAAACATTTTAATACACCATTGCATTGGTGTGCTGAATCATTGTTACAGAAGGCCCATAGTCTGATGGATTTCAGAAGTTGTTTGATACTTGTGCAAGGTGCAATCTCAAGTAATGGATGTTGATGATGGCTAAAATATTTTAGTTACATTTGGAAAGATATACTTTTGTGTATCTTACCCATGGTCGTACACGCTGGCGCATTGAGTTGCCTTAGCAATTTTATCACTGACCATGTTTCCACCATTGCAGACGACAGCTGCTGACAAAGGGGACCGACTGACAAATGAACGAGGTGGAAGGAGGAAGAGGGGAACGAGAGAGAGCGAGAGAGAACGGAATATGAACCAAGTAAAGCAGAACCTCCAAAGCACTTTGAACATTCTGAGTGATTGCGAGGAAGCCTGACCCCAGCGTTGATTTGCGTGAGTGTGACGGTGTCGCCACACACTAATCCTGCGCTGCTCGGAGGGACAGCGGTACAAGCTCTCACTGACTTGCGTGGGGGGGGGCGGGTGCAGACTAGAGGTGGTGGGGAAGAGCAGGGCAATTCTTCCCCGCTCCCAAAAAACAAACACAAAAACAACGAGTACAAGTACAATTTATTTTTTATTGGTGAAACCTCAAATTGGGCTGCAGGTGTATTTTGAATGTAGCTTTCTGTTAAAGGCATCGGAGCTTTCCTTGCCAGTCCAGTGTCTCATTTGCATCTGTGGGATTCTTTTTTGGACGACTGCACTGTTATTTATCTGGTCCCCTTGTAAACGATGTTTATTTTTTATGGTAGTGTTGCCCGTGTTAGATATCAATATTGGATAGGTTTACCTCCCCCTGTGGCCCAACATGTTTCTTTGTTGTTGTAGATGTTTATATCTACACTTTGTCAGTGCAATAAATGGAATCAAATCATGCATTTTGTCTAAATAAAGAGTGTATACAGTGGTAGTTTTGCGACTGATTTTCTAAACATAACTATTCCATCGATTGCCAGTGTATTAAATGTACATTGTTGCAGGCAATGCAAATGGCGATACAGGCGAACTGTATATATGTTCCTGTCCTTGGTGGAATATAATGTTAATGTGAGTCCTGTTCTCTTAATGTTCAGTCTGAAGTGATTTAAAGAATTTGGACTTGCTTTAAATCTCTTGTGCTGTGAGTGAGGAGGGATTATTTTATTATTTGCTCTGTATTGTAACATTAAATATACACGTGTTGGTATACTACATTTTGAATGTGCTGTCATGGTCAATAAAATGTTAATGCCCACATATAAAAGCTACTTGAAACACATTTCAATTTTCCACAAGACACCATGCTGGAGAGGTAACATCCAAAGTAGATTTGGCACAATCGACCTATGCGCTACAGTTAAGACCAGAACTACATTGTTACTATAAAAATGGGCCCCAAAATCGATAGTCTGAATGCCCTTTTAAGATTGCAATGTTCCCCACCTGAAAGCTCCATGGATGTGTACTTTTGTTGTACATTAAGTAAATGTGTCTATGTACATTACGCTGTACACTGCTTCAGTGTTCTGTGGTCATGTATGCAGTGTATGGGAGGTTTTTTTCTGACCATCGGTTACATTTGATCGGTGAAATTCCCGTCGCTTTGTGCAAAATTGCGAATCTTGGGACGGGCAACGGCTGAACAACGACTGAACCCGCAACGGTGGTCACATGCAATCGGTGAGGGGGAGGGGTACAATCACAACTATCTCAACACTTGTGATGTGTACCTTGCTCAACACGAACGCGTGGACTGTGTTGTGGCCTTGGTGGCCTTGGTGGGGTCGGGCTTGTTGGTGTTTACCACTCGTCGTGAATTGCATGTGCGTGTCGTCACACTAGCCGCATTGTGTGGAAACTTTGATTTGGAGGTAACGGCAGGGGGGCAAGCGCGACCCTGCTGTTCTTTTCGGTTGGAGCGTTGAGGATGTAAGACTTGGAACACAGCCTTATACTGATTCTAAAAATTTGTGTATACTGTATGAGTAATTGAGCATTTTCACGAGATGTAATATTTTAAAAGCAGTAAAAAAAAAAACCTGGCCTATCCTTTTTTGTGTGTGCGAGAGGAGAAAATAAAAGATTTTTTTTTCCAAGCCACTTCGAGTCGAGTGGTTGTTTTCGTCGTGAGTCTCGGTCAATAGACGCGAAATACAAAGCTCGGTCCGATGTTCCCTTTCTTTCAAAGCTCTTTCCAAGTTGTAAGCTGCATTACCTCCCGAAACGTTCCGATCAATGCTGTCGTATTACTTAACCCCCACCTGTCCCCAGTCTCGGGTTTTCACGGCAGCCAACGGAGTAAGGTTTTGAATAACGTCACCCACCGAGGAAAGCCACACGTGAATCACATGGCTGTATTTTTTAGAAGGGTCCTGCGTTGTAATGTTTAGCCAATTTCAAAAAAGGCTTTTGTATGTGCCTGCAGGTAAAGGAACCAAAGAAAGCCCTTCCGTTCTTAGGGGATAGCGCTCCAAAGAGCGAGCATGCATTGATTGGTTTGTGAACCCTCAACTTCTATATTGCCACTTTCCCCGACAGCCCAAAGGATTTGAGCGTCACAAATGTGCACGCTATCCACTAACCCTTATCTCCGAAGAACGGAATCACAGGTGTGCGCCGCCACGCACACCTCACGGTTGGCAGCATATTCCTTTTTAAGATTGCATCAAGCAACTTTAATTATCCACCTCGCCGCCACCTCCAGAGGGTGGAGAAAGCGCCTAATCCTGATGATGGCTTCACAATTCAATTGGTGACGGTGCCAATTGCCTGTGTGGATCGCTTCTCCCTGTCACGATATGGCGCGAGTCTAATCGATGGCCGTTGGTCGTTGTGTGAACCACAGCTGAGCAATAGCGATGTCCTCGTGAAATGTTCCGATTGTGAAACATTCCAAGACCGTTTTGAAATTTGCAGTGGAGTTGCCTCGGGCTGACAAGGCCATTTCCTGGGCCGAAAACAGTTACAGGACGCCGATGTAAGATGGTGTCAATGTCATTTTATACGTGGCCTTGCATTAGAGAATGACAACCAAAAAATACACGCAAACGGCTGTTATTTTGTGAAATACAAATGTAGACTGTGTCCTGAGTTGGCTGATAACAATGGGAAAGTTTGAGATTAAAAGGCTTTCAGGGTACGGGGGGGGGGGGGTGTGCAATGGTATCTGTCCTGGGCATCAAATTTTTTCATTTAAGTGCGCCGAAGCAGTCTCAATGCCTGCGTATTTTAATCTGCTCAGAAGTTAAATTCTATTGTCGAGGTGTGCCAGCCACCGACCTGTTACGTGTTTTTATTGTTTACCTGAACTAATATGAATCCACATATGATTGCACTCAGGAGTAATTCACTCTCCAGTGCCTTACCGAGCCCAACATGCAGCCTCTCGCTCTGGTGTTCTTCCGTTAAAAGGGTCGAAGTGATGACGTTGCCATCTGCATGTGGCTATTGAAGACGTGTGACCTTTATAATGAGATGTGACCTTTATAATCAGACGGGACCCAAGTGATTAAGGGAATCTCTTTGATCATCGTCATGCTGCTCATTGATCTATTTAGAGGTGTTTGTCGTTCCGCATACTTGCTTAAAACAATACAGGTGATGTTATGCAAGCCTGACTGCTGATGAGATATTGAATGCCGAAACTGCTCCTGTAAGAATGAATTTCCAGAAAACGTTGTGGCTGATGGGATGTGTTAAAACAAATTCTGCTTTCATATTTTTTTTCGGAGAGAGAAGGTGAAGGAGCATGCATTTTCCTTCTTTATTCAGTGACTTACATTCTCGAGATCCGCGTCAATAAAAAAAGTTATAATAATATCGAGTGGGCGTGGGCAGGGGAATTCACGAGAAGGTTTGATTGCCGATGGACAAGACGAATGGCAGATTGGCAGCCAGAGGAAGAGAGCACATACCTGAGGACAACCACCGCAGAGATGGAGCAATCGGATCAGCAGGAGATAGATTGGGACAGTACAGGACTATGGGGGATAGCGATAGAATAGATACGACTTCATTCAGCTGTAGAGAGACCGTGACTCACGATCCTGAGATTGATGATCGATGTGAGAACTAAACCACTTTGAACATCCCACGTATCCGCAGCGCACGGCCATTGCATCTCAATGGGCTTTCTAGTTATTAAATAAATGACATCGATCAATTAATTACCGTATAATCGTAGGCGAAGAGAGATCCGAGATGAAATGCTTTGTGATTGGTGGCCCGAGCCAAAGCAGCGTTGGGCGGCCAGTGATTGTACAACTGTCGTATTCGGTATTACAACTCTGACCCTGAGCAAACGGTGTGCTTGTAAATAAAGTCGTTTTCGCTCAATCATTTTCATCTCAGTGCTTGTTTCTGGACAGCAGCCAGAACCTTGCATAACCTTGCTGTGAGCCACCGGATGAAGCTTCAAATGTCAAATGTTTTTTTGTTTTCTTTTTGTCCGCAGCAGCAACAACGTAAACAGTTACATAATGTAACAAAGTAGGAACTCACAAAAAATAATGTCTGTCTACCTAAAATTTCACTTAATTCGTTTTTGTTCATCAGCCTGTTGGCCTTCCAGCCCAATGTTTACCAGCATTGATATTCGTATCACGCGAATTCTACACATGGCCGGGTGGCTCAGTGATCAGAATGCTGAACCGAGTTCCTCCCGAGTTTAAAATCCATACAGCCGTCTGTGCTTATAAACCGAATATAAGCAGAACTCCAATGCAGCTGCCCACGTGCAGAATGTAGTCAGGCAGCCTCGTGGCTTCAAATATCAACATTACCGAGTAGCGTTGGTTTAAGCAAGCAAAGTCTTCATACTCGTTGGTTTTTTCGGTAAAGTCAGGTAGGTAAAAAGGAAAATTTAAATAGATTAATTCACGACGTTTCGGAGGCAACACAAGCTTCCGTCTTCAGGTGGAACCGTCACAGTAAAAATACTCTCTCAAGTGATCATTACGTTGCCATACATAGCAGGCGTGACCAAAAAGATTTCCAAAATTCTATACAAACACAAGATCCACCTGAAGACGGAAGCTTGTGTTGCCTCCGAAACGTCGTGATTGATATTTATTTTAATGTTTTACCTACGTGACTTTACCGAAAAAAACAAAGAGTATGAATCCTTGCAGTCACAACAACTTCAAATCTAGAATCAAGCAAAGTCTGTGCCAGTTTCGACCTTCTGGGGACTCGTCAGCTGAGCCAGGCTGGTTAATCAAATGCTGCTAAATTAACGCGAAGCTATTGGCAAGAGCACTGGGTTTAAAATGTGGGCCCCGGTTCGATGCAAAACACAAAGACCGCACAAACTCGTGATGCGGTGCCGTGGTGCATTGTGGGTAAAAGCAAATGCGATAAGCGGAATTCAATTCTGTCGCTACAGTTCTCTCAAGTGTAGTGCGTTGATGGGTCGGTCACCAATAGCTTGACCCTTCCCCCCCTCCCCCCCAAAAAATGCATCACATTTAAATTTGGTACCGTAATTAACGTGGATAAATTGCAGCTCTGAGCGGGAAGTGTATCGGCTTCACTGCTACATACACGGCACTTTGTAGAAAAACCACCGAAACATTGCCAATGGCGCAAGAGAGGGCCACGCGGTGAATTTGTGGCAACATCCAATACGATCGATTCATTGAGAGAGAGAGAGAGAGAAGAGCGGACGGGTGATATGGGCCCGATCACTTGGTCGCGTGCTTCATTTACTCCACGCTGTCAATCACTTAGTCACTTTTTAAGTTAGTGGGGTGAGATGCCACGAGTATTGTTATCATTGTCGGGATTCAGTATCCATTCCTGAGACGCAGAGAACCAAATCACATAGTCACTTTTTAAGTTAGTGGGGTGAGATGCTACGAGTATTGTTATCATTGTCGGGATTCAGTATCCATTCCTGAGACGCAGAGAACCAAATCACTTAGTCACTTTTTAAGTTAGTGGGGTGAGATGCCACGAGTATTGTTATCATTGTCGGGATTCAGTATCCATTCCTGAGACGCAGAGAACCAAATCACATAGTCACTTTTTAAGTTAGTGGGGTGAGATGCCACGAGTATTGTTATCATTGTCGGGATTCAGTATCCATTCCTGAGACGCAGAGAACCAAATCACATAGTCACTTTTTAAGTTAGTGGGGTGAGATGCCACGAGTATTGTTATCATTGTCGGGATTCAGTATCCATTCCTGAGACGCAGAGAACCAAATCACATAGTCACTTTTTAAGTTAGTGGGGTGAGATGCCACGAGTATTGTTATCATTGTCGGGATTCAGTATCCATTCCTGAGACGCAGAGAACCAAACCACGGCTCAATATTTTGCGTGCTACGAAGAAGAGGGCCATTGCCCGAAACGTCGCCCATATATGTTTTCCTTTTCAGGCCACAGTGTTATTGGTGAACGTGTTGAGTTGATTGTGTGTTTGTTGCTCGTACACATTGCCAATGCAGCATCACCGGATAGTAAGAACGAATCGAGGGGTGTTTTGTTTATAATAATAAAAAAAGTTGATGTTCCACAAATTTTTTGTTTCGGAGCGAAGCAATGATCTCGTGTGCAGTTGCTCGGTCGATTCTTATTTTCATTACATCGCAAGATTGCAAGAGAGAGATAAAGAGAGTGGCGGCTTTAGGGGAGGCCTTCATCCAGCAGTGGATTGACCATGACTGCTGTTGTTGATATTTTGTATGCTATTTTTTTTTCAACACAACCCATGCATTTTATAATCCAATTTTTTTTATTGCATCATCTCCCCACAGATGGCCGCATAGCGAACGGAGTAATTCACTTTACTCCATCGACTGCTCTCAAAAACAGCCAGCTGCTACCTTCTGGGCAATCAAATTCTGCGGGTTATCCAGTTTGTTGGGGATATGGTTGGGTTTTCTTTGCCTGGGGAAACCCCCTCGAATGATACAGGCCACGTTACGGGAGACAAGGCAATGGCACGTTTCTGTAAAAAAAAAAATTAGGTAGCTCTTGTTTCACAGTGACATCACAGGTACCCCCTCGATTTAAGACGAACGCAGGAGGAAGTCTCCACAGATATGGCTGTCGCCTGATGAAGCTGGTTGTCATTACCAGCGAAACGTCGTACT